GGTTTTTTCCTTCTCCTGTAAAGTTACCATGTTGGAGATACGAGGTTTTGTTCCAGCAGCGACATGAGAAAAAAGTAATTATGTTTAATCACTCTGATCTCGTGTAGATGCAGCAGTAGCAGCATTTCTCCTCTCAGCGTCATTAATCTGTTATTTAAACGCTGTTTCCTGTTGTGTTGTTGTTTTGCAGAGGCTGGTTACGTCGCTACGCCGATCGCGATGGTGCAGGCGGCCATTACCATCCTCAACGAACCCAATTCTCTCCCCAAGAAGTGAGATCAGATCTCTGTGCTCTTACCTGGCTGTGATTAGGAGGGGAGGTTTAGCGGAGGGCTGGCTTTATACAGTGGAACTTTCATGTTGTGAGTTGCATGCAGTGTAATTTCCGGTCAACTTGGCAGTTCGTCTGTGTTCAGACTGCAGGCGAATCGGGTTTGTTTCTCAAATCAGATCTTTTGAGTCGACTGTCTGCTCTGTTATTTGAGTGATCAGATCAGATTTGTGTGTCCAGACATCACCAGTCTGTCTGCATGGGTTGCCGTGGTAACGACGTAGGCGTCAGTAACTATGTAGCTATGCTGGTGATGTGGATTTTAAACGCGGATGCAGGAGAGATGGAGGAGCATCATCTCCCCTCCAAACTCCTCAGAACTCTCTTCATCATCATGAGTCTGTGGAGCTCTTCTTCAGTCCCAGCACTTCATCACTCTGGATACGACATCGTCGTTGTTGTCGGGTTCTGAGTGACGAAAAAGACACTTTGGAATCTGATTTGAGCGTCCAGAGTGTCCAGACTGAGACGCCTCTGTAAAAATCTGATTGAGTCATCCTCCAAATTGGATTGGATTTGCAAAAATCAGATTGCATATGTTTTTTGTTTTTTTTTTAGACTAGAAAAAAATCAATGTGGATATGACAAAAATCAGATTTGGGCTGGCAGTCTGAACAAGGCCTTACAGGAAGCAATTCAAAAACAAGGTTGGCAACACATTTTAGTTGCTCCGCTAAATTAGCTGCTTGTATGTTTGATATACCACATCGTTCTCGTGATCTGCGAGGTGTCATTTACATATTTGTACCATTTTTATCTTCATCTGTTCTTCCGGCTGTAACTGCTGATCGTTTTATTCTTTATCTATGTTGCTGTTCTTTCATCTCTCTCTGTGGTTCTTTACCATATATTTGAGTTTTTATCTGTTGACTTTGTTGAGCCTTTAAAAATTTTGACTCAAGTACTTATGATATACTTTATCACAAATAATTTATCACAAATAATGATGAATATTGTCATATTGCCCAGCCCCAATGTCTCAGTCATCAGGCAGTGGATTCATAACCATTTCATGTAGTAACTTTCTGTGAGGGAGCTTTTAGAGGTGGACGTCTGGTTCCTATCACCACCAACCACTCTGTTTACATGCAATGTGAACACAGTCTATGTTTCAAACAAAGTTGCGTGTAAGTTTCACTTGTAGAGCCAGACTTTGGGTTAAAAAGGAGCTGTAGCTATAAGAAAGAACAGCTTTGCATTGTTGATTTGTGCTCATTTCTCAGATCAGTCACTGGACGCTCATCAGCTTCTCTCCGCTGTCTGTAATCTCTGTTAATCTGTTCTTTGCTGCAGGGGCGGCGTCTACACTCCTGGAGCTGCTTTCGCCAAGACCGCCCTCATCGACCGCCTCAACAAACACGGCATCCAGTTCTCCGTTCTTTAAAGCAGTTAGAAACGGGATGTCCAGCAGCCTGACCCCAGCACGGCTCCGTTTACTCTCTCAAACGATTACCGAGTTAGTTTAAAGCTGCTTAAAGACCTGGATACGCTGAGGAGATGCAACCAGGAGAGCTTTAAAGCTGTACTTGTGAAGTAGCAGCACTTCCTGTTTAGATCTCTTCTCTCTGATTGCTTCCTTCATCGCCACATTAACCAGATTACGCCTGATAGATTACGCGCATCAAAGTCTGCGGCAGATTGTCAGAGCAAATAGTGTTTTTTCAGTGTATCCAGATCTGAAAGCTGGTTTATACTGTTTCTCTTCTGTCTTGCGGTTTAGCGTCAGTGTGAATATAACCTGAGCTGTGAGCTTCTGCTTCTCTGATCTTCACTCGAACTGCTCCGCGTTCCTGTTTGGGTTTTTTAGGGTTTGAAATGTTAGTCTGAGTTTGTGAATTGTATTTTTTCACTGTTACTTTTGCACTAATAGACTAACAGCCACAGATTCCAGAGAGGTTTATTAATCCTGGTTCCAGTTGATGGTTTCAAGTCTCGTAAAGGCATATTTTAATATGTGAGGATGTTTGCACGACCAAAAAATAAATAATGTAGACCTTTTGATTGTGAAATAGAAAGTTCAACAGCTTGTAGGTTTATCAAGTGTAAAAGCCCTGATGGAAGTGAGATCATTAGTGAAAACTGCGGCTTTTTCTCTGGTGACCAGCTCTTCTTCTGTCTGCCTGCAGCTGCTTCGGTTTGTTTCAAGTCTAAATAAAAAAAACATGCCAACATAAAATCTCTAATCACTAGTGATGCACCAGAATTCTTGAACGAAACCAAAACTCAGGACAAACACAGAGTCCTGAAGAAAGGTTTTTTTTATATTTAATTTTCCATTTTATTTATGCTTTTGAAATAACCTAATAATGCTGATGATGCTGCAAAGGTGATGATCATCATGCTGGGGAAAGAAAACTGATCAAACTAGAAGACATTTCGTTTTAAATAACATTAAAATAATAAGAATATTAAAGGTTGCAGAAATATGAAAATATAAGGCTTCACAGATTCCCAAAGGCACCTAAAGCTGAATTCCAATATGTAGAAGTGTGCGGCCGTCCTCTCTAGCAGTCTGACGTTTCTCCAGCAGGGGCGCTATCAGCACACAAGTCACTTTAACATGCATCAGTTAGAAAAGAAGCAGTTGTGAACCCACACCAGCAGGATCTAACCAGCGAGAAAACTTTCAAAACCAGTTTATTACCAAAACATATCAAGTTATTCAGGACACGACCGTGTTTGAGATTCACTGTTGATCTTCTGATCAAACTGTTTGAACACATCTGTTTTTAATTACTATCAGTTTTTAATCACTATTTCTTATTTTCATTACCATTAAAATTATTTGTTGTTTTATTTTGACACTTGAATGTTCAGTGCAGCCCTGCTAATCACCTGATTGGTTATATGAAGTGAGACGAAGTGAAAACTAAACCGTCTCAGTCTCGCTCCTGACTCGCTCGCCAACTGTTACGTTTTGGACATGAGTGACTAAACACTTCAACACAAACTGGTAGTTAAATAAATACAGTGCACTCAGAAGCTACACTTTAGAACAGATCTAATCAGATCTGATCACTTAACTTTATTTAAAGAGGGATCAACTCAAAACTAGAGCCATCTCAGTGAAGTTGCTCCTTGCTGCCTCACCGATTGACTTACGAGTCACTGGAATCACTTTAATGTAAACACAGGCCTTTTTTCCACTGCAGGGGTCCAACGGTTCTGAGCGTGGAGGGGAACCGTTCCAGCAGCATTTCCACACAGAGACGGAACACTTGAAAACTGGGCTCAGCACCGTTTTCTTGACACGGTTAGCGAACCTGTCCAGGGCCACAGAACCGTTCAGTGGCTGATAACCAAGCTGGTTAGCATTAGCTTAGCATGATAACAGGTCTGCTGACCACAGATTCCGACTGACAGACGCTTTACTGACATGTTTAGATGATGATGACTCAGATCTGAGGAAGCGAGGTCGAGCGGCTGGTGTTGGAGGGACTTAAAGCCGAAGTTAAACCTGTCCTGTGGCTGATGCTAGCTGGCTCCAGCAAACTTAGCTTAGCTAAAGAGATCCAAACACCCCAGTGGTGCTCTGCTAACACCAACAACACAAGACCCTGATAGCAAGAGGACAGTGGACCACTGTCGGCCCACTGATGGCAGAGTTGGTGGTCCACTGGTGTTTTGCTCAGCGTTTTCTGGGCGGCCCACCGGTGGTTACGCAAAGAATTAGCCAACATTCCACTTATCATTGCACATTTTCCACTCACAGTCCAATTTATTCGTTTTTTCTTCTTTCCTTTCTTTAGTTATACTTTGTAAATTAGTAAATAATTTTAATTTAGCTCAGCGTCAGCAACATTTTCTATAAAATCATTTTATATCAGGCCTAGTCATAATTTTTTCTCTCAGTTTGTAATATTTGTCTTAGTTTATTTTCCAAAATAAAAGTCTCTGTGCATTTCAAATCTGTTTGATGAGATTAAAAACTAGTTAGAGCCTGTATGCAGGACAGTAATCTGGGTGGTCCGAGAGTGGACCAGCAGTGGCAAACAGTCAGCAACCTTATCAAGCCAGCGGACCGATATATGCTCACTATCTGGGTATAGACAATAATAATACTGTAACAGTGAGAACAAAGTGGACTGATCGGTGTTGGAGTGACCGAAAGCCGAAATAGAACCTGTTCTGTAGAGTTTTAAGCTCCGACCGCAGTACACACTTGGTTTCAGACAACTGATACCTCAAAACACCCATTTAGAGGATAAAGACTCACATCTGAGTGCAAATTCGAATGTCTGGTGCTGATAAAAAAGTGGTGCTTTGAGCTGAACCCTGCTGAGTGACGCTAATGCTACTGTAGTTGTCCGGCTACAGGTGATACCCACCGCAGTCCAGCGCAAGAGAGGCCAAACGCTGTGCACAGTGGAAGAGCATTTCTAGTGTATTACTGCAGACGCTCTTCAGTGGTTCAGATGCTACCAGCTGAAACATCTCACTCTTCGAAAGGAAACTCAAGCTGGTACAATGCAGTTTATCTGTCTCTCGTTATTCAGCGGCCCAGCTGTAATTTTAACACCATATATTATAGTAGATAATCAAGCATACAAAGAATACGAGAATGATTCTCAAATAGACAGATTATCATAAAAATCAACAACCAGTAAAAGAACCACACCATCATTATCTCGTCTGGAACATCAGGTTGGCTATACAAATGAAGTGACTCTCAGCGTTCGGACCAGATTCCGGACTTTTCTCTCTTCCTGCGTACGATGGCCGCCACGTCCTGCTTCAGCGTGGACACGCTCTGCTCCAGCTGCTCCCCGAAATCCTTCAGCAGGCGCGAGTGTTCGTCCACAAACAGCCGCAAACCCAGCAGGTCCTCCTCCTCCTGTCGTAAACACAACTTCATGAGTGATTAGAGGTCTGTAAGCATGAGTGGGCTGGGGTTTTGGTACCCAACATATGCTTGTCATGCTTATGGAATCTTACCAGAAATTATGAAATAATTCATATAAAAATATGGCAGCATGTTCCAGACATGTTCCAATTCACTAACAGTGGTTCTCGTGCAGCCCTGAGCTCTCCTAGTTCATCAAAAATTACTTTAACACAAAAATCACTGGACAGGATCCTCCTGGGCCTGGTGGGCGAGTGTTAAAACCACTAGCAGCGGTTTCTGTTAGCTCTTCTGCAGAACCACCAAAGTTCAGACTCACCACTTCCTTCTAAAACATGCCCCACTCTAAAAGCCCCTCCTGACATCCAACCTATTGCGTTTGATTGACAGGAGTGCTTATTGACAGTGAGAACGCAATTGCAAACAGGATTGCTATTGCATTGTCATGTTAGCAGAGCTGAAGCGCAATGATGAGGAAATGCAATTGCAAATGCGCGATTGTTTTTCCATTTTTAATGTCAGATCATTAAGACAATGGAAATGAAATGTTGACAGCACTTTGCTTTTCCACATTAACAGCCTTTAACCACAGAAATGCAAATGCAAATACACATTTTGCATTTTAATTTGAATTACATGTTTAAAACTGACACTCGAAATGGCAATTGTCCAAAAAATACACAATTGCGCCAGCATTTTCAAAATTGCATTTTTGCAAGTCTGGAATATGCTGCCATAAGAAACAGAGTTAATGTTTTAAATAAAAACTACAGAACCCTACAGAACTTTGTCACTCTGTTCTGGGAGCCTTGAGACGGAAGCTTTAGCATTAGCTAGAAAACAGTCGCTAAGTTAGCCTAGTTAGCTTTAGTTGTCTTAACTGATAACATTAAATAATAATGCTAACAGCTTGTAGCCCTTTAGCAATATAGGCTCAGAAAAGTGTTTCAAAGCACCTGAAACAATGGTAGCGCACCACCATGTGATGTTAGATAAAACTGATTATAGGCTATTAAAACCAGATCAGTTAATGATCGCCAGATGAGGACGAGGCTGCACCCGTTATAAGAAATATCATACAGATCAGTGCAATAGACGTAAACAAGTAAAATTAAAATGACAAATAACCAACAGCTCAGTCTGTACATATCAACATCCAGGTATCAATGATTATGGAACAGTAATTATTTTGTGCTCTGGCAAAAAACCATCTAATTCACATAAGGGAAAACATCTCTATACAGACGTTTATTACATAAGCAACACATAACCATCAGTTCTCTAATGAACCAGAGGTGTAATATGTAAATTAGTCTACTGAACTGATTCAAACACATTTACTGATCTTGAACTTTAGACTAAAATCCTTTTGCTCTGAGTGACTCTAAACCTTAATTATGATTATTTTATTAAAACTAATAACTGAACATTCTAAATCAATCATAACTCTACCAAACTGTACCAAATGTGTCAGTAGTGTCTGTTTCTGTAGTGTCTGTTTCAGTAGTGACTGTTTCAGTAGTGTCTGTTTCAGTAGTGACTGTTTCAGTAGTGACTGTTTCGGTGACACAGCTCTGAACAGCTGTTCACACAGAAAATCATCATATTTTACATTAAAACACTAAAAAGTGCTGAACTACAGAAAATATGACGATTCTTAATGTTCCACACTGATTTTCAGACTTTGGGACACATTTACTTCAAAACAATGGGATCTAACTGCTCACCAAATGCAGGGGCGTGGCTAAAACAAGGCTCCGCCTACAGACTAAAACTGTGTTTTGGTGGTGACATGAAAATGTGCGACAGCATTTTTTAAATAAATTGTTTTATTTAAAAATTAAACTCAATATTTCTTTAAAAAAATCAAACATATCTTAAAAACAAACCTTTTAAAAAGATGTAAGTATTTTTTTCAGAAGTGTAAATTTAGTGTTTAGGGTTTGGGACGGACTCCTCCCTTTAAAAAGAAGATGATTCTGTACATATTTAGCTTATTACTCTCTATTAATGCCTTGGGTTTAAACAGATCAGCACATAATCCTTGTAAATATCTGAATATTTAACAATTCTTTCAAATACTTTTTACTTTACACAGTTTCAACTACTTCGTCTGAGTAATCTATATAAGAATTTCTGGCACAAGAACAAACAGTAATGGACCCAGTTCTGAGTAGCTGTGAGTATAAAGCTCACTAATCACTCAAGCTGGTTAATGAACTGAACCCAAAACCTTTAGATATTAATGTATTTTAGCACATTAGCTATTACTGCTATGTGCTAGCTAGGCTAGTCCTGCTAACGATGGGCAGAGGTTTTGCTTTGATGCTTTGAAGAGGTCTGTGTATTAGAAGGGCAGAGGACTCTCTCTGTGTACGTACACTGGGTCTGTGCCTCCGCAGACGCTGCAGTTGACCCCTGACGGAGGTCATGCTGTGATAGAAAACCTTCAGCGCTCGAGCGAAATCGGCATCACAGCTCGTCCTCAGACTCCCTCTCCTCTCCTGCCGGCCACGCCCACCATCAGCACCTGCAACCATGAAACAGGCTCAGAACGAGGGAGCTAATCAGGAGAAACGGAGATCATTTGTAAAAACATGATCGTTTTAATAAAAAGCGCTTAAAGAGCCAGGTGTGTTCTGTAATTGCATTATGTGTTGACGCACTTTAAGGGTCCTTAAAAGCAGTGTTGTATCCAGGACCACTAGAGACAAGTCAGAGTCAAGACTGAGACTAGGAGTGGTTGAGACCAAGACAAGGCCAAGCCCAAATGATGTCAACTGAGACTGAGACGAAACTGAGTCCAAATAATGTAGAGACCAAGATAAGACAAAGGCCATATGACATGAAGCCCGAGATAAGACCAAGACCAAATGATGTGGAGACCAAGATGAGCCTGAATCCAAATGATGTTGAGACTGAGGTGAAATTGAGTCCAAATGATGTTGAGACTGAGATAAGGCCAAAACTAAATGATGTGAAGACCGAGACCAGACCAAGACTACATGATGTGGAGACTGAGAAAAGACTGAGACCGAGTGATGTGAAGACCGAGACGAGTCCAAATGATGTGGAGGCCAAGACAAGACTGAGTCCAAATGATATGGAGACCAGGATAAGACAGAGGCCGTATGACATGAAGACCGAGACGAGACCAAGACCACATGATGTGGAGACCGAGACGAGATTGAGACCCAGATGAGACCGAAACCAAATGATGTGGAGACCGAGACTGGACTGAGACCAAGACGAGACCGAGTCCAAATGATGTGGAGACTGAGATGAAACCGAGACCAAATAATGTGGAGACTGAGATGAAACCGAGACCAAATGACGTGGAGACCGAGACGAGATTGAGACCCAGATGAGACTGAAACCAAATGATGTGGAGACCGAGACTGGACTAAGACCAAGACAAGACCGAGACCAAATGATGTCGAAACTGAGATGAGACCGAGACGAGACTGAGTCTGTTAATTTACGGAACTCGAACACTACAGCACTGCTTTGAGACTGTATAAGTTAAACAATGCTAACGGTCATCATAGCTGTGTGAGCGCGGTGGCTCACCGTGTCGTGCCGATGCGCTGAGCTGCTCTCTCAGAGCGCTGTTCTCCTTCCTCAGCGCTGCGTTAGTGACCCTCAGCTGCTCCAGGTCCTGATGCAGAGCGTGGAGAGATGAGCTCAGATCTGAGCCTGCAGCGTCCACAGCCTACACATGTACACAGACACATCAACACAAATACACACATATATGCACATATACACATATATACATGTACACATACACAGATACACACACATACATACACACATATACACATACACACATACGCACATCTACACATAAATACTTATACACAAATACACACATGCACATATACATATACAGCTACTAAGTGAACACATCCTCTAACTTGTACCTAAAGGCTGTTTAGACTGGAAATAAATATATGAAAGAGCTCAGTAATGTGAATGAACAGTGAATGTGGGCGCTGAAAGGCACTGACTGTGTTTTGTGGAGTGCTGGCTTTGTCGATGATGATGCTGCCCTCCGGAGTCGTCCTCACTCCATCCAGACTGGACACCAAGTCAGTGCATCCCTCTACACACACAAGCATTACAGATTAAAAACACATTTCAAAGATGTGAAGTATACTTTGTGTGTATGTAAGTACTTTATACTAAAGTATACTTAATTATACATCAGTTTTAGATATCAGGTACAGCACTGTGTAAAAGTCTTAGTTATGACAACAGATTTAAACTATTTATCTGGACATTAAGTGCCAATAAAAACACTCTATACCATTAGAATCAACATAAATACAGTAACAATGCAATATAAGATTAGAATAAGAGCAAAATAAACATATAAACATTAAAAACGCTGTATGAGATTAGAATAAATGCAAATAAACAAACACAATAAAAACATTATATAAGGGTAGAATAGTGCAAATAAACAAAAACAGTAAAAATGCTATATAATATTAGAAGAAACACAAATAAACATATATACAGCAGTCAGAATGTGCTGTTTTCAGTAAAGTTATGAATATTGAATATGTAGCTTAGAAGGACACAGGTTTGGTTGCTGACTTCTCTCTGCTCTCCAGACATCACATGGATTTTAATTTAATGAAGTACTGATTAGATAAACTCATACTGGACTCCCTTCAGGAGAGATAAACCACCTCAGACATCAAACCACTTTGGACTGTGTATTTATTCATTTGCATCAATTTAAAAAAACACAAAAATTACAATAAATGCAAATACAATTTCAATGAAAACGTCCCAGATGGCCTGAGTGTTTCTCACAGTGCTGCAGGTTTGACTGCGTGTTGTGTGACGAGAGTGTAAAAGTGTAAATGTACAGCTGTGAGTGAACCCCGCTCACCCTGCAGCCCCCACAGCTCCAGCACCAGCGCGCTGCTCTGCAGGTAGTTCAGCAGCTCGGGGGACGTCTTTAGGGCCGTGAACTGCACCCTGTACTCCAGAACCGGGTTCACATTGTGCCACACGGCCGGTGTGTAGAGCGGCTGAGGGCAGTCGAACATCTGAAACCTGGAAAAGGTTTTAATATTTGAAAGCGTACTGCTCCCTCCCCCAGTTCACACAGTCCAGAGATGGACACTACTGCAAAGACAACCTGTTTCAAATTCATTGTTTTTGTGATGTCACAAAAAACAATTACATATCTTCTTATTCAGCCTACAGCAGTTTAGCCCCACCCATTCAGCTACAGCACTTTAGCCCTACCCATTCAGCTACAGCAGTTTAGCCCCACCCATTCAGCCTACAGCAGTTTAGCCCCACCCATTCAGCTACAGCAGTTTAGCCCCACCCATTCAGCCTACAGCAGTTTAGCCCCACCATTCAGCTACAGCAGTTTAGCCCCACCCATTCAGCCTACAGCAGTTTAGCCCCACCCATTCAGCCTACTGCAATTTAGCCCCGCCCATTCCCATTCGACCTACAGCAGTTTAGCCCCACCCCTTCAGCCTACTGCAATTTAGCCCCACCCATTCAGCCTACAGCCGTTTAGCCTCACCCATTCGACCTACAGCAGTTTAGCCCCGCCCATTCAGCCTGCAGCAGTTGAGCGTCACCCACTCGCAAGTTATAAGGAGTTTATAGGTAACTGTTGGTAACCAATATGTTTTTACAAATACAGCACCAGGTAAACTGGACATTTCAGGGTCTCCATGGCAGAAAGGTCTCCACAGAGTTTTCAGACTAAACCTACCACCTATACTGTGCAGCAGCAATACAGGACGATGTCACTGGCAGATGATTACAGAAGAGACAACAGCAAAGGCAGCAGTTTAACTGTGCTGAAGAAGGCAATGACAAACCACTTCTGCACTTTACCCAGAAAACCACACGGACAGACACAAAGCCACAGGAACCACTGCAACAGAAATCATTCAAGATTTTGAAGAAGATTCTGTTAAAGTGCTGACAAACTTTTATGCTAACAAATTTGCGAAACAGCTCAACGGCTGTCAGAGTGGAAGAGGTCAGATTATCTCCCAGTGCCAAAGAAAGGAGACGAGAAAGAATTCTCTCAAATTCTCTCATATCATATTCCAGTAAAATCATTCTCAAGATTATTAAAAGCAGAATAGAGCTTTACACTGAAAGAGAACTGCAGATCTGCCAGATGTGTGAGAGGGATTTAGGAAAGGCAGAGGAATGAGAGATATCATTGTGTGGGTTCGCTGGATCACTGAAAAAGCCAAGGAGTTCAAGAAGGAAGTCAGTGTGAGTTTCACTGAATAGCCTTTGACTGTGTTGACCATGTAAAATTATGGAATGTCCTCAGGAAACTGGGAATATCAGACCATCTCACACTGTTCTAATAAGCAACCTCTGCACTGATCAAGAAGCCACGGTCAGGACAGAAAGTGAACAAACAGGCTGGTTCCACATTGGCAAAGGAGTTAGACAAGGCTGCCCACTGCCACCATTACTGACCTGTATGCAAACTTACTAGAGAAGCAGGACTGGAGGAAGATGACCGAGGTTTCAGGATTGGTGGAAGAAACATCAATAACTGTCGATATGCAGCCGATGCAACACTCATAGTGGAAAATCTGGAAGACTAATGGTCTTTGTACCAGTTCCCTGACCTACAGGCACTGACGATAGCAATGAGATAGGGCAGGAAGGCGGAGCCCGAGCCGGAGTGATGTTGCAGCAGCCATTTTACTTTTTAAGTCGCAAATAAGACACATTATAAACCAAACAAAAACAAAACCGAAGCTGACCGCTTCTCTGTGGCTTCTCTGTGAATTTTCAGTCCTTTTCAGCTCCTCAGTCCATTCTGTCACCACTGCTCGTCCCTCTCCTCCCTCTCTCTTCCCTCTCCGCTCCTTTTAAAGGTGTCTGTGCTGCCAAGCCACACGAACATCAGCTGTCTGTCTGCACACCTGAGCTGAGAGGGAAAGAGAGTTCACTTCTCGGCCTCCCGGGTCACCATCCTCGCTCCGCAGCTCGGTGGCGAAACGAGGACCGAACGTGAGATGTATTGCATTGGCCTGACTCCGGAGCAGGAGGCAGGGCCCAGGAGATGGGGTTCGGGACTTGGACGCCGTTCTCATACCTCCTCTGGCTGTTCAGGAATTAGTTTTTTTCCAGGTATCCAGGTAACCTAAAGCTCTGTTTGGTTATCTGGTGTCGTTTTAAGGCCAGAACACACCGACGGGAAAAACACGAACAAACATAAACGAACTAATGTTTGCAGTTTTTCCTTAAAAAGCTCAGAAAAAGAACTTACTAGTAAAATGAACTAGAGTGAATGGCAAGAGAACATTTCAGTGATTAAGTGACCCTTTTTAACCCCACAACGGGGAAATTTCATCTCCGTATGTAACCCATCTGTGCAGTGAAACACCACATACACACAAGTGTAGACACACACTAGGGGCAGTGAGCACACTTGCCCGGAGCTGTGGGCAGCCCTATCCACGGCACCCGGGGAGCAGTTGAGGGTTAGGTGTCTTGCTCTAGTGCACTTCAGTTGGCTCAGGGGATCGAACCGGCGAACTTCCAGTCACAAGGCTGGTTCCCCAACCTCCAGCCCATGACTATACCTTTCAACAACCAAACAAGGGTATGGCAAACCAACCAAACCTTTGTGTTTGTTTGTGTTCGTCCCGTTGGTGTACTGTGGCCTTTAGAGGAACTGACCCAATCTGGACGCCACGGTTTCGAGCCTCTTTGAGCCAGCGCAGGCCACAGCACTGATCCAGAACCAGCTGGAAGTCCAGACGTTTTCCCAACAGCTCTGTGGGGTCAATCAGGATATCATCCTCCCCCAACGGCCTGGACACAAACACACACACACACACACACACACACACACACACACACACACACAAACACACACACACACACACACACACACACAAACACACACACCATCCAATAAAACCACTGGGTACATTAAAAAACACGTATGATTCGTTGCCGACTTCAGTTCTCTTTTTTCTTTCATTCATGCTCACTCTGTCTGCACACTGTTAACAATCTACAGTCTTACCCAAAAGTTTAGGCGCCCCTCATCAAATCAAATTACATAAAATGCTACTTGAAGGTTTGTGAAAATTATAATATTATGCATATTTCTGCATGAATATTTCACCTAAAATGAGATCAGATATTCATTTTGTGTTTTTTTGTGTTGTTTTGAGTGCGTACAGTATGTAGGATGCAGAAATGTTACCCACAATCCCGTGGGGCTGCAGGGGATCAGCTGGGTCTGCAGTATGGCCTCCTCCGAGCCCTCAGGTCCCACCACCTCCACCTGCTCCTCCACGTGGATGCGGAAGGGCAGAGACTGCAGCCACAGGTGGGCGCTGCCGAGGTGCAAAGGCTCCAGGGGGTCCCAGAATGGGTCTCTGTCTCTGGGGAGGGGGGGCAGGTCTGCTCCACCCACAACCACACCCCCAGACACGCCCCCAGCCTGCTGCTGGTACATCTCCTCCATCAGGAACTTACGGTTAATGAACTTCGCTTTGGACCACATCCACACCTGGACACACAGACAAAATGCAGTTAATATCAGATTTGGACTTTAATAGGCTAATTATCCAATAATCATCATTATTCATACTTAGTATGCACTATGAATCTACTATGAATCATTCAGTAACCACTATGAATCATTCAGTAACCACTATGAATCATTCAGTAACCACTATGAATTCAGCAACTACCATAAGTTATTCAGTAATCGCTATGAATTATTCAGAATCTCGTACGAATTAGTCAGCATCTAATATACAATGACTAACCTAAAACCTCTACAACTATAGAACTGACAACTATAACATTTTAACAATGACCAAATTAAAACTACTATAACAGTTTTATTCAAACAGTGCATAGAAAAACATAAAAACAGGACATAGAATCAAATTAAAAAGATAATAAAATTGAATTAATTAAAATGACAAATACATATAAGGTTATATATGAAAAAACAAATATGTGTTTACGTGTTTAAGCGTCAGGTCAGTCGTTGCTGAATAAGGTTTGCAAAGTTCAATGTTCAGAGGTGTTTGGAGATGTTCAGAGATGTTCAGAGGTGTTTAGAGGTGTGCAAAAGTGCTCTGAGGTGTTTAGAGATGTTCAGAGGTATTTAGGAGAGTTCAGATGTGTTTAGAGTCCTTCGGAGGTGTTTAGAGATGTTTAGAGGTGTTCAGAGATGTTTAAACGTGTTCAGAGATGGTCATAGATGTTTAAAGGTGTTCAGAGGTGATTAAAGGTGTTCAGAGGTGTTCAGATGTGTTCAGAGTCTTTCAGAGGTGTTTAGAGGTGTCCAGAGATGTTCAGAGTCTTTCAGAGGTGTTTAGAGGTGTCCAGAGATGTTTAGAGGTGTTCAGAGGTGTTTACAGGGGTCAGAGGTGTTTAGAGGTGTTCAGAGACATTTGGGGATGTTTAGAGAGGTCCAGTGATCCCTGTGGCTCTGAATGTTCTGTTATTACATCACTCTCTGTTCAGTTACATCTGATCACATTTACAGCAACATCTGACTACAGCTCAGAACACCTACTACACATCATCTGACCACACTGAGGTCCAGCTCTGACTGAGATATCAGAATCTTACCTTCCTTTGATGTAAGTCATTCCCCTGATTGACCTCTTTGGTGTATACAAACAGACAGTGCTGTCCATCACTTATGCGTTTCTTATGGTTTTTTTAATGTTAAAAGTCCACTCTGATTACATTTTACGTAAAAACTGAACCTCAGATGTTCGAGGGTCACCTGTTTTCTCTCCACACATGTCACCCTGACTGCAATCTCCTTCTCCAGGTCGTGACCTTTAGAGTCGGACATCGCCAGGTTCTTAATCTCCAGCTTAAACTCCACCCCCTGAAAATTACAGCATGAAAAAGATAAATAAATGTACTTCTCAAAAAAATCAAAGAACAAATCAAACAAAGCAGCTGCTGGTGTTCTCAGAACAATGGACTGACCACCCCAGCGTCCAGACCTCAGCACCACTGAATGTGTTTGATTACTTCAGAAAATCATCAACCAGCTTCTAAGACTGAACTTTGGAGGTGTGTCTGCAGATTCTTTGAGGAACTGAAAGTGAGTCTCCTGAACAGAACGGAAGCTGGAATAAAGGTACAGAGTGACTCACTGACTCACACAGCTGAGAGTCGATTCAGCTGTTTGTGTGATTTTCTGTTTCCTGCTTTTTTCTTTACGCCAGAAAATGAATAACTTTATGGCTGTTTTGACTGGAAAGAGTCTCTGACTTTTTCTAAATTTCTAAAATTTCGCTTTTTTTGTATGGGACAGTAAAAAAACAGAACAGTACTGTAGATACATTTATACATACTCCAGACTTGACGTATTCAAATCTGATGTTATTTTATTAAATAATAATAAATACCATGTAAATTTAAATATTATATCAACTGGGCACCAAAAGGAAAGTCTAACCTTTTTAAGTTATTTCAAGTATTTAAATGATAAATATTGTGTAGTAATTATATATTTGTTTGTACTATATATTTATTTATTATATATTTTTTGTCTGTCTCAAGATTTGATCACCACTTTTAAATTGTGTCGTATTCTGGATAGTAATTTAATTATAAATTTATTCTGAATCTGTAAAACATCACCTTGTTTAGTTCCTGACTCATCTGATTAGCCTCGGTCACCATGGGCATCAGCCTGATGTAGTCGTAGAAGACGGCCAGTAGACTGGGGTCAGGCTGGATGGACCCTGCAGAGACAGAAATAAACACACAGCTTACAGTAGAAACCACAGACCATAAAGAAAATGTTTTATTACCAATATTCATATTGGACACTGAATAATTCATTGTACCTACTGAATAATTCATAATGATATTTAAATGATAATTAAAAATAGATACTAATTAATTAATAGTAATTATTAAATAATTTATAGTAGTTATTAGATAATTCATCATTCACTGAATAACTTACTAATTATTGTATGATCTGTAGTAGATACTGAATTATTCATAGTATATACTGAATAATTCATACTAGTTACTGAATAATTCATAGTAGTTACTGAATAATTGACTATAGATATTGAATAATTGATTATAGATACTGAATAATAGATTGTAGACACTGAATACTTGATTATAAATACTGAATAATCGATTATACTGAATATTAGATTTTAAATATTAAATAACTGATTATAGACATTAAATAATTGATGAAAGAGGTGCAGATCTCAGTGCAGTGTTACGGCTGTAGGAGATTTGGGACTGTGACGTACTCGGCCCCTGTTCATCACACAGTGAGTGGAGGTGGATGCCCTCAGCAGCGGCCAGTTCAGACTGGAAATAATCGTAATCATAACGAGTCCAGTCCTCTCCGGCCCGTTCTGAGGGGAACCCGATGAACAGGTAGGTGCTGTTAGAGCCCAGAATCAGCCGGTCCTTCAGAAAACACACACAATAAAACCCCAGCATCACTGATAATCAGTAAAAATAACACATGGATCAGCGGTGAAGAGGACTTAAAGTGCTGTGTGTGAGTGTTTGGTGAATGTGCTGAATCAGTGACTCACTAAATGATGCAGTTCAGTTTTCTGAGATATGGTCGCTCCGTTGACTGTGACCTTTGACCCTGACAGTGGGGTAACGGTCACTCTGCGCTGCTGATTAGAGAAGACGGCGTGTTTCTCCTGAATACTGCACACACACACACACACACACGCACACACACACACACACCACACACACACACACACACACACACACACACACACAGCTTAAACATACAAATCCACAACAGATTCACAGATATTTAAGACACGTATCACATATTTCTACTACAGCTATTAAAGTTCTACAGCCACAACTAGTTTTAGGGAAGAACTGAAACTTCGCCAGAAAAATAGCCAAGAATGACACTTTCTGAAAATTTTGACAAAAAAATCGATGAAGTGCTTATCGATAGTGAAAATGACCAAAAAGAGTGATTAAAAACTGTGTTGCTGTACAAACTACATATGAGGACTGAAGCAAACCCCATGAAATGTTTAGGCTTTTTCAGCATATTTGGAGATCCAGATATCAGGCTTTCATTTAAACAGTGTCGACAGATAAAGGTGATAGAATTTAAGTGACACTAAGAAATTTTGTCCTCCTTTGTATAACTGACATAAAGACAAAAGCTATTTTCTTACATGTAAAAAGTAAGTACACCCCTACAAGTGGCTCAGGTCAGATTTGAAAACATCAGATCTGTGTTACATTAAGGAAAAAATCAGATTTGTGCCACTTCAACTTAGTGATGTGAACTTACTGGATATTTATCCAAATCGTGGCCATGCGACCTCAATGAGAACGCTCAGACCAAACCACACATCTCACTCTTTTTCACCTTCATCTCACTGTAATAATGTGCAGCTGTTCAGAGCTAATTATCTACAGCGAAGGCACATCAAATTTCTGACTGCACCAATTTGACATACATGCGAGGTGCGCCAGGAGGAAGGCTTTAGTGTCTAAAAAGAACATCAGGGCAAGACGAAAGTTTGCTAATCAATATACAGGCAATGAGGAGGATTTCTAGAACAGTGTGTTCTGGACAGAGAGGTCAAAGATAGAGTAAAACCAAAGACTGCATTTGATCAGAAGAACCTCAAACCAGCTGTAAAGCATGGTGGTGGCAGTGTTACTGTTTGGAGTCACAGAAGTGACTGTGAATTCTCTTTCATAGCAGAGAGAGCTGGAGGAGAATGTGAGACCATCTGTAAAAAAGTTGAAGCTGGACCTTCCAGCAGGACAATGACCCCAAACATACAAGTAAATCCACCAAGGAGCAGCTCAAAGGAAGAAATGGAGGGTTTGAATGCTGTGGGGGGTCTGAAACAGCTGTACATTCACGAAGCCCCTCAAACACTGCACAGCTGAAAGAATTCTGCAGGGAGGAGAGCGGTAAAATTCTTCTAGTCGATGTCAGAAACTGGTAGACAGTCAGAGGAATCGCCTACATGAAGTTGTTTCCACGAGGGCAGCACCAGTTACTGAAGCCAGGGGTGCACTTACTTTTTCAACAGTCGATATATAATATGGATTGATAACATAGTAGTAATAACAATATTAATGCACCCATCATGGCCGATCATTTGTGTTGTTTCATTAAGATTTGCTGGCAGATCTTGTGTAAAAGACGACGAGTCGAACATCGCTCTGATCAGCTCCAGTGTTAGCTTTAGCATTAGCTGAACCCTTTCCTGCTGCTTTAACCTCGAGTGACTAAAACCATTTCACTGATTTTATTAATGTAAACATGTTTAACACTGAGGAACCACCGGTAGTTCCAGAACGCACTTCTTCATATTCTTTACTTCATAACTTTCATATTTCATAAGCTACATTCTAAAGGTGGGGGTCGTATGAGGCTGTAACTGTCTTCTTTCCAGTCAAATAGATGGTGATGTAATTTTAAACCCTTATAATAAAAGAAATTCAGGTGGACAAACCGAAATACACCCACGAGCATAACTGTTTTAAACTGTGCAACATTCTTATTCTGTCAGTTCTCAAACACGTACATCTTCACTGAACGTCACTAGATCTAATTTATGTGAATAATCATTATTATGTACCTCTTGTCCTCTGTGTGCTTCTACATTTGCCTTTGTGCTCAGAAAAGCTAACAGAATTAGCAGTTAGCCTTCTCCTCAGAGCACGCTGAACTGTCCAGCGTCACTGTGTTAGCAGTTTAAAAAGACGAGGTGGAGCTTCACTTGTTACGGAGAAACCACAAACTACTTTTGAGAAGATTTTGGTCCTAAATCATTGTTTAAATCCATTCTTGGTTCAGGAAAACACACAAAAAGAGAAACATTTTAAGGGGTGCACTTACTTCTTCACATGACTGTAAATGAATGAGTAAGCCAACCTACCCCAGCCCCCTGACGGATATGGATCTGGGTGAACTGTCTGCCAGACCAACGTCCCACTCACCTGAACCCAAAACACAACACCTCACCACCAGGCAAACCATCATTACATTAACATTAGACACATAAACACACCTCTGCTGTTATTATGGACACACAGCAAAACAACTGACCGTCCTGAATGAAGAGCTTGATGACCCCGGAGAGCTGAGCGTCCTCGTTAACGTTCAGCATGTATGGATACATCTGCATCATCGTCCTCTCCTGTCAGCACAAACAGGTTTGAATTAAATGGCCAAAATTAAAACTTTTAAATGTTTCGAAAACATTCTGTTCACTCGCCATATTTACCTGTGTTATACTGGTGTATTTACCTGTGTTATACTGGTGTATTTACCTGTGTTATACTGGTGTATTTACCTGTGTTATACTGGTGTATTTACCTGTGTTATGGTGGTGTATTTACCTGTGTTATACTGGTGTATTTACCTGTGTTATACTGGTGTATTTACCTGTGTTATACTGGTGTATTTACCTGTGTTATACTGGTGTATTTACCTGTGTTATGGTGGTGTATTTACCTGTGTTGTGGTGGTGTATTTACCTGTGTTATACTGGTGTATTTACCTGTGTTATACTGGTGTATTTACCTGTGTTACGGTGGTGTATTTACCTGTGTTATACTGGTGTATTTACCTGTGTTATGGTGGTGTATTTACCTGTGTTATACTGGTGTATTTACCTGTGTTATGGTGGTGTATTTACCTGTGTTATGGTGGTGTATTTACCTGTGTTGTGGTGGTGTATTTACCTGTGTTATGGTGGTGTATTTACCTGTGTTGTGGTGGTGTATTTACCTGTGTTATGGTGGTGTATTTACCTGTGTTATGGTGGTGTATTTACCTGTGTTATGGTGGTGTATTTACCTGTGTTATACTGGTGTATTTACCTGTGTTATGGTGGTGTATTTACCTGTGTTATATTGGTGTATTTACCTGTGTTATGGTGGTGTATTTACCTGTGTTATGGTGGTGTATTTACCTGTGTTATATTGGTGTATTTACCTGTGTTATGGTGGTGTATTTACCTGTGTTGTGGTGGTGTATTTACCTGTGTTATGGTGGTGTATTTACCTGTGTTATGGTGGTGTATTTACCTGTGTTATGGTGGTGTATTTACCTGTGTTATACTGGTGTATTTACCTGTGTTATGGTGGTGTATTTACCTGTGTTATATTGGTGTATTTACCTGTGTTATGGTGGTGTATTTACCTGTGTTATACTGGTGTATTTACCTGTGTTATGGTGGTGTATTGAGCCTCCCAGTCTTTCAGGGCCTCCTGCAGTCGTTGCTCCCACAGGGTCTGAATGGCTCTGATCTGGAGCTCGTTGTGGGTCAGCAATCGTCGCAGTTCTTCTGCAGAAAAAAATTGTGAAGTTGGTTGTTTAAACTGTTTTGGTTGTTTAAAGTCTCCCCACTGGTCAATATATAATATAGATGTAGTCATAACAAATGCACTCATCCATGGTCGATCATTTGTGTTGTTTCATTAAGATTTGCTGACAGATCTTGTGTAAAAGACGACGAGTCCTCCTCACGATCGAACATCGCTCTGATTAGCTCCAGTGTTAGCTTTAGCATTAGCTAAACCCTTTCCTGCTGCTTTAACCTCGAGTGACTAAAACCATTTCACTGATTTCATTAATGTAAACACGCTTTCCAGAATCATTTAACTGTATTTTAAAATGTGCAACATTCTTATTCTATCAGTTCTCAAACACATCTTCACTGAACATTTTGTAAATTTAATTTATATGAAAAATCATGATTATTATTTAGATGTTCTCCTCTAGGTGCTACTACATTTGTCTTTGTGCTAGGAAAGGCTAACAGAATTAGCAGTTAGCCTTCTCCTCTGAGCATGCTGAACTGTCGCATTAGCAGTTTAAAAAGAGGAAGCGGCGCTTTACCTGTTTTGGAGAAATCGTCTGCTACTTTTGAGAAGATTTCGGCCTAAGGCATATTTTTAAATCCATCCATGGTGGAGGGATACCTGCAGGGCACTGTGAGGCAAAATTCAGATTTTCCACTATTTTCCATCATCAACATTCCATATAAGCTCAGAAGACTCGTGTAGGTTCACTGGTGGTTCTGGATAGTAAATTAAATGTCTATATCTGTGTTGTAGTCATGGCGACCCCTGGTTCCTATCACCACCACTGTACAGACATCTGAACCATTTCACACCAAACCACTCTGAATGAGTCTGAATAACCACTGAATTATGCAAAAATTCTGAGAAATAGGCAGAATTCCCTTTTAAAGTTTAATGTTCATAAATAAAAAAAAACAGCTTCACACATTTCAAATGAAAAATGAATGTTATGGTATGTAATGAATGATGCACTGTTCTGATCAATTTAACACCCAGAAATCATCATATTTGAAACATGGGGGGTTAGATGGGTGATGTGTAAATTTGATTTTTTGGTGAACTACTCCTCTATAAATAAGAAACTCTCCCCTTTGTCTCTATAGAGAATGTCTGGTGTGAATTGGGGACAGTGTTAGTGTTTGTCCTGGTCCATACTGGTCTCTTCATCTGTCCGGCGGCCCTCCTGGTCCAGTCGGCTGAGCCTCAGAAGCAGTTTAGCATTCTCGGCCTTCAGCTCTTTAACCAGGCGCTCCGTGGGGCCCTCGTTCACCACCGCTCTGTTCTGGATCCGCTTGGCCCTGAGAGCAGAACGTCATCACTGCACAGCACTGTCAGTCCTGACCGTACAGACACGCCTACTCTTTAAAATAAAGGCTCCTAAATGGCTTTTGGTTTGGACATACTGATCTTAGAACCTCTGAAGGGCTCATATATCATGGAGAACCTCACTTTTTGAGGTAGTATGTAAATATTATTACATACAGTCCATAAATGGCAAACTTAGCTGCAAAAATAACCCATTTTGTTTGTGAAGTCACAAAAAAGAGCACATTAACAGATATCTGTTCTGTTCTAGCCCCACCCATTCAGCCTACAGCAGTTTAGCCCCACCCATTCAGCCTACAGCCATTTAGCCCCATACATTCACCATATAGCAGTTTGGCCCCACCCACTTAGCCTATAGCAGTTTAGCCCCGCCCATTCAGCCTACTGCAGTTTAGCCCCGCCCATTCAGCCTACAGCCGTTTAGCCACGCCCATTCAGCCTACTGCAGTTTAGCCCCGCCCATTCAGCCTACAGCCGTTTAGCCACGCCCATTCAGCCTACTGCAGTTTAGCCCCACCCATTCAGCCTACAGCAGTTTAGCCCCACCCATTCAGTCTACAGCAGTTTAACCCCATAGATTCACCATATAGCAGTTTGGCCCCACCCACTCAGCCTACAGCAGTTTAGCCCCACCCATTCAGCCTACAGCAAATTAGCTCCACCCATTCAGCTACAGCAGTTTAGCTCCACCCATTCAGCCTAAGAAGAAAAACAGTGATGCAGTGATGACAACATAGTGATGACAAGACTGACACTGTACTTGTAAAAGAAGCCAAGACCTGTTCAGCTGTGAATGAACAGAACCGGAGGAGAGGAACTCACCGCTCTGCGTAGCGCAGCGTGGACAGAGACTCCTCATAACAAATATCTGCAGGACTCAGAGTTGCAATCTGGACACAACAGAGGAGGAAAGACTTCATTAACAGCGTAACGACATCCACAACTACAGTTCAACATCAGTTTACTGAGGCGTATTAAAGAATGATGAAAAATGATGAAACAGGAAGAGGAATAAGCTTTATTGATTATTCTGATATGATGACCCAAAATAAAAATCCGGGCCGAAACTGACAATTTATTAAAAAAAATAAAATAAAATAAATGAACTAAAATGATCACAGTCTGTACAGAACGAGCTGAAATCCAGCGTCCTGGACAGCAGAGAGCGGCTGATCATCAACACACTGAGCTCCATCACTGTCAGTGATTCTTCACTCTGTGGTTTGTGGACGTTTACAGACGGCGTCAGCACTGCAGGACCTTTCTGGTTCTAATGCACTCTACATCAGGGGTTCTCAACCTTCTCCACCTCAAGGTCCACCTATCGATCACTAGAAGGCATGAAGGCCCACAGGAAAACAAAAACAAAAAAAACTTTTTTGGGATTAGGGTTAGGGAATAGGATTATTCAACACAGCAATTTTTTGGTGAAACAACATTCCATGTGTATCACTGAACATTAAACATCAACAGATTAGGTGAAGCTTATTTTATACCTGAAATCAGGCAGAGGTTAGCAAAATAAGCTAAATTATTCACTCACAAGTGGACGATTGAAACTTTGGGGCAGAATGTTTTGTTTCTAGAGTCAAAGGGTCAGTCTTGGGCTGGAGGTTAGGGAACCAGCCCTGTGACTGGAAGGTGGCCAATTCGATCCCCTGAGCCGACAGTATGTGACTGAAGTGCCCTTGAGCAAGACACCTAACCCCCAACAGCTCCCAGGGCGCTGCAGATAGGGCTGCCCACTGCTTTGGGCAAGCGTGCTCACTGCCCCCTAGTGTGTGTGTTCACTGGTGTGTATGTATGTGGGAAGTTTCACTGCACAGATGGGTTAAATGCAGAGGTCTAATTCTGTGTGCAAACACCGTTGGTCGGTGGTTCTAAATGGTTAAAAACAGATAAAGCGCTGTTGTTGCATGACTTGCATGACTCAGTATAGGCCTGAGGACCACCAGAGGGTGCTACTTGTGGTCCGCGGCTCAGTGGATGAGAAACCCTGCTCTACGAATTGAGTCGTGTTTTCAGTCCTGCAGTGAAGTTCCTGGGCGTCTTGATGCTCCACATGAGCAGAGATTATAAATGTCGTTCCTCACAGAAACCACAAAATAGTTACAAGTGTCTGATATTTTCATCTGATAAAGGAACAAACACGTCTTTAATCACTGTTTCTCATTTTCAGTACCGCTAAATTATCTGTAAGGCCTCCGTTTTCGACACTCAGTGTTTTTGGTCTAAATTGTTGCTGTTTTTCTCTTTCAGTGGCCAAAAGTTTGCTCACTCCTAATGTAGCTTAATGTATTGAGATTTCATTCCAGGTAAATTCGGAACATTCCTGCTGGCCCATTCCTTATTAAATGTTCATACAGTGTGAAGGTCAGCAGGAATTTTCAAATCATGTAAAAAAGGACATGTTGACGATGTCTGACATTAACATGTGGAAAGTGCAGGGAAACTTTGGAAGCCCATTTTCGCCTGGTGGAATAAAAGAAATCACCTAGCTTTTGTTCTTGTTCTGTTTCTGGCTGCAGTATGTCAAAAATTTGACTTACCATGTTAAAAACTTGACTTTTTATCTCAAAATAATGACATTTTTTTACTTATCATCTCAAAACAATAACCTGTTTTATTAAAACTGAACGTCATTATTAACATAGCATGTCAAAATTTAAAGATAAGTCAAATATTTACCTGCTATTTCAAAAGCTTTACTTTAGATTTTAGAAACAAGCCATTAACTAATAGATTAGAGAAAACAATTTTGATATTACAATTAATATTTTCAACATTGTAACTCAAAATATTGACTTGCTTTTTGAAGATTTGACTTTTCATCTCAAAAGTGATTAGTTAGGTCAAAATTTTGAGACAAAAAGTAAATGTTTTGAGAAACAAGTCATTATTCTGAAACAATAATTATTTGAGATAAAAAAAATAACAAATATTTTCAACATTGTCTAAGTCAAAATTTTGGCATTCTGCTCCAAGAAACAGAGAATGAGGCAATTTTTTTTCTCCTATCAGACTGGAACGAGCTTCCATGGAAAACTGGAATGAGCGTCACCATGACGGTGCGGCTGTTCCCGCCCAGCGCCGACTGCAGCAGTTTGGTGAGGATGGAGTCTCTGTACGGAATATGAACCACCTTCTTCCCCAAAGCTGCTTCTGCCAGAGCACTGCAGAAACAAGGAGACACAAACACTCACCTCTGATACTCAAACCAAACCACAGCCGTCAGCAGCCGAGACACGCCTCCTTCTTTAGCTTTAGTGCTGGAGCTCTGAGGCTGATAGAGCTAACATGCAGTAAAAGCTTCTACCCCACCAATTAGCATAGTGCTAACTATATACCATATATTACTGTATATATACAATCCCCCATTTAAATCAAATCAAGTCAAGTCAAATTTATTTGTATAGCGCTTTTTACAACTGATTTTGTCACAAAGCAGCTTCACAGAAATCCGTTTAGGACAAAGTTTCAACATGAACTGTAAATCCTCCAGGTGAGCAAGCCAGGAAAAACTCCCTCAGAGCTGAGGAAGAAACCTTGGGAGGAACCAAGGCTCACATGGGGGGGACCCATCCTCCTCTGGTCAAACTACCTACAAAATTATTACACTACTAATATTAATAGTAATAGTTAGGAGACTTCAGTGTAGAGTGGGCAGCCAGTCCAAGGCAGGTGGCGGTGACTGGGTTGTGGGTAACTGGTCTGAAGCGGGTAGCAGGAGAGCTCTACAAACAATCATCCAGCATTTAGTCTACAGCAATTTAGCTCCACCCATTCAGCCTACAGCAGTTTAGCTCCACCCATTCAGCTTACAGCAGTTTAGCCCCACCCATTCAGTCTACAGCAATTTAGCTCCACCCATTCAGCTTACAGCAGTTTAGCCCCACCCATTCAGTCTACAGCAGTTTAGCCCCACCCATTCAGTCTACAGCAGTTTAGCTCCACCCATTCAGCTACAGCAGTTTAGCTCCACCATTCAGCTACAGCAGTTTAGCTCCACCATTCAGCTACAGCAGTTTAGCTCCACCCATTCCACCTACAGCAGTTTAGCTCCACCATTCAGCTACAGCAGTTTAGCCCCACCCATTCAGCCTACAGCATTTTAGCTCCACCCATTCAGCTACAGCAGTTTAGCTCCACCCATTCAGCTACAGCAGTTTAGCTCCACCCATTCAGCTACAGCAGCACAGCTTTAAGAACTGAGGAAAGGTTAGAAAATGAATTCTGACTGTTTTTGGTCCATAAAACCACACTAACATTATAAGTGGAGCTCAGGTGAGAGAATATAATGCGAGACGAATGCAGGATATGAGCTCTTTAAGGAACGAGAGTTAAATGAGGAGGAGCTCAAACAGAAGCAGCAGAACAGGCAGATCCTCCTGAGCTGAAGCCAATTTACAGACGAAATCCTACAGGAACACTTCTAAATAAACAGTAGAACAGGGTGTTTGGTATTTACAGCGTTATAATGTATGCAGTACAGGGAGCAGTGCGGTTGTTAAGGCGGACCTGACCTGATGACGTTGCCCAGGGTGGTCAGGCTGAGGTTAATAGCCGTGCCCTCTTTCAGCCGGTCGACCTCTGACCCTGATGACCGCTGCCTCTCGCTGCCTGCCAGGTCTACGAGGTTGATGTTGGACTGTTTGGTGATGCACTCTTTAGAGAAGATCTGTACCAGAGAACAGGAGTTGATACACAGAGGGAGAGAGCGGCGCAGCAGCTAACGCGGGTTAAACACTACAGAGCTTTTTACGATGCTAAACAGTAGAACCCCAGTAGAACATGCTTTTTGTAGACAGGTGAGTCGAAAGGGATGAAAGAACGAATCTGTGGGCGGGGCCTGTGGACAGGTGAGTTTAAAGGTGGGCGTGTGCACCTGTTTGAGCTGCAGGATGATGAGCATGTGTGAGCGGCTGCTGTTGGAGTTCATGTGAGTGGCTGCGGTGGTTCTGGTTCGGGTTCCCTGCTCCATCAGCTGCTCCACCTGAGCGGCGCTGTCACTTGGGATCCTCCTCAGACCCTCCACGTAAAAGCCCCTCTGCTGATCCTCCCTCACTCGCAGACCCCCAGGAGAACGGCTACCTCTGGACAGCAGGTCGATCACCTGGACACAGGTGAGTTTAATCCATCTTTTTAAGCACAAGCTGATTCTTTTCATTGAAAATTCATGAGCGAGTGCACTGATGAGCCTCAAAATGTTTATTTATTTGGGTTTTTTGAGCATAGAAGTTTGAAATTTTGCAATAGATAGATAAATTGTGAGTAATTAAAATAAATGAAAAATGAGAGATTTTTTTCATTATAATTTCAGCACAAACTAAAATTCTGCAAACAAATAAATAAAGACCCAAACAGAACCATAGTTATTAAAGAACATGTGAATAAAATGTGAATAAAATGATTTTTATTGACCTGACAGAATTCTATGAGAATTACTCTGTAATATTTATAATCAGAAACACAATATGCATGAAGAGATTTAATTTTTTAAGTATAAAAATGTGACTGAATGAGGAATAAACACCTGTGAGCACTGAATGTCTCACCTGTTCATTATAGATCTCCAGCATGCTGAAGAAAACCTAAAGAACAGAGAAACATTAAAATTATTACAGTGAGGAAAAAAGTATAAATCTATAATTTCACACTATTAACTAAAACACATCATGATCACTGATACACCTGTAATTTTAAGGGACACATGATGATACCTGAATACTATCGTTATCAGACAGATGTTTAGATTGGATATTTCAGACAGATGTGTGATGATGTGGTTACTGAACTCCAGAAGCGCAGACTGTTTAGGTGACGCTGGATTACTGCTCTAAAATATCTGCATTTTAAAATGTTACACTAGTTAATGTACTGATAATGCAGATAGATTCAGTACGAATTTTATAAATCTCTATTTTCATAATCAACGTATGTGAAAAGTATCAAATATCAATATCAGTCCATAACTGCCATATTGGTGCATCCATAGTAATTATATACTTTCAGTTAAATTCAGCTCAGAAGTTGAACCCACGTTCTTCCACACGCAGCATGCAGTCACACATTCCCACCAGAGAGGTCTCCAAATCCCCAAAACCTTATATAGTGCAGCTTTAAATAGTATTTTGGAAATTTCCAAAAGAAAATCTTTCTTGCTCCTGAAATGTTTTCCACGTAGATCTTCAGAGTGATCTTTATCGTGGTGTCAGAAATCACATAATCAGACTATTACAGATTAGATGACAGTTCCTGTTTACAGCATGTACATTTGATATTTAATCAAATTCCTCCTATAAATAGTCCTGCAATAAAAACAGAGTCTCCTCGTGGGCTGTTAAAATAGCCTAAGACTGAACTGTGATCCTATAAAACCTCATCAGGGCAGCAACATACATACAAATGGATATCAGATCTGCCTGATAACACATTTAATTCAGTTTTAAAGCACAAACTGAATAATAAATAGATAAATATGCATTTGACAGTGACGGAGCACTAAAAGTTTATTTATTAATTTTTATTTTTTCTTAGCACAAATAGAAATGTTGCCTTGCCTAGATAGACAGATAGACAGATAGATAGACAGATAGACAGATAGATAGACAGATAGACAGATAGATAAATAGATAGATAGATAGATAGAAAACTCAGATTTCGGTTCCCTGGGTCTTTAAGTCTGTGTGTGGTGTCGGTGTTAGAGACCTGGCACTGGCGGCTGTCCTGGTTGGTCCTGATGAACTGGAACAGTCTGTCGCAGAGTGTGGGGACGAGGCCTTTGTTGGGTCCGTAACCCAGCATGGAGTAACTCTTCCCTGAGCCGGTCTGACCGTAGGCCAACAGCGTGGCGTTGTAGCCCTGCAGAGCGTTCTCCAGGACCCCCTGACCGAGACCCTCGAACACACTCACCTGGAGAGGAGAATGTAGAATATAGATCAGAGAACATTTTACATATTTATTACATTTAGTTCTTTTTCACAGCTTCTATAAAATTAAATTTCAGCCTGTTTTGAGCTCCTTAGTTCAGCCCTTTAATACTCTTAATTAAATTACGATTTAATTATATTTTGATTTAAAGTATCTAATTTGATTATATTAATAAAAAATATCCAATGGACGGCCAGAATGAGGTGTGTGTGTGTGTGTGATGTGTGTTACCTGATCTGCGTAGCGTCCTCCCTCCTCCTCCGGTACGAACAGGCCGCGGCCGTTGCGGACGAAGCCATTGTGGGACCAGAAGGCGTGGTCGAAGGTGAAGGTTCTGCGGTTCTGCTGGTTGCGAGGATCCTGGATGGTGATGATGTTGTTGCTCATGGAGACGACACAGCGACTGCCTGCATCCTTCTCCCTCTACATCACCAAGAACAGCGGCACAAACAATAAACAAACAACACTATAAACCAAACAACAACAACCCTGTCTGGCAAACAATCACCACAACCAACCAACCCACCAACAAACTGAATGAGCACAACTCAGATAAATCAGCATTAACAAATTAACAACCAACCACATCTCATAACCAACCCATCGATAAACAATGGCTGACAAGCAGATAAAGAACCACCACATCCAACAATCATAAACACCGGTCAGGCATCACATTCTGACCACCTCCTTGTTTCTACGCTCGTTGTCCATTTTATCAGCTCCACTTACTGTATAGGTGCACTTTGTAGTTCTACAGTTACAGACTGTAGTCCATCTGTTTCTCTGCATACTTTGTTAGCCCCCTTTTACCCTGTTCTTCAGTGGTCAGGACCCCCATGGACCCTCACAGAGCAGGTACTATTTGGGTGGTGGATCATTCTCAGCACTGCAGTAACACTGACGTGGTGGTGGTGTGTTAGTGTGTGTTAGTGTGTGTTGTGCTGGTCTGAGTGGATCAGACACAGCAGTGCTGCTGGAGTTTTTAAACACCTCAGTGTCACTGCTGGACTGAGAATAGTCCACCAACCAAAAATATCCAGCCAACAGCGTCCTGTGGGCAGCGTCCTGTGACCACTGATGAAGGACTAGAGGATGACCAACACAAACTGTGCAGCAGCAGATGAGCTATCGTCTCTGACTTTACATCTACAAGGTGGACTGAGAAGGTAGGAGTGTCTAATAGAGTGGACAGAGAGTGGACGCAGTGTTTAAAAACTCCAGCAGCACTGCTGTGTCTGATCCACTCAGACAAGCACAACACACACTAACACACCACCACCACGTCAGTGTTACTGCAGTGCTGAGAATGATCCACCACCCAAATAGTACCTGCTCTGTGAGGGTCCATGGGGGTCCTGACCACTGAAGAACAGGGTAACAGAGTATGCAGAGAAACAGATGGACTACAGTCTGTAACTGTAGAACTACAGAGTGAAACTATGTGGTCAGTGGAGCTGATAAAGTGGACAGTGAGTGTAGAAACAAGGAGGTGGTCAGAATGTTATGCCTGATTAGTGTATGATTGTTAGATGTGGTGGTTGTAACGTGGAGATATGGGTTGATATTGAGGTTGGTTGTTCTTTGGTTGTTTGTCAGTCATTGTTTATCGTTTGGTTGGTTATGAGATCTGATTGTATACAACCATCATCACATCTAATCAACCAATAAACACAATAAACTACAACCACATTTAAGAAGCGACCAAACAACCAAAGAACAACAAACCTCATCTCACAATTAACCAAACACAATTCATAAACATCCCGACCAACAGCGACCATGTTTCCCATCAGCAACAACAGTCTATGGGACGGCAGTTAAACCAGAATTCTACATGGTTCCACACCAGTCATATCACCAAACACACTAACTGCATTTCAGCTGCAGTTCAACCAACATAAACACTGAACATCAGCTCAGCAGCTCAGAAACTGAGCCTGAGTTAATGAACCTGCAGCTAAGAAAGGACGCCAGGTGTCCAGTTCAAGCAGACAGGTAGGTTTGAAAGACCGAGCACCTGGGGACGTTTACATTCCGAATATTTCAAGTGTCCATGTAAAATTTTAAGGTCTACTACAAGTGCCCACGTTTCACTGCTGAGGTTTGGGTTGCAGCTCTACATCAATCAAATATGAAACAAAAACTTTTTTTCTCTGGTCCTCAGATTTACTGAGAGTTTGACACCCCTGATCTAAAACAACAAAGCACTGCAACTCAAACACAACCAATAAGCAGATTTTATCATCATAAGCAACCAACCAGCGAGTGACATGGGCAAGAACAATCAACAACACCCAAACTCACAGCCAACCATCCCAAACAAGTGTTTGTTACAGTGACGTTCATTACGAGTCTCTAAAGTCTTTTTCCTTCTTCTGTAAAGTTCCCAGTTTGGAGATACGGGGTTCTGTTCCTACAGCGACAACATACGACCAACAACCACTTTACACAACCAACCACACATCATAATCAACCGACAGCCACACAGTACAGCCAACCAAACAACAGCTAGTCAAGAAATAACCAATCAACAAATCCAGCCTAAAACTAACAAACTCCAGCACTAACATTCCCCAAATCCTCATTCCCATTCCGAGTCCTCATTCTTAATCCCTGAATCCTCATTTTTAGTCCCTGAATCCTCATTATTAGTCCCTGAATCCTCATTCTTAATCCCTGAATCCTCATTCCCATTCCCTCAAATCCCAAGCAGTCCTGTTTACTGACCTTATTGAACGGCCGGACTCGAACAGCCACTTTCACACAGTCTTTACTGGCCATGTCGTTTTCCTTCGCCCTCATGTTCCCACAGCGCGTCCTGACCACAGTGACGGACACGGATGGACGGACTGCAACCTGAACCACCTGAGCTGCTCACTCTCTCTCCCCGAGAGATGAATAATACACGACTGCAGCCTCAGATCACTTCCAGAGCCTGAGTCGGTCAGAGAGCACCGTCCAGTACAAACACCGTCACTGCAGCGGAGCTGAGTCTCCAAAACAGCAGCACTGAGTGACCAACAGACCTGCAGTGGAACGTTTTAGAACATCTGCATCTCAGCACAGAAACCAGGACTCTCAGTTAAAGTTAGTATGTTTGTGGTCTGGATTGAAGCACTGCAGATAAACAAATTAGCTCATTAAAAAACAAACAAACAAACAAGAATAATCAGTAAGGCCAGTTATGGCACGAGTCTAAAACAGCTCACAGCACGAAAACAGCCTCAAATTACATCCACAAACATTCAAGTGATAATAATCCTGCAAATAAACAATATTCATGTAATTCAGTAGACTAGCTGGAGACCAGCTCATTCTCATTACCGCAACGCACACACTATTTATTATTACCAATATTCACTGATTTGGTTTTATAAATTAGAAGAAAAAGTGTTGGAATTATATTTTTAATTATCTTAATTTGAATGATTTCTTTGTAAATTGTGAAACCAAAACAAAAAGCAGAAAGAAAAACCTCAATGGCTGCCAATGTGTTGCGATGATGACATCAAATTGCAAAACAATATATTTTGTTAAATGTTTTAATAATTAGCATTAAAATACAAAAGTATACAGATCACACTGTAATCCGTGAAAGCATAAATAAAACATTTCCACATTCATCTTCAAATTCCTGTATTGAAGCAACTGGAAAATTTGGCTAAAAATCTAATTTAAAGTGAATTATTCAATCTTTATTTGTAATGAACTTCGTATCTATCGGATTAGTTTGAACTGTGTCCCACAGTAAAAACCTAAAAACACCTTTAGCACTCAGACCTTAGAAAATCAGTGTGGAACATCACAAATCATCACTACTGAAACATTTTCTGCAATGAAGTAAACATTTCTGTGTTAAAAAAGAAAAATTTGATGATTTTATATGAAAAGTAAAAATTAAAGCAAGTCTGAAGACGCCAAACTGGCAGATTAATTAAGTAGCCTTTGGAACATTACTCACCGCCGCCCTCTAAAGGTTGGAATTTAAATGTTTTTTTTTTTTTTGCGTTTGTCCTAATCCAGTACAAAACATGCTCATTTCACACTGTTGCAACATAAACATATTTTTGAAAGCCAACAACTAAGGAAAGTAACTGTGATCCGCTTAAATTATCGCGATCAGGTGATTAATCCAATAATCCACTATAACAGGTCTAACTGCATTCAGGCCACTTGGTGAAAAGTTGAACTGTGCACATCTGTTCAGAGTTATACTGTGTAATAAACAGACGTTTGAACACTGAGACCCTATTATATATTTATTAATGGCAAAGCAAATTAAACAACTATAGGCAGAAACATGATCTGAAACTCAGCAGGAGCCACAAGTAAATATGAAGAGCTGATACTGTAATTTCTGCTGTGCACTAAATAAACAAGCCTTAATCTGGAGGGGAGGAATAAAAGACTGAGCATTCACATTATCATCAAAGAGAACTGAAGACAAAAGAAAGGAAAAGTGCTCATCCAATTTATGACCTCAGAGGAGGACACCAAGTGTCAATCAACAAAACCCACCCTAAACAGCAGTAATGTGACCCCCCCCCCTCCCCATTGAACTCAAACAGTTCGATCGTCACACTGATCAGAGGCCAAGCTTACAAAAATATATAAAACAAGGAGTAAGAAAATTATTCACAAATATCAAATTTTATTTATAACATACCTAAAAGACTATTTACATTTGCGTCAATTTTGTAGAAATGCACCTTTAAAAACTAAGATCTTTTTTTTTTGGTGTTCAAGTCCCTCAGTGCTCCATACTGTAAACATTACAATAATTTATATAAAATTATTTCCATCTCCCAAATTATATTTATTTCTTTATTTCAAAAAAATCCCCCACTCGTCATCCCCGTTAGAAAACAGCAGGCAGCAGAGTTCTTGGAAAAGGAAATGAGGGAAAAAACAACAAAAAACAGGTCGAAGCATGTTGGAGAAGACGGAGCCGCAGCGAAGAGTCGCGCTAAATCAGAGCTTCTTCCTCCGAGTGACCGGTTTGGGGAAAATAGCTTCCATCACGCGTTTGCGTCGAAGGTTCATCTTCGGGACGGGCTCGTCTTTCTCCTCGGCGCGTTTCTGCGTCCGAGCGGCCGGCTGGGCCGGACTGGCCAGCGGAGACACCAGATCCACCTCTAAGAGGGGAACAGGTTCAGGAGCCGCTTTCGTCCTGTTAGAGAGAAAAACAGAGTTTTAATAAATGATTTTCAGACAATAAAGCAGCTTCAGAGACCAAACGTCTCGGATTTGGAGATAAAGGGGCAAATCGGCTACATTTGATTTGTTTCCCAGCGTAAAATATTAAAAATGTCTATGATACTAAAATCAAATGTTACATTAAACATCCAGCAAAATTTGAATTTAAAATGGAAGTGATAAAGTTTAGAATCTCAGATTTCATTCATATAAAATCAACTGCTTTGACAATGTGCGCATAAAACGATTCTATGATGAAACTAATATCTTATAAGTTTGTCAGTTTGTAGGAAGCTGTAAAAATGAATGTGTTTTGGATGATAAACGGAGTTGAGTGATTTCATGATGTTTAATAAATCTGCACAGCATTGAGAATAAACTGAAAGAAACTGACACCCACAATGACTCATCTGCCTCATAATTAAACAGCTACCCTTAGTATTTGAGATTTCAATAAACAGAAAATTACAGGTTATTTAATAACACTTTTTAACCATATTCTAACTTTATATTGTTCCCAAAACACACTGCAGTCTTTAGTAAAGAAAACTGTTCTATATAGAACCATGAACACTCAAAGAACCATTTGCATAATTACAGGGTTCTTTGCATCATGAAAGGATTCTTCAGATTGATGGCGAATGTGCTGTAGATGGTTCTACACAGCTTCAAAAATGGTCCTTATATTACTTCAAGCTTGACATCGTAATAATAGAAGAACCCTTTTTGGTTCTATATAGAACTAGACAGCTTCTAAAAAGAGAGAAGTTTACCTGGTTGTTCTCTTCTTCCTCGTTTTGACCTCTTCAGCTTGCACTGCAATGTCATTTGATGGAATCTGGTCCTTCATTACAAACAAATTCAAAAAATGCAAAAAATACATGGATGTAAGCAACAACAATACGCAGGATCTGAAATGGTCATAAGTCATATTTCATTTTAAAAGGGAATTAAACCAAAATCCCAGATGTAAACAGAGAGATTCAGAGTGGTAGACATTTTATTTACTATCCAGAACCACCAGTGAACCTACACGAGTCTTCTGAGTTTATATGGAATGTTGATGATGGAAAATAGTGGAAAATCTGAAATAATAAGTTTTCTTTGGGGACTATTTTGCCTCACAGCGCCCTGCATGTATCCCTCCACCATGAATGGAGTTTAAGTTCTCCAAACTATCATAAAACAGTGTCTCAGTCATCAGGCAGTGAATTCATAACCATTTCATGTAGGAACTTTCTGTGAGGGAGCTTTTAGAGGTGGACGTCTGGTTCCTATCACCACCACTGTGAACAGTTCTGACTCGGTAAGTTTCTCTAGAACGGAGCGTTTCACACCAAACCACTCTGAACGACTCTGAACCGCTCTGAATGCCTCTGTTTACATCTCAACCACTTAATTAAGCAGAGATTTAGAAAGTTTAGGAATTTCACTAAGATAATCGTCTTGTTGTGCTATAAACCTCACCTCATGATGTTCTTCTGCAACAGCAGCTGCCCGTCTTGTTCGAGTTACAGGAGGGGACAGAATCATTTCTGATACATTGATGTCAGTCTTTGTAGAATCCTTTTTTCTTCCTGTAAGATAAACAATTAAATTAACAAACTGGAGAAAAAAAGCAAGATTTAACGATGTGAATAGAGCAATTATGCAATCGTTGGCTGAGAACATTTGAAGCATCACCTCTTGTCCGCTGCAGGCTGGATGTAAAGGTGAAGGAGTCCTTCACAGGTGAGGAATCAGGTTCAGGCACTTTGCTGGCCCGTGTTCGTCTAACAGAAGCCTTTTTGGTGGTTTCCTGCGTTTCAGTAGATACCTCCTCCGCTGGAACCTCAACACCTTTGTTCTGATTCTCGCCGACAGATTTGGTAGTTCTCCTCTTGGCACGTACTATTTCCGTAACGACTTCACCTTCTTTGGCTCCCTCATCCTGCAGTCTCTCCATCAAGGCGTTAGCCAGTGGATTCGCAGATTCCACATCCAGAGGAGCTTCCAAAACCAGACGTTCTTCTTTCTTTGGCTCCTCCTCATGACTCCAAAGCTGGCTCCTGGTCAGACGTCTAGAAACGCTCTGGAGCTGAGCTTCATCAACCACAAACGTGACGTTATTGGCCTTTTCTGCTGTTCCAGCTCTGGTCTTTCTTCTGCTTCTTGGAGGGGTGACCACAGATTGATTTGGAGCCACTGCATCTTCTGCAGAATCCTTCTGGAAACTCTCCAGAGCCAGGCTCAACCCTCGGGTAGACTTGCGCGTCACCCTGCTGGGACTAGCAGAAGCTTTAGGTGGCTCTTCTGGTGCCTTCTCTTCAGGAACCTCAGGATGTGACTCTGGAACGTCAACGGAGGACTTCCGAGTTTTCCTTGCGCTCTGTTTAACCTGTGGGACAGCCACGTCGTTGATGACCGATTCCTCCATAGGCTGGGCTTCTTCATCGCTGCCTACATTTGTGTTCCTGGTTCTGCGGGTTCCTTTCCTGGGAGTTGCTTTCTGTGGAGTTCTACTTGGACTTGAAGGCTTGGAGGCTTTTGTTGAGGGTATCTCCAAACCATGTGGCAATTCGGGTTCTGCTTTTCTTGCACTTCTTCTGGGCGTAACAGGGACCTCAAAGTCTTGCAGCTGTTTGCCGCTCCTTGTGACTCGTCTTGGTGTGGAAGGCACCTTGGACTCTGTCTGCTCTTCGTCTGAAAGATCTTTCTCAAAATCGGTGATGAGTAACGGAAACTTAACAGTTTTCCTGCCTCTCCGTGCAGGACTCTGCTGCACCGGCTCAGCTTTATTCTGTTTGTCTTCCGCTACCTCGTCTCTTGAAGGAGCCTCAGGATGTTCCTCTGAAGATTTGAGAGCTTCCTTAGGTTCATCATCCTGGGGTGATGCACCCTCATCGAACCTATTAGCATGATCTTCAGCCATAGGAACGACCTCCATACCTGTGGTTGAGAACTCATGAGCTTCTACCGCAACGTCTTTGTGAGGCATGGTTCTGCCATGTGCTTTTTTCTCATCAGGAACCTTCTCATCATCTTCATCCTCGGCTGAAGCGGAATCTTTAATATCTCCATTCTCACGTCCTTCGTTTAGATGCGAATGATCCTCTTCTTTTTCAGCAGAAGCCGATTCTAGCGTTTGCATGGGTTTCACTTCAAGCACCTCCGGTTTGTCAGGCGGCTCAACATCTGGTGCAGCCAGGATAACAGGTTCAGCCTTTGCTGTTGGTAGATCCTCCATTTTTTCCATAAACTCATGAGGAACTTCAGTATACTCTACGCAGAGGACATCTGGGTTGGCAACTGGTTGGCTCTCCATATGTTCAGGATGCTCTGTGTCCTGGTCGGTAACTAACTGGTTGTTAAGTTCCACTTCTGAAGCAACTGGTTCTTCCTCTTCATCTCCAGCATCCAGCATAAGTGAGAAAGTATTGGAGCCTCCAGGGAGTGGTTCCTCCGGTTCCTCGCCTCCAAGAGCATGCAGAGCTCCTCCATCCAGAAGCTCCTGGTGCTCAGCAGCCAGCTCGAGAGGAACCAGGAGAGTGGTGGAAGGTTTCAGTTCAGTGAAACAAACAGGCCCATCAGCTTCCTCATCCAGGTCTGCAGGTGCCAAACCAACCATCACCACCTCTCCCTCTCCATCGTCCTCTTCCATCACTCCGTCCATCATCTGCTCAGGGACCCAAAAAAACAACAACAAAAAAAAAAAAGACAGTGTAAGTCTCAAACATTCGCTGTGTTTCTATTGACATTTTGCACAAATGATAAGCTGTAAAAAAAGATTTTTTTTGTGCAAAAATGAAGTTTCTGTGATATTTCAGGTATCTACAAAGATTTGAGCTAAAGATGGACGGAAAAAGGTTTGTCGAGATTCATAACATTACTATTTCCAGTCTACATCACCAAAATTTTATAAACGTTAAAACGTTTTTTGTAAAAACGACTTTGGATGGCAAACTTAATAGATGGAAATCTATCAACAAAAGGTACAAATGCAAAATAAAATAAACCAGAAAAACATTAAGGTTTAAGGTTCCTAGGACTTTCTCAAAGGCATATACATATGGCTCATTTCATAATAAAAAGTAAGCACAACTTATTATGATTCAAATTTGAAGTTATTGATATGTATTAGTCTTGTTTTATGGAAAGGAAAACACTCCTTGCAATTCTTTTTGGGCAGTGAAAGAATAATTATGTAATTCACAGCGTTATTTAAATTATTTAACATAATTCAACACAAGACTTACCTGATTCAGTTGTGCATCAGGGCCGACAAGCGACAGCACCGCGGTGGTCTGCTCTTGGAGGAACTGCTCATGGGGTGGAAGCTCCTCCAGGTACACGCAGGAGCAGGTTGGTGCTGCCTGCCATTGCCTTTAACTTCCTCTATAATCTCCACTTCACTTCCCGAGTCTTCCTCCTCTTCGTCTTCTTCACCAGAATCCTCCTCAGACTCTGCACTGGACAGTTCGTCACTGTCGTTCAGGCTGACCACAGCTACGGAAAACAGAGGAAAACGAATATTAACTTTTGTTTCTCCTATCACGCATTCTCTTAAAGGAAAGCTTAAAAACACAAAACAGTATGCAAACACGACTGATTGGACGGGTAGTAGACTTGGCAATGAAACAATACATATTATAATCCATTTTTTTATACTGACGATGCACATTTGAGATATATTGGATAAAATGATTATCTGATACAATTACTGCTATTTCAATAAACTAGATGGTATGTATCTCTATGCTTTAGACGGGGAGGAGGAAGAACTCTAGCCATTCACTCACAACGGCAGCCATTTTAAGGTTTGAATTTATGGAAACTAAAAAAGGCAACGACTTTGAAGGAACAAGGAGAGATTGTTCAAATCCTCTGCACTGTGGAACAGATTCATTTGCTAGAATGAGAAGCTCTGTATTTTTCAGGATACAAAATACAATCAGGACGCAAAAATATCACAATAGGATTTTTGCGATATCAAGCAACCCCACGACTGAGGAAAGGAAACTCTTACACTGAGACTCTGAGGTTGTGGCTTCAGAAGAGGTGACCGATTTTTGCGTGTCAGCAGCCGGAGCATCTACATCATCCACGGCCGCTGGCTCAGACTCCGAGTCCTTTAAACCATCAGGCTCACTGTGTGGAGGAGACATTGAGTGAATGCAGGCCTAGTCAGGAATAATAGTGAAAACTGAAATACTAGGTTATTTGTGGTACCTGTTGAAAGACGTCCAGGTTTCTGGTTCCTCTTTAATGCCAGAACGAGTCAGTGGTGGCGACAAGTCGTTACCAAATAAGTGGCGCTCCACATAATCATCCAGATCTGAAAGTAGACAGTATCAATAAAGTTTGCAAGCGATCTGAAAAAAGCAAGTGAACTACAAAATATTTGGCTAGACGGCTACGGTAGCCTTTAGACGATGTGCGGTAGCCCTTAGACTGCGACAGTAGCCTTTAGACGGTGTGCGATAGCCCTTAGACTGCGACAGTAGCCTTTAGATGGTGTGCGGTAGCCTTTAGACGGTGTGCCGTAGCCCTTAGACTGCGACAGTAGCCTTTAGACGGTGTGCGATAGCCCTTAGACTGCGACAGTAGCCTTTAGACGATGTGCGGTAGCCCTTAGACTGCGACAGTAGCCTTTAGACGGTGTGCCGTAGCCCTTAGACTGCGACAGTAGCCTTTAGACGGTGTGCGATAGCCCTTAGACTGCGACAGTAGTCTATAGACGGTGTGCGGTAGCCTTTAGACGGTGTGCGGTAGCCTTTAGACGGTGTGCGGTAGCCCTTAGACTGCGACAGTAGCCGTTAGACGGAGTGCGACAGCCCTTAGACTGCGACAGTAGCCTTTAGACGGTGTGCGATAGCCCTTAGACTGCGACAGTAGCCTTTAGACGGTGTGCGGTAGCCTTTAGACGGTGTGCGGTAGCCCTTAGACTGCGACAGTAGCCGTTAGACGGAGTGCGACAGCCGTTAGACTGCGACAGTAGTCTATAGACGGTGTGCGGTAGCCTTTAGACGGTGTGCGATAGCCCTTAGACTGCGACAGTAGTCTATAGACGGTGTGCGGTAGCCTTTAGACGGTGTGCGGTAGCCTTTAGACGGTGTGCGGTAGCCGTTAGACGGAGTGCGACAGCCCTTAGACTGCGACAGTAGTCTATAGACGGTGTGCGGTAGCCTTTAGACGGTGTGCGGTAGCCCTTAGACTGCGACAGTAGCCTTTAGACGGTGTGCGATAGCCCTTAGACTGCGACAGTAGTCTATAGACGGTGTGCGGTAGCCTTTAGACGGTGTGCGGTAGCCTTTAGACGGTGTGCGGTAGCCGTTAGACGGAGTGCGACAGCCCTTAGACTGCGACAGTAGTCTATAGACGGTGTGCGGTAGCCTTTAGACGGTGTGCGATAGCCCTTAGACCGCGACAGTAGCCTTTAGACGGTGTGCGATAGCCCTTAGACCGCGACAGTAGCCTTTAGACGGTGTGCGATAGCCCTTAGACCGCGACAGTAGCCTTTAGACGGTGTGCGATAGCCCTTAGACCGCGACAGTAGCCTTTAGACGGTGTGCGATAGCCCTTAGACCGCGACAGTAGCCTTTAGACGGTGTGCGATAGCCCTTAGACCGCGACAGTAGCCTTTAGACGGTGTGCGATAGCCCTTAGACCGCGACAGTAGCCTTTAGACGGTGTGCGATAGCCCTTAGACCGCGACAGTAGCCTTTAGACGGTGTGCGATAGCCCTTAGACCGCGACAGTAGCCTTTAGACGGTGTGCGATAGCCCTTAGACCGCGACAGTAGCCTTTAGACGGTGTGCGATAGCCCTTAGACCGCGACAGTAGCCTTTAGACGGTGTGCGATAGCCCTTAGACCGCGACAGTAGCCTTTAGACGGTGTGCGATAGCCCTTAGACCGCGACAGTAGCCTTTAGACGGTGTGCGATAGCCCTTAGACCGCGACAGTAGCCTTTAGACGGTGTGCGATAGCCCTTAGACCGCGACAGTAGCCTTTAGACGGTGTGCGATAGCCCTTAGACCGCGACAGTAGCCTTTAGACGGTGTGCGATAGCCCTTAGACCGCGACAGTAGCCTTTAGACGGTGTGCGATAGCCCTTAGACCGCGACAGTAGCCTTTAGACGGTGTGCGATAGCCCTTAGACCGCGACAGTAGTCTTTAGACGGTGTGCGATAGCCCTTAGACTGCGACAGTAGTCTATAGACGGTGTGCGATAGCCCTTAGACTGCGACAGTAGTCTTTAGACGGTGTGCGATACCCCTTAGACTGCGACAGTAGTCTTTAGACGGTGTGCGATAGCCCTTAGACTGCGACAGTAGTCTTTAGATGGTGTGCGGTAGCCCTTAGACTGCGACAGTAGTCTATAGACGGTGTGTGGTAGTCTTTAGACGGTGTGCGATAGCCCTTAGACTGCGACAGTAGTCTTTAGATGGTGTGCGGTAGCCCTTAGACTGCGACAGTAGTCTTTAGACAGTGTGCGGTAGCCTTTAGACGATGTGTGGTAGTCCTTTGGTTCGTGCACTAGGCTAAACAGAAAAGAATCTGATTAAAATGTAAGGTGCAGCTCTTCACTGCCCTCCGGTGGAGGGGAGTTCAGGCAACTCATGGTTCTTGAGAATGTATAAAGCCTATTTGAATATCAGAAATCCTCACCGACTATTTGATTACTAAACTTTAACTCACCCCTGATTCGCTACCACGGTCCACACTTCACGCATACATTAACATAAATTAATCCCTTATGTACTCACCGGATGTCTCCATCGCCTCTGCTTTATGCTCCACCTTGCCAGCAATCTCTACAGCGTCTTCTACCCCAGCTTCATGGTTAACCAACTCTTCAGCAGGAGGTTCACTGACTGGTTCACCTGCTGGTTCTTGAGGTGCAGACTCCAACTCTTTGGACGCCTGTACTGCAGGGCTTTCACCGATTGGTTCCGTATCCATGGCGGACGCTTCGGTGACCGGTTGCTGTGGTTCGGGCTCGGAGTCTTCGGTCACTGTCAACTCTGGAGGCTCATTGATGGGCTCCTCAGCCCTGGTGGAGGGTTCACTGACAGGTTCTTGTGGTTCTGGCTCTGCTTCCTTGATCAACAGTGGTTCCTCATGAACAGCTTTGTCCTGATTTGATTCTTCGACAACTTCAGGATGATGATTCAGCACCTCGTCCACCACAGGCTCAGAGTTCGGTCCTTCCACGTGAGGTGCAGGCATGAAGTCTGTATGCAAATCCTGTGTGTGGCCCTTTTCCTTGTTCTGTTCTTCATCTTTACTGGCATCCAGCTGCATCTGAACTTCAGAGACTTCTTGAGACTTCTCTTCTGCGCTTTCTTCTGAAGGCTGAGATACAGCAGGCAGTTCCTTTGTGGTGGCGTCATTAGCAGAGGTTTGGACTAATTTTGCAGCTCCTGGGAATCTAACAACCACTTCCTCCTCCACGCTGGTTTCCACCACCAGCTGGCGCTCCTGCCTCTGCCTTCCAGGGTCCCCAGGAGAGAGAGCATCGTGGAACTCCAGAGTCGTATCTGACTGGATCGAGATCTCGCTCGTCTCCTGGCCCAGACTAGGCCTCGGCAGCAGCGTGGGCAGGACCTGTTTGGACTCCTGCATTTGGAGCTCTTTAACAGGGGAGCTGCTCTCAGATTCCACCTTCTGCCCTGGTTTCTCCTTCTCTTCCAAAGAAGGCTCTTTCTCATCGTCCTCTTCCTCTCCAGAATGCTCACTCCAGGCCTCAATACCTCCCTCTGGTGGTATGATTGGTCTCTTGAGCTGGCTAAGTTCATTATCTGCAGCAAGCTGCAAAAGAACCACAACAGACAGGAATATAATGGTGCATTCTGGTGCAAAAAACTCAAAAATGGACATTTAAAATTGTATTTTTCCAGTATGTTAAAAAGAAGAGCCAAGTCCTGTTGCCTGCAGAAAGTTGTGTTAACTTGCAGTTAGAAAATTAACAAATGATCATTAGACTAGGGGTGCCAAAACTTCACACAAAACTGTATGATAACTACCTATTACTTTATTATTTGGCGATTTATCGCATAACAAACGTTACTGCTCTGAATTTAAAATACACACAATTTAGTGTCAGCTAAGCTAGCTCAATAACTGCATAAAGCAGGAGTCATATTACATATCTGCAGTTCACATTTCCTTGAGAAATGGGTGTGACTGAAGATTAGCCCCAAAAGCAAATGATAAACAATAATGACAAACATGAACAAAATTATATCCTCATGGGAATGCAGAGCTGGACACTGATCTGGAGTAATTAAGTTTGGTGAACTGCGTGCGGGTGCGGTTAGCCAAGGAGCTAACAGTGCATTTAACAAGCTGGCTAACTCGTCTATTACAAACAATAAAAGCACAGAAGTAAAGAATATCGGCATATCATAGTGTTTCTTTCATTGTTAATTAATTTTTTTGTATTTTTTTTTTTTGATTTTAACCCAATTTGGATTTTCTCCCCAATTTAGTCGTTGCCAATTCCACCCGCTAGTTAGGACTCCCCCAATCACACGATACTACCTGTGAAGCCAGGCACTGCATCTTTTCGAGCTGCCGCTCACGCAACGTCACCGGACAGCCGAACGCGCTCGGAGGAAAGCGCCAACCGCCAGATCTGTTACGTCAGCTAACAGATGTCTGCGCTGACTAGCATCGCGCTGAGTGATGGGGGGAGAGGGAGGGGCCATCCCACCCACCCAGAGAGAGCGAGGCCAATTGTGCTCTCTCGGACTCCCGGCTACGGACGGCTGTAGCATCACCAGGGATCGAACTTGCGATCTCCTGATGAGGGACAACACTTAGACGGTTGCACCACTCGGGAGCCCCAACCACTGTTAATTTATAGTCAGTGGGGAAGAAATGTTTAAAAGTCTGTGCTTAAAAACGCTGAAATCAGCCTTCTGAGTTCAACACCACCAAAGCAGTAGCCCAGCTGGTCGACGACACAAATTCTCATGTCAAAGTCCACTGAAGTTAAACCTGATGTGAAATTTTACATGCGAAATGCTGTTCGCCTGCAAAACTGGCGAAAATGTGGAGGCAAATGCAAGTGTGATCCTGGGCCTTAACGGATAGTGTTAACTATCAAAATGTCACCAAAACAAAAAGACCATTTATGTCAATATACTCAACTAACCTCTACTAACAGACAGAGTAACAGAGCACCAAACTGTTTGTGAATATTGGTATTTGCCAGTTTCAATATCATGACTATTCTTTGTGTTGTATTTCAGCATTATATGTAATAAACGCCACTGCCTCTGAGCTGTGCTTTGAGTATGAGCCTCCAAAAATAAACATAATTGGTGTTAGCTGTGCTAGCTGGTGAACTGTACGACACATTATGGTTATGTTCGCTAGATTTATGTCAGGGGTACTCAATCCTGGTCCTGGAGATCCACCGCCATGGAGAGTTCAGGTCCAACACACCTTGCTCTAATTCTCAGACGCCCCTGAGAGCCTTCATTACCTGGATCAGGTGTGTTTGTTTAGGGCTGGAGCTAAACTGTGCAGGGCGGTAGATCTCCAGGCCCAGGACTGGGCACCCCTGCTCTAAAGTAAAGTAACAAGCACAAGAGTCGAGGGGAGAGCGGTAAACCGAACTGTGAGAGTGTTGGGACTTAAGAATAACGCCAGCAATCTTATAATTAAAAAAAGGAAGCCAATTAATCTCTTACACAAGCAACATATTAACCCGCCTGTGGACAAAAACACCCTTCAGAGAGGGTGTGCATCTGTAAAGATATGGAGAATATTTAGTTTTACCCCATTACGCCAGTGGACAGAGCTCTTGGGCAGCTCCGGGGACCCTGCCTCCTCCATGAAAGTGATCCGGCTCTCTTTGGGGCGTAACGGGGGCGTAACGGATCGCCCGGGTGAGGCAGAGGGGGTTCCCAAAGGTGTGGGACGCAGGCTGCTCCTCAGGATGGACTGGGGGGTGAAGGACGAGAACACTGGAGCCGACGCAGCCAAAGCTCGAGCTCTCTATCAGGGGAGAAAGAGGACAGATATTAACAGGCACTTAGGGACACTGTTATAAAAACATTTAAGCTACTCTTCTCTTTTTAAAAAGGACAAGCTCACCAAATAAAAAAGTAACCATCACTATATTTGCAGTAAACTCACTCTTTACAGCAGTGCCACTACATCGAGTGAGATTTTTTCGGTTTAAAGACTAGGATAAACTGCCTTCTGATGATGTATCCTGGAGGAGGGAGGAACTTTGAAAAACGACAGGACCTCTGTGGTGGATCCATGAGGGCAGGACGTTTGAAATGACTTTTTTGTTAGCTGGCTGATGCTGAAGGAGACAAGATGGCTAACATCACTGCTAGGAAGCTGAAGTGCTATATTAGCCTGTAGATCAGTGGCTAGGCTAGCAGTCAGGACGTCTTTTTCCACTGTGGGGAGGTTTCCAATTTGTTGTATGATGTATTTGCGCAATGTATGCTGGGTATTGTAGTGAGAGAACATTGATGGATGAAAACTGTGAGAAAGTCTGTCAAACTGACGAGGCTGAGAGGTTTAATGTTACATAAAGTGAAAATATGAACACTTCATGGCTTCCGAAAGTGAATTCCAGAGCAGCTCCACTATAACGACAGAAAACACCTCGTTTTTTTAATGTAAAGCTTGTAGGTGTGGATTTCTAGTCTTGTAGTCTAAAGTTTCTCCAGTAGGGGCGCTACTAGCACACAAGTCTCTTTAGCGCTTGTCATTTAGAGAAGAAACAGATGAACCCACACCAGCAGAATCTAACACACGTGTTTACAATAACAACTGAGGTGAAAAAGCCAAAAGATCAACTCAATCTGTATTACGGTGATTTTCATTAAAGATTTTCATTAAATAAGTTAATGTTAAAATGCTAAAGAGTGCACAGAACAGAACACAGGATCGTGATGGAGTTTCACTGTTGATCTGCTGATCAAACTGTTTGAACATGCCTAGTGCTGACCAGCGCATGAGACTGAAGAAAACAGTGATAAACCGCTGCTTATCGTTACTACTGTCATTCATGTTATTTGTCAATTGTTAGATTTTGATTGAAAAATTAGAGATTTTGCCTGAAATTTCAGAAGAAAAATTACATTCCATACGCTGGTCTAACAGGATGCTCCTGTAAGAACACGAGGTCTTAACGCTACTGTTGCATTTAGTCTGATAGGTAAAGAACAGAACCTAACGATGCTGAAAATGTGTTTTATTTTATGTGATAAACTACCACTTTAAATAAAGCACCATAAATACACTCTTAAAAAGATGGTTCTTGAAGGGATCTTTAGTACAGAAAATGGTTGTATACAGAACCATGAACGCTCAAAGAACCCTCTGCGTGATAAAAGGGGTCTCTACATCCCCAGAGGGTTCTTCAGATGGATGGAGTGGAATGTGTAGTATATGGTTCTATACAACAACAAAAAGTGTTGTTCTTTTGTTACATCAAGCTTGTTACAAAAGACGACCCTTTTTTGGTGCTGTATAGAGCAATTTTCAGAAAAGGTTCTATATAGAACCATTTGCATGCTTAAATGATTCTTTGCATGGTTCTTCAGATTGTTGGAGAATGTGTTGTATATGGTTCTATATAGCTTCAAGAAGGGCTCTTCTGTTGTTATGACCTTGCGCTTGTTACAACAGAAGAACCATTTTTGGTGCTTTACAGAATCATTTTCAAAAAGGTTCTGTAGAGAACCATCTACAACACATTCTCCATCAGTCTGAAGAACTATGACACTGCAAAGAACACTTTAATCATGCAAAGGTGCTTTGAGTGTTCATGGTTCTATGCAGAACCATTTTCTGTACTAAAGAACCATCTTTTAAGTGTGAGAATATACTTCACGCTTTAGAGGCCTTTTATCATTCCGCTGATTAAACAGATCAATAGGTGTTTCCACAGTGATGTGAACTGCGCTGTGAAAGTGTCCAACAGTAAAGGCAGCACTGAGCTTCTCTAACGCAGTGATAGGAAACAGAGAAGCACACAGATGGACGTCTGCACTCATTTATTTTCAACTCCACATGCTGATCAATTTTACTGACCATCGGACACGCATGCGTCATAACATCCCCAGGCTGTAAGAGGACGTCACAAAGCCTCTGAGCCCATTGTCAGTGAGATTAAAGGTTCTTCCGCAGTTAAATCAGCAGCGGCTGACCACTAAATTGAAAGACTTTACCTTGACCACCTGTGGGGTCTGCAGCAGACTGAGCTCAGGAGCTTTGGTGATGCTCTTAGGCGCGGCCCATGAGCTGATGGATCTGGGTGGGGTTCCCTGCGTGCGAGACGCCTCTGGAGACGTTTGGTAAGACGGCTGCACCACCAGATCAAAAAGCCTGTAAACCGAGTCAAAGATTGGGACAGGATATTTTTAATAAAACAAGATGTATCAAAACAGACCTGAACCAATCAGAGAGAGGAGATCCTCCAGGCAGTTTTACCTCGACATCCGCTTGGTCAGCATGTTGATCGGAGTTCCTACGAAGGCCTCAGGCACGTGTAAGGTTGGAGGATTTGGACTGGGCACCAGCACCTCTGGCTCTCTGGGGCTGAAAGACAAAACATCACTGTGATCATTTTCTTTCATTGTGTCAATTTCACAGAAAGGTAATTTATGATTATTAATGAAAGCTCAGATGATTTAGACGTAAATTTAGATGAACAATTATCGTCTGTGGAGCAACTGCGATAAAACCATCACCGAATTCAATTACAGAGCCTCAACCTGACGCTCACATTTCCTCCTGACAGCAAAAGAATGACTATATAACATTTGCCATCGACACTCTTGGTTCCTCAAGTGTTCTTTCGTTAAGAGAATGGTTCTGTTTTGAACCATGAGTTCTACATAGAACCATTTCATCCTTAAATGATTCTTTACATGGTTCCTTTTAAAAATTATTCTGTACAGCACCAAAAAGGGTTCTGCTATTGTTACAAGCTTGACTTTCTCCATCAATCTGAAGAACCCTTTCACGATTTAAGCACATAAAATGTTCTACACTTTTAAAAATGATGGTACCTCAAGAAAAAAAAAAAGGATCTATAGAGCATCATGAACACTCTGCATGGTTAAATGGTTCTTTAGGTTGATTGAGGATGTGTTGTATATGGTTCTGTACAGGACCATATTGTTATGCTGTCAAACCTGCAACAATAGAAGAACACTTTTGGTGCTATATAGAACCCTCTCCAAAAAAGTTCTCCATATATCCATTAAAAACACATTCTGCATCAATCTGAAGAACCATTTCATGATGCAAAGAACCATTTAATTATGCAAAGCGTTGTTAGGGTGTTATATAGAACCATTTTCTTTATTAAGGAATCTTCGAAAAAAATGTGTATATAGAACTCCAGGTTCTAAACAGAACAGCTGTCTTTCCTAAAGAACCCTCTTTAAGAGTGTAGGCTAGCTTTTAAACTTACTGAATACGTTATAACAACTATATTTGATTTTTAATTATTCTAATTAATTTTTATTAGATTTTTACTTTAATTATTCTTCTCTTTTAAAATCCATTGTTTTAATCATGTTTTTAATTTCTATTCTTCATGTAACGTTTTTCTGCTCCCCTTCACTTTCATAATTTGTAAAGCACTTTTACAGCCGTGCATGAACAGTGCTGTATAAATAAACTTTCCTTGCCTATTTTCCATAATAACTGCACTTCACCCAAATCTAGGCAACAACTAGCTACGTAAATGTGCAAATAGAGATACTTTTATTTCTACTCTCTTAAACTTTAACTCATCTATTTTTTCTATTTATTTTTTTTATTATATTCATCTTATTTCTGCCCAACTTATTTCTATTTTTACTTTTATTTTTTATTTTCTGCACAGTATACGCAAGTTTATGTGCAGTTATGCATCTTGCAATTTCCCCTTGGGATCAATAAAGTTCTTTCTATCTCTTTCTCTCTATTTAAACTGAGTTATCACCAATACCTAAAGCATGTGGTAAGTTTATATCACTCATAGCTTAATGAGACAAGGGGAAAAACCATCGATAGAGAATGGAAGACTGACAAAAATGACTCATTACACACCTATGGTATTATGCAACTATATTTTAATATATTAGAATATAGTAAAACCTAATTATCCATTTCTTAGACTTAGGAAAAATAAACATGCCTACAAAATAAAAACTAACTACACAAAAGCTTCAGTGCAGGGAAATGGTGTAATCTCCATACGTCTAATCATTAACAAGCAAAAAGAAGCCCACCTCTTCTGAGGAGAAGGTTCAGGCGTGGCGTCTTTGCCGACCCACACTTCCTCAATCTTGGTGAGGACATTTTTGATGAAGGCTGCTCGGGTCAGTACGGTTTCAGTAGCAGATCGTTTAGCCACGGTTGATAAAGGCTGAGGCCTTGACACTGGAATAAAGACCAAGAACTGATACTGAAAACAAAGTCGAGTAACTGGAACTGGAAATGGTGATGGTGATAACAGAACTAGTGCTGGGCAGTGTGGACAAAAAACCCATCCCAGTATATTTCTCATATCATTAAATATCAACAGTTACTGATAGTGCTGATTATTGATGACTACATGTATTCTGTTACGCTCCACATGTCAAAAACAGCAAATAAAATAAGCAATAAACAAACATAAATGTAAAGTCTACACTTCACATCTTTTCACTCTCCGTAATGTCAATGAAAAGAGTTAACGCTAGCTAACGCTACACAGTTATCACTGCTACCTACAAACAGCTAACGCGAGTTAGTGCCGCTAACTGCCCAGCCCTCTGTGCTGTCGTGAGTGAATGGACAGACTTCTCTTCCTTCCTCGTCTAGAGAGTAAAAGACACAGCGCCACCTAATGTACCAAAGTAGCAAGTGATCAAAATTCAAGCCTTTGCTGTTAATATCGGGCTGACGGACAAAACACCATCATTACACCCCAAAAATAAATCAAACGACAACAAGACGACGTGATTTTGATCATTTTCATTACATTATCATCAGCCAAGCTTATCAGGTTTATCACCGTCACTCAGGCTTGCCTTTATGCAGTTCCCCAGCATGCATCCTGCTTTGTAGTCGCATAATGAGAGCACATGTTTGGGGACAACTTAAACTTTTGATGCTGGATTGTGGCAAAACAACTCTCTCTAAACTCCGCCCCCAAATTCCTCTAGTCCGTGCTCTTTGAATTTTTGGAGTACAATCAATAGCAAGCAAAACAAGCTATGAGGCACTGGACTGGTTTAGAAACCACACACTCAGCCTGTCCTAATCGTAATTAGTCTACATTCCCCCAATAAAGTTCTCATTTGTTCTTATGAGATCTAATTAGCTGCTGTCTTGGCTTGTGGCTACACTACATGCTGCATGGCCGCCTATAAACACTGTCTACTTTACGCAAATGGGGAGAAATGTCAATTTACCTATTTTTAACTTATTAAGCTCATCGTTATCGAGGTAAACAACCAAAATAAACATGGCCCAGCACTACTCTGTACATACAAAAGCGACGTGTACCTTCTCTGAGGATGGTGGTGGGGTGCTGGTACGGTTTGGCCCGCTCAATGGCTAGTTTCCGCTGCGCTCGGGGCAGAACCTTCCCGTACTGGTTCAGGATGGAGTTCCTGGTGTTTGATCTCTCCTTCATTTTAGGATCTCGATCAGCCTGAAGGATGAAATCACCACACATATCAGCTCAGTACTACAGCAGATGGGACTGAGGTATGGTGACGAAATGCTGGTGCTGAAACACATCTGTTATGTTGAGACTGGTTAAACATTTAACAGAATTATGCCAAAGCTGAATGATTTTGTTCTGTACGAGTGATTACTTTTTGGACCCAGCACTCGTGTCTTTTTATAAAAGATAAAGACACGAGAATGAAGATCTTTAAATGTCGCCTAAAAAGCAGAACTACTATCAAAACGTTTGGATTTGGCGTGTCGGACAAAAAACAACTACACATAGCAAAAGCAACATTAACATTTTTAGATCAGCATCAACACATCCCATATGTATTGTGACTCTTGTATCGTGAAGTTGCTGACAGTACCCGGGTCCAACTTACCGCCAGGTTCATTTTGAGAGTTTGGTTGATTTGCAGGGCAGGAACATAGTTGGCCTGCTGGAGGTAGTGAACCATGAGCAGCTCTCTGTTCTGGAATCCTCCTGTGCCCTGAAGGAACCGCTCCAAACATTCCTATACAAACACAACACACACAAAACATTAAAACAGTCTCGTATCTCAGCTCTCGCGAGATTTTATCCCACTCCTGCAACTGGTTTTCCATGTTGAGTCACGACTGAAAATAACCGCCGTAGATCAGACTTGGCTTTTTGGTGAACAACTATTTTTTAACTAAACAGAAAACGAAACGCATGGACCTGCGATAAAATCAAAACACTTTGGGAAGGGGTGCATTCAGTTATACAAGAAATTCTTGATATAGAGTTTACATTATGCCCTAAATTATATTTACTCTATGGCCAGTTGGAAGATACATTTCACTACAATGCTAGACAGATATTTATTCTGCTGGTTTATATTGCTAAAAAATGTATTTTACTTCTCTGGTCTTCTCCTCAGGTCCCAACTCTCAATTTGTGGTTCTCTCAAATAACATCTTTACTTCCTCTTGAGAAGCTAACTTTTGATGTACACCAAAAGACAGAAAGGTTTTGGCAAATATGGTTTCCTGGAATTATATTGGTAATTTGTCTTAATTTTGTATGTATACATGTGCTTTTTTTATATATAGTTGTATAATCATTCCTAGATTTTCCACTCATTTGGTCCCTCCGCGTTTCCAAATGCATTTGTATCTGTGAACCTGACAAGTGTCTTAATAAAAATATAATAAAAAAAAAGAAAAGAAAACAAGACGCATGACACTGAAATTTCTCCCCCGCCACAAGATATTATGGTGGGTTTTGCAAGAATGCAGACCTCTACATTAGACAGCATATAAAATTCAGAACGTCAGAAGACTCGTGTAGGTTCTCTGGTGGTTCTGGATAGTAAATAAAATGTCTATATCTGTGTTGTAGTCATGGCGACCCCTGGTTCCTATCACCACCACTGTAAAGACATCTGAACCATTTCACACCAAACCACTCTGAATCTCTCTGTTTACATCTCACACACTGAGTTATAAAATAATTTAGAAGAAACAATGGTGGAACTCCCCTTAAACATCATTAAGCTGAGTGAGGGGCAGTTTGTCCACTTATTTGTTTGTTTAAAATTCACTCAGATGAACCCGTTTCTGCGCCCTTTCTTTTTCGAATGAATTGGCTTTTTTTGCCAGGCAAACGTTTTATATTCTCACTGTGACCGTGGCTTAAGACTTCGATTTTTATCTTCTTTCCAACAAGGACTTCCAAAATACCTGCCCAATTTTTTCCTGTATCAGAAGTCTTGTTTTAGCATGTACTTGGGTAACAAACACACAAACACATACACACACCTGCTCTGAGGGTCCCAGAGGCAGCTTGAGAAGCTCCTTCATCAGGTCGAGCTCCTGACACTTCTCGTACAGGAACCGCAGCAGGTCCTCCAGGTTGAGCTTATTAGCATGCTGTCTGAGCAAAGCCCAGGCTTCCACTAAACACCTACAGAGAGAGCGAGAGCGAGAGAGAAACAAAAAATAAGATTAATAAAGATCCAGGCAGTCAGAAACTGATCCTACATCAGCACTGTTACACCAAAAGTCTTGCTAGAAACTTCATTTGGGAGTTTCAAGGTGCCGTCCAATCGCTTTCGTTCCTTCCAAACTGTCCTGCACAGGGTATTCAGACGTTTTAAGGGAGAATCCAAACCACAACGGTTTATCACTTCATGGGAAGCTGCGGGAAAGTAGTCCACAACCCCACCCCAGCTGCTGATCACTGCTGAAGCTCCTGAGCCCTAAAACCGGTATTCGGCCCAGCCCTAATAAACGCTAATCTGGGGCGGAATATATACGTTTCTCTGTAATGAGATGAACCAGTAGGTGAAATGACAGATGTTGATCAGAGAGGTGTTTTCAGAGACATGCTGTCTTTATTTTATCCAGGTCTGAGCAGGTGAGCATGTGTGTTCGTACCTGTTGTGGAGCAGCACTGACAGGCAGAGCTTGGCCTGGCTGGTGGAGCTCAGAGGCGGCTTCATCACATGCAGGTATCGCAGGGCGATGCTGTGCTTCCCCTGACACATCAGAGCCTGCAGCACACGGCCATGCTGCCACACCAGAGAGAGTGACTGGTGGCAGGGTGGAGCAGCAGCTCCAGAGAGTTCTGAGGGAGAGAGGGAGAGGGAGAGAGAGAAAGAGAGAGAGAGAGAGAGAGAGAGAGAGAGAGAGAGAGAGAATGTTAGAATGACTGTGTGGATCATATGAACATTATAGAGCTTTTTAAATGAGACAGTAGAAGCCATATCGCCCCCTACACTTCCTGTAGTGTATTACAGTCTGTCAGAGTGACTGTGCGGATCATATGAACATTATGAAGAATTATGTTACTAGTTGTCAAATCAGATTAACTTTGCTGCAGCCCTCTGATTAATCTCTCTCTCCTGCTGCTTTTGCTGTAACTACAGTTCTCCTTTAGACGTTCTACATGAACAGTGAGGTTAATCGTTACCTCGTGGTCGTGATGATCCAGTAACCACAAGCCTTGTACGAGTTTCACTAAGCCAATAGGAATGGCGAAGGCAGTGGGGAAAGACTCCACAGAGGCTCCACTCTTATTAGGAAAGGAGTACATGACATCCAGCAGCAAATATATAACCTGGAGTGCCCAGTTAAGAACAGATACTCGCCAGAAAGAGACTAAATTTATAAGTTGTCTTATGTCTTAGCACTCCAAATATCAAAAGGAGCTCATATTTTACGTTTTTCTTGCATTGTGTTATATTTTTTATTGTATATTTACCGGCAAGAACAGCAAAACATTTACATGTTACAGATTCTTATTTCAAAAAAGACAAAAAAAAAGACAATTAAATTTTCCATGATATGAGCCCTTTAACTCTCCTTCTAATGAAGCCTTATGGCTTAAAAAATCTCACAAACAACAAAACATCTTTAATTAATGATAAAAAGTGTGAACAAAATGTTTAAAACCCCTCAGGTAGTCGGAAAGGATACAATGGCATGTTTGGCAGATTCTTCAACGTTTTCCAGGAGGTACAAATCCAGCAAAGCCTGCAGGAGAACAAACAAATAAGGATAATTCTGCAAAAAGGTTCCTAAAACAGATCTAAAAGACGCAGCTTTGGGAACTGAAGTCTTACATGGAGCGATGGGGGTGGATACTGTCCCGTCCCACCCTCGTCCCTTTTCCACAGCTCTACGAGACGTTCTCCACACTGGGCCACCAACCCGTCGATCATCAGGCAGTCGGCAGACCACTTATCTCTGCCGAAAGAAGAGTGGGGGGGGGGGCAATAAACCAACAGTACATTGTGATTTGGGTACATTTCGCCTCACTACATCCTATTCATTTAAAAGGAGATTTTATGCAAATGCACTGTATTCAGCAGGTAAATGCAGACACTTCATCAAAAACAGCAAACACTGAAGTTTGTCCTGAAGTCGAGCGGCTTTCTTTATGTTCTTTCTGTTTGTGTGGGTTCAGGTCACAAATCATCTTTACATGCATTTTCAAAACTCTTAATCCCTTATAATTAAACACTATTTGTGGTACTGTGCCTTTAAGACTGATGTATGTAAAAGTGCTCTGCTCTGCACGAGTGGGCAGGGCTAAACTGCTGTAGGCTGAATGGGCAGATATATGTAAATGTCTGACATCACAGAAGCAGCGTATTCAAAACTGATTTTCACAGTTTAATTTTCATATATATGTGCTGAACGCCTTGAAACCAACAATATTTACAAACTACATCAAACTCTTATTTCAACAAAGTGAGCAAAACAAGTTTCACATCATATCATCATACACACAAACACCATACGAGCCCTTTAACAGCTCACAGACTTACTTTGCGAGCCTCTGTAGCTCCTCTCTTTGTCCTGTGTAGTAATTCTTAATGACTGAAAAACTGTAAAAGGGTCTTGATATTTGCAGGACGTCGTCATCTGTTCAATAAAAGAAACACAGTGAAGCTGCTTCAATACACACACAACGTTTTCATTCATTAAACTAATAAAAATAATAAATAAATAAGTACCAGAGCTCTCGGGGAGAAGGCCGGTGCGACAGAACCACAGGACCACCTGAGCGTACTGCGAGATCAGACTGGAGACCATGCTCTTATTCATCAGTCCTATCAGACCTGGGAATTAAACAGACACATCCACTTATTATTATTAACCTAATCATGACTATTGATTAGAAATCCGTGGATCAATACCAGAGCTGGGTAGTAACTAGTGTGATTTAATCAGCTAAAATGAAGGAAATGAAAAAGACACAAAGAAAATAAAATCAGAAACAGACTGCGTATTTTATAACGTCAGATTAAATTTTCACAGCCTTTTTTCTGATTCATTATAATTGCAGTAACAATTTAGCATAAATTAATTTATGTTTCCCCCAACAAAAATGAATGATTTAGCTTTTATTTCCTGTTTTTTTTTAACCTCAGGAATTCAGTTTATGTATAAAATTTAAAATTTCAATAGTTTAAGTAGAAATAGTAATTTACAACCACGCAACTTGAATTTCTTTGTATAATCCATTAAGATTTAAAAAAAAATATATATATATATTAAAGGCCAAGATCCATTCAAACATGTAACCAGAAGCTTCTTATCAGGGAAATTACCACGAGAGGTTCATAAGTTATTTATTTTGTGTCGTGTTATTAATTGCTAAATCTCTATAATGTAAATCTCTACACCTCTAATGACTTATCAGTTCTTTTCCCAAAACAGCGATTTGTCTTTACACCATGAGGTTATTTTTCCATCATCGACAATATCGGATTTCATCGCCTCGTTGACCAGGCCTGGTGTACCGCACAGTCATTACTTCACTGCAGTAACACCTTGGCGACTCCATACACCTCTAACCAAACAACAGCTCTTCATCGTCTATACGAGTCACAGAAACGAAAGCGAAAGGAGGCGAGAGAACGACAGAAGGAGTTAATGAGTGTAAGCACCTCTCTGCGTGAGCTCCTGGGCCTCGCTCAGCAGGCAGTGGAAGATGGTGCTGAGGTTGCTCAGTAAGCGCTGACTGTGCTGGAGCAGCTGCATCGTCTGAGGGTCCGTGAAGTTTGAGGAGGTGTCGAACAGCGGAGCACCTGAACACACAAACGGGGTTAAAACACTGTATTTCCTCTTTACTCTGCTTTGTTTTATATAACATCGGCTACACCGTCGCTTTGTTTATCTGAATTAGTAGTCGACGGTCCACCGGCTGAAACTCTTTGTCAGGTATGATTTGTGATTCACCACAAATGAGCGCAGATAACGTGATGTACAAACAGTGCAAACCACGCTAACGTCCCGTTTAGCTGAGTGTCCGAGTCGGGGATGTTTCAGCCACATTTAGAATGAGAATAAAAACGTAAGCAGATCCTCAATCGCCGCTGTCTAGAACGCTTCATCTGCCGTTGAACGCTTTGTATTCAAGGCAGCAAACACAAAGGAACAGCCTGACGCATTAGCCTACACACTGAAAGATGGTTCTTCAAGGGTTCTTAAGTAAAGAAAATGGTTCTGTGTAGAACCATAAACATTCAAAGAACCCTTTGCATCATTAAAGGGTTCTCTGCATGGTGGAATGGTTCTTCAGACTTTTGGAGAAGGGTTCTTCTATTGTTACAAGCTTGGCATTGTAACTCCATTTAAGGTGGAACAGAAAATTCAAACAAATAGCAGCCGACTGTGAAAAAAGTGCCCTGTAAAATTCAGTGTGAAATAAAATGTGTGCTGTTAAATGTTCTGCTGTGCTAAAAAGCAATACTGACAGGTTCATCTATACATTGTTCAGTTCTGTTTTTATACCAAATAAAATTTCACATTTATAGTTGTTACAAATGGTTTGCATTTAGAAGTAAAAGTAAAAGAACACTGCATAATAAGCCAATGTTTACCCATAAAATATGTTAGAGCACTAAAATAATTTTACTTGAAATAAAAATTCTACATACACCACAATACATACCAAAACAGACAAATTTTAGTTTAATTTTGGTTTTTTTAAACTTCATTCTTAAGAAAATGTATGAAAAAAAATGTTATTCACGTAACTTCTTAAGAATCATGTTATTCTCTTTTCTTAAATAATTCCTTAAGAATAATTCTAAGAACAAGTGGTATTTTTAAAAATATTATATTTTGCAATGTTTTCTCATCTTACAACTCGCACCCTCACGCTCGTCTCAGTCTGTCTCTCTCACACTGTTTATGGTACGTGGTAAAATGCAACAGCCAACAAAAACAATGAAGAATTTAAGAAAATCTTTTGAAAATAATTAAGATAAGAGAACATCTGAGAACTGTGTAATTTTTTTTTGAGAACTGGATTTAAGAATATTCTTATGAACTTCTTAGTGTTTGTTTTAAGAACCTTCACAAGGTTTTATTAAAGATTTCGTGGATTTGGCCCCTGAAGCCTGACCGAAAATTACCCAGGTGGCCAACACTGCCACACTTACCTTTGGGGTGATTATTGTTCACTGTCCCTGAGATAGTGACAAATAATTACAAATTATCAGCATAACAATTCACACGAGTCAAATGTTGACATGTATTTTAGAATTTTTTAGTATTTGGTGGTGGGTCCTACTTTTGTGTTAACCGCAGTGTGCACTCGAGCTGCACGAACTCCACAAGTTTGTGTAAAAGTCTCTGATCAGCAGATCGATTCCTCCTGAGTCTCTGAACACGAGCCTCACTCAAGAGATCAGACTAAGACCCAGTCCCATTTCTTCTTTTTACCCCTACCCCTTGTTTTCGAGTGTCACCCTAACCCCTGGAACTGAGTTACTGGGTAGTGGTTGAAATCTTCCTCTGAAATGGGACCCTCAAATAAAAAGAGCATCACTTCATTAACAGCTACCAGCGCTGCTCTGTAGGAGACCCTGCCAGTCTGCAGTGACAGCAGAGGAGGGTAAAGTTCAGCTCCTCACTGCTGGGCTTTAGTTACATTTAGGGCATCATATGATCTTCAAAGAGGGGGGCAATTATTTATTATCACCCACCCCTAATTCTTCAGTGATATGAAGCTGAAGTCAGATATTCACCAGATTCTTGTTCTAATTTTCCCGTCAGAACTGCTGGACTATTTAAGGTGGAACGGGAAAGTTAGCTTGCTAGATACCGAGACATTAGCAAACGATTAGCGTTTTTTTATTTTAATGCTTGTTATGAAGAAAAGGATCATAATACACTGAAACTACATTAAACCATAGATTATATGATGGTTATCATAATTTTTAGTGGAGAAAATTCTCACATCTGTGGGTTTCTTTGGTCTCTTGTTCTCCATCTTACCGGTTTTTCGTTTTTTTCCCCTCTCATAACACTGAAAATCCTGTTTGGAGGGTCATGTAGCCCCAACACTTCACCCCACCCCTCTATCTCAACCATCGGGACCCCCTACCCCTAGACAAGAACACGCAAAACAGAGGGCTAAGGGCTCAGTGGTAGGGGTGAAACAGGGATTGGGCCTAAAAACACTAAAAATGTATTTATTTTAATGGTCATAAGTTCATTTGTGTTTTATAAATTCTAAATTGTTTATTTTCAGGTTTAAATGAAAAACATCCCAAATTTTCACTGTGGTCTCAGACTTTTCGACCCCGCAGTGCCCAAATCGCAACAACTGCCAAACCAGAGATCCCACACAACACAGACTCCCAGTCTTCTCTTGAACTGAAGCACCGTCACTCACATATGCTGTCCAGCTCCTCCTTGGTGTGCACCACTTTATCCCAGGCCCACTCCAGAATATAGCGCAGCTTCACTGCTGATCCGGGTTGCTCTGTTTGTAAATACGACGCAGTAACAGCCGTTAGGACACTCGCAGACGTAAGAGGGAAAAGTAAAAGGTTTCCACACAAATAGATTAAGCTAAACCAAACCTGCTCCAACTGAATCCCAGAACAGATTTAATTCATTCTATTTTATGGTTTAAAAGGTAGGAAGCTTCATGTTCTCCTCACCCTCAGCTGTCCACTGCTTAATACAGCCGGTGATGAGCCCCAGAGAGCTGGTCTCCACTGCGGTCGTCAGGATCGCGTCCAGCTGCTCCTCCTGGACGGACAAACAAAACAGACGTCACAAACAGTCCAAACACAGAGTAGAGGATAACAGAGAAATTAAAGTAACAGTTCACCAAATAAAGCTTAGTTCTTTAGTTTAGTGCTGGATCAACAAGGCTAACGTACACTCAAATATGATGGTTCTTCAAGGGTTCTTTAGTAAAGAAAATGGTTCTATATTGAACCACGAACACACAGTTCAGGGTTGTTCAGACTGATGGAGAACGTGCTACAGACGGTTCTGTATACAACCTTTTTGAAAAGGGTCCTATATAGCACCAAAAAGGGTTCTGCTATTGTTACGATGTCAAGCAAGTAACAATAGAGGACCTTTTTGGTGCTATATAGGACCCTTTTCAAAAAACACTTCATAAAACACTTTATTCAATCTGAAGAACCGTCTTATGACAAAGAAACCATTAATCATGCAGGGAGTTCTTTGAGTGTTCATGGCTCCATACAGAACCATCTTAAGTGTGTAGCAAAAAGAAGCAAACATGACATCTACAGCAAATTATTAAAAGACCTTTTTCAATTGTTAATACACACTTTATATTTGAGCAAGTTAGATATTAAATGTGATGTGCAAAAGTTTGGACAGCATTTCAGTCTCAAAATTGAACCAAAACTTCACAAAATTAACCTCTTATCCTCGTGGGTATATTTAGTTTTTTCCGTCTGAATTTACATGCCCAAATCATAAGGCAAATTATTCAGTAACTGCATTAAATAAATGTAAATTTGTGTGTTTTTTTTGGTAAAAGCTCCACTCAAATTTACAGAAAATGTGTTTTATGATTATACACATATTGCTATATGCTTACAATTTACTGCTGAACGCCAAAAATCTGAATGCTCTTTGCATTTTTTTTATAAAAATAATTTTGACAGAGCAGATCACTGAAGAGACGCCATCTGAGATCCAGTTTATAGCCCAGATTTGTGGAAAAATGGGTCGACTTTCAGTAGAAAAAAATTGTGAGTTCAGCTTTTATTATAAAAATTTAAAATCACATTACTCATCTATTTGACTGGAAAGAAGACAGTTACAGCTCTCATACGACCCCCACCTTTAGAATATAGGTTATGAAATATGAAAGTTATGAAGTAAAGAATATGTAGAAGTGCGTTTTCGAACCATCGAGTTTAAAAAGGTTAACTCTGGGCTAGTGGCTCCCAACCCCGGTCCTGGAGGACACCCCACCCTGCTCCCAACCCCGGTCCTGGAGGACACCCCACCCTGCTCCCAACACACCTGACCCAACTAATCCGCTCATTAATCAGCCCTTCCTGAGGAAGTGGGGGTGTTTTGACAGGAAAACACAAAGGTGCAGGGCAGGTGGTCCTCCAGGACCAGGGATAGGAACCACTGTGTCAGGCCTTTACTGACTTGTTAGGTCAAGAGCGGTGACCAGGAACCACCAGCTGATAATCCCAAAGCATAATAAGTTCTTTGAGTGCCAACACTCAACACTCATGAACTCCTCTAGGTAGCTAGCTGAGGATCTGAAAATGAAACTAACTGATGCCTTTAAAACACGAGAAGGTTATAAAAAGATATAAAGATCAAACTATAAAATGTTATCAGTTTCCAGATAATTTCCACTGTCTCAGGAACTGCTCAGAAATTCTTCAAAAAAGGTATGCTTGGAGGAAAAAAGGAGCAGCATTTGATGAAAAGAACACCGTGTCAACTGTTAAGAAGGGGGCGGAGCTATGATGCTGTGGGGCTGTATGGCAGCCCTTCACACAGGACATTTTTTTCTATCAAATATAAGATAACGGTGCACGAACATCTGCAGAATCTGCCCAAACTTTGTACGCAGCTGTACATAGAAGGGAAGCCGTGACAGTGTACAGCACTAATCTAATCAGTCTGTAGACGATAATGACCTGAGAGAGGCTGGAGGGCTGCACGTCCGCCAGGCGGGGGGCCAGCAGGCCGGACATGAGGCAGCGGGAATATCCGCTAGCGATGCCGTCGCTCAGACTGGGCACAGACTTCTTCAGGAAGCTCAGCGTCTAACAGGAATGAGATTTCAGTGAGTGTGCAGTTCACTCAGTTACACTAAAAAATTAACCAGCAGATCCAAACTGACCTCCTTCTGATAGCCAGAGCAGGTTAAGTGCACGATTCCAGCATTTAGCAGACAGCTCGCATCTAGAGGAAAACAGAAAATAAAACCAGTTAACGCTTTCGGTAACTAATATTATTTCTGGGACGAAGGCAGCTGCAATGCACAAGGACTCATCACCCTGTGGAAGAAAATATATTTATTATACTATATTTGTAAAAACTAGCAAATATACACACACATATCACTGCTGTCGGGACAAACCGCGTATCTCCAAAAACAAAAACTTTAAAAGAAAAACTTTACAGGGAACGTTCATAACGTTTTAAGGGTAGTAAATGGATTAATATTCCCCACCCCCCCCACGAAGTAATTTTTGACATCACAAAATTCTGACACATCATAAAGTGCAACTTGTCTGTAAATAAAAGTAAATATTTATGATACACATTTTATGTAACACATAAAATATATTGCCAAAAATATGTATATTTTTGGCTTATATATAACAATAAAAATTGTAAGCATAAATAAATACTAATATATTTTAAAATCTTATAACGTATACAAATACAAAACTAATAAAATCTAAAAAAGCCTACGTATGAGTAACAATTATATAAAAATTATACACTAAAAATATACGTATAAAAAGAAAAAAAAAACACAGTTAACAGTGCTAAATGCTAATATTAGCAATGTTGACTCATGGACAAAAAACTATTCAATGACTGAGCATTTCACAGCAGATCACTACAAACACTAACGTTGGAGTTCACTATGAAAGACAATACCAATCAATGCTAACAGGACAGACAAGCATGAGCGCCGTAATGGTGCTGGGACGGTATGTGAGAACTTGCCGAAGTTGTAGGTGGTGGGGTTGAAGAACTGCTCAGGTGGGGGGCAGGTGTAGGGCAGCCCTCTGCTCAGGCTGCGTTCGTGCACCACCACGTCCAGCAGGATGGAGGGCGCCGTCATCTCCACCACAGAGTCCAGAGACCACACTGCCAGGTACGGACAGTTCCTCAGAGACTCACCCGCCCTGGAGACGACCAGCGAGAACACCAGCGTTAGAACAACCTTTTAGATTTAAGACTACAAAACTGGATTCAGGGGTTCAGACTGAAAGCCTTTCATAGTCTAGATGACATCTGTAGCTCGACAAGGGAGCTGTAGGTCTGAGACAAAACATCTGTATTTTCTATGAACGTGTTCTACTGGAACAGTGAAGCCGCACAGAGCAGGAAACGGCTTTTACAGTCAAACTGCATTAACAGTAGGATTTTAAGCTGCAGGGTCGTCACGGCAACCAGAAAAACTACGTTTTCCACAAGCTTGTGTTTCACTCACGAGTTCTTTCTCCGTCACGCAGAGTTGCCAGATTCATGTTTTTTCCAAAAATTCCAGTTAGTCTGAAAGTGCAGTGCGGGGGATGTTACACTGTCGCGGGTGGGTTTTCTGCTTTGACTACTTTTTAAAGTAATCAGTCGCACGCCGTGACCATGGCAACAGTCCAGAACGTGGAACTTTGAGTTTCTATCCAATCAGAGAGCACAACAATGTCTGAACCCTTTTAAAAATTATTGATGTACGTGACAAGATCTGCGACACCCAAGCAGACACAAATTGTGTCTCTTTTACACCGTTTTTTGCCGAGCATCGCTGATCGCCTGGACTATAAAATGGTCTTTGGAGGGGACCTACAATGCTTTTCCGTTTTTTCCCCCTTTCCTTTACCGTGTTGTTGCTTTTTGTGTATGTAAATGAGTCCCAAAGCTCAGCGTTCCCTCCAGAGGGAGAAACTCTCTCCCACAGAACCCACTTTTCTCAGCTGCCTGAAACGCCTCGTTGGAATTCCAGCCCTTTTCCTTTGTTACAGGACAACTCAATCTCGTAACACAGTCCTTACTGCCCGCCTCCTGACGAGCTCCGCCCCCTCACACAGAGAGATACAGAGTAAAACCTTTCCGCTCTGAAATGTCCGGCTCAGTCCAGCTCGCGAAGGTGGATCGGCTCTACCAGCTTGTTCTACCAGACTCTGGATCAAACTGATACAGCAGAATTGGTTTTGCTGGAGAAACAGCCACAGCTGTGTGAGCGGTGGAACCTGTAGCAGGATGACCAATCAGAACAGAGTGGGTGAGCTGACCAATCAGAGCACTCGGGGCTCATCGGGAGGCGGGGCTTAAAGACACCAGAGCTCTGACAGAGTGTTTCAGACAGAGGGTGAATAGAGATGAACAGTATGAGGAAAATGTGTTTTTGGAACACTGAAGCTGTAAATCTGTTCTAGTAGACCAAAAACAAAATGAGCTAAACTGAAAATGAACATAACAGGTGTCCTTTAAGGCAATTGAGCACACAAATATGCTTCAAGTCCAATGGATTAGCTCCGACTTGACAAACAGCATGGAAATATACTGTACTTTTTTTTTGCATTCACAAGCTTAAACTTAGGGCTGGGCAATATGGCAATATTTATCATTATCATGATAAATTACATTATAATGTGTCACAACAAGCTTTTCTCAGCATATTGTGGATTAAAAATATATATAACCAAGACAGCATAATTTGTCCTGTTTTAGTGCAGCACAGTATGTGAAATATTAAAGCAGCACCATGGGCTCCAAATCCCCAAATCTTACACGGAGTTGCTTTACATACAAATAATTTGTTTCATAGTTTTTCCATTGTGTTTTTTTTTAAATATTACGCCACTTTGCCTGTAATAACTTACCAGATATCAATAAAAAATAAATGTTGGGGCTTATTGTGTATCATAAAAACCTGCTGAAGTATTGTGATATTACATTTCTGCCATATCGCCCAGCTCTACCGTAACTGTAAAACTGAACATGTTTTAGGCTGGTGCTGCATTCTCTCCTCACCTCAAAGAGTCAGGCATCTGTGCGTGGTACCATCTATTAATGTCAAAGACTCCAACGAAGGTGGAAGGCTGGCCCTGTCCATAGGACTTGACTTGCCAAGTGAATATCGACACACTTGTGTCAGGTGAAGCCACTGTAGATATGAGAGAGAGAACATCAGGCATCCAACTCTGCAGCGTTAAGATTTTTCAGAGGTAAATAATTTTAAAAAAGCTGAGAGCAAACCTTCGCTCATGCTGTCGTCTCGGTCCGGGTGGTGCCGGAACTTCTCAACGGTCTGGCAGCTGAGCAGCCGAGTGTTGGTGGCCTGAGCTCTCAGAGGAAACGCGGTACCGTTCAGATCCTGACTGTAGCGTTCCTCACAGTACTCCAGACCCTGGAAGAAGAGCATGAGAACTCATTATAACACCAAAAAAAAAAAAAAAAAACCACAAACTATTATGATCCACACAGTCACTCTGACAGACTGTAATACACTACAGGAAGTGTAGGGGGCGATATGGCTTCTACTGTTTCATTTAAAAAGCTCTATAATGTTCATATGATCCACACAGTCACTCTGACAGACTGTAATACACTACAGGAAGTGTAGGGGGCGATATGGCTTCTACTGTTTCATTTAAAAAGCTCTATAATGTTCATATGATCCACACAGTCACTCTGACAGACTGTAATACACTACAGGAAGTGTAGGGGGCGATATGGCTTCTACTGTTTCATTTAAAAAACCCCTATAATGTTCATATGATCCACACAGTCACTCTGACAGACTGTAATACACTACAGGAAGTGTAGGGGGCAATATGATCTTTTTTTTTACTGCATCATAAAAAATATTGCTCGTTACACAGACAAAAAACTTTGAATAATGGCAAAGACATAAAAGATGACAAAGCAGTTAGATTAGCCAATTAACTGAGCAAAATTCAACAGATTAGCTGAATATATACATAATTAAGTTTCAATTATACTCTTAAGTAGCTGCACTGATTCAACTAGAACATACAGTTCATATAAAGGTGCGTTAAACTAATTGTTTACCTCATAGAGAATCTTTCCTGAGGTCAGACACTTCCTCTCTCCAAAAGCCAGCTGCAGCAGATGGAGGCTCACGACGTCCCCTTCACTGCAAAAGAAAGGCTGTTTTAAAAGGATGTGCAGATTGGAGAACATCCTGTACCTCCTTAAATAGGAAAACTTCACTGAAAGTTCTAATTTGGGAAGACAGTAGCAGAATGAAGCGGCTGCATAGACTAGCTGGCCAATATATCCACTAGTGGGCGCTGTGGGACGTTGTTGAGTAATGAAGATGGTATTTATTTAAATTATAAAATGGTGGCATGTAGTTTACTGTGATAAAACATTAAATTTTACTAACCAACCAGGCCTGGCTGACAGGGCGACGTTACTGCGTATCATCAACGACCGACAAGTAATTCAATGATGCTTCAAAGGTGATAATATTTGTGTTGGGAAACTGAATTAGAATTAGAGAGAATGTACTAATGTACCTTTAAAAAGTTAAATAATAATAATAATAATAATAATAATAATAATATGTACGAAATGTTTTATTCACTGTTACTATTAAAACATCGGGTCATTATGGGGCCTTTAAAAGCCGTCAGGCTGCAGGAGAGTAAATTCCTCACTGGCTCTGCTGTTTGAGCCACTGTCTGAGAAAAATTCAGTGGTTTCTGAAGAGCTGAACTGTCCCGGTGCTTCACATGAAAGAAATTGTGAATTGTGAAAATATAATATTCTATGGTTCTCTAAAGACACTTCCAGCTGAATTCCAGAGTGTCACTGCTATAATGATGGAAAACACCTCATTTATTTTAAATATGTAAATTAGGCGGGCAGGGCATTGGAAATAGTTTTTAGCGCATGTGTTGCAGCCTGAAGAAACATAAGCTAAAAATAAAAAAGAAAGCAGTATTAAGCTGCAGCGGACAATATTTGTTTGTGTATTTACAGATTATTTTAAAACATCTGTAGACAGGAGAGTTCTGTAAAATATTAAAAATAACTAAGACTAACTTCTTAGTATACACACACACACACACACATATACACACACACACACACATATATATATATATATATATATATATCGTCATAAATATTTATTTTTCCATCTGCACTTGGATTTTAAAGGTGTAAATGTTAAATATTGGGACATTTTTGCCTCTCAATATTCCTGACACTGACTAGTTGACCGATGAAGATGGAGGTGTGTAAGCCCCACTGTGTTAGCAGACACTCACTGATCCTGCGCAGACTGAACAGCCCACAGATAGCAGCAGTTCCTCGGGTCGTTCTCTGGCTCCTGGAAGGTGAAGGCATAAACAGGCACTCTGCCGCCCTCTAGCTGAGAGTGATACCTGAAAAAAAACAAAAACAAAGAGATTGACAGCACAGTTATTCAACAGAATACTTCATAATTGGCTACAAGTGAAAGGCAAAAACTCATTCATAAATAAATTTAATGGTAATGAAATTGGGAACGATAAAGACTTGTTTCTTTGCTGTCCTGCAGCCGTGTTTCTATGAGGAGCGACAGACATGTGATTTATAATCTGTCCATGTGAATCACCTAGACGCCCGAGAACAACCACAATGACCGACCACACTGAAAATGGGAAAGTGAAGGCAACAATCCGAAATGCCTTATTTATCACACCTGATTCAACTCATAAGCTAATTAGTAAGGCCTTAATACGAGTCCGTCCCTGCCTGGGACTGTAACTCCTCACTCACTCCTTCTTGAGCGTCTTCATGTTCCACAGCTGCAGGTATCCGTCAGAGAAGCCCACAGCGAGCTGGTTGGTGCGGTGGATGTACTGCAGGGCTGTAGCTCCGGTACCGGTGGGGCTGCAGAGCTGGAGACATAAATGCCTGCCCTGCTGAGTCACTCCCTCACGAAGACGAGGAATCTCTGAGGGAGACTTATTCACCACCTCCAGATCTGAGAACAACAGAAAGACACAGCTTTGAGGACAAGAAAGAAAAACGTCATCTTACAGGGTGAGAAAGAACGCTGAGGTAGCACAGAGCAGAAGCATTAAACATGAGCCTGTTCAGATATAAATCAAATTTAAAATCTTTTCAGCAGCGCAGTGGCTGTTTGTTATGAGATAAAGCCATAACTAATCCAGCACAGGCAGAATATCATTTTTTGGGGGGAAAATACTGACTTAGACTACTTTAAGTGTATTAATCAGTATATTTGAGTGCAATGCCCTTGATTTTGTTTGATTTGTTGCTGTAGTGGTAACAAATGAAAGCTGATATCTGAGTGGTTAAAGCTTCCCGCTGCGTTACGTCTGCTGTGCGTTCTAGCACACTAACAAGTATGTAAGAAAACAGTGCTGCATCATTAGAAGTGCACGCATTATCATAGTAGGTGAAGTACAGGATTGTGTGGTTTGGGACACAACGCTAGATCAGCCCATGAGACGTGTTCAACAGTCCAGCAGCTCCAGTGGCCAATCAGAGGTCTGTCGAGCTGCTCATTAGATGCTCATTAAACATCTCCAAGACAAATATAATGAGGTAAACTGGACGTCTACAAATTTTGTCACACGATACTGGCTTCTTATTCACCAGGGTTCCCTTTTGCAATTCATGCTACATATAAAAAGGTGCCTAAATGTATCTGCTGCATTTGAAGTGAACTAGAAAAATGTTCCCGTTCCACCTTAAATGGTACGCGAGGTGCCAGCATGTAGCTAACAGCTGCACCATTTAAAGTAGATCAGGAAAATCTGAACAAGAAGCTGGCGAATAGGAAGCCAACTTTAGCTTCGTCCTTCTTACTGTGTTTTGGGGTTTATACTACTTTTATGTGTATTAAGATTAGATTAGATTAATCTGTGTCTGAGGATTATAACAAAACAAATTTGGTGAAAATCAGTTGAGTAATAAGGAAGTTGTGGCTGATTTAATCCTGAGACTCTTCGTCTCTCAATACAAGTGAATTTGTTCACAAGCGGATCTTGACCTCTCCAACATGGCGGACACTCAGACGTTTCGCCTCAGATAGAGAACAACAGACAACGCAGCATCTGGGTATGGATAGCCACGTTCTCCTCGTAGTGTTTTCTGGAGACGCATCTAAAGTGCCCACATATCTGTTTGTGTGTTTGTGGTCATTCTGGTCTGTGTTGTTGGTGTTGATCCTCCTGCAGGGCTGTATCTGCAGTAACGGTGATGAGACGAACTCCATCAGAGCACAGAGTCACAGCTCACCTGCCTGTAGGCGAAGGGGCCATAATGACGTAATCAAAAGCTAAAGGAGTGTGATCTATGAGCTGACCTGAAGCCTCCAGTTCACTCTGGGTGCAGGACAGGTCATCCAGGCACAGATCCACCAGAAGAACGTGGCCAATATCAGTCACCACTGCAGCGACGCCGAAGAACCAGCGCAGGCTCTGGTGCAGATGCTGTGTGCTCGTGCTGGCTCCCCCGTAACTCACCAGCGGCTCGATGGCTGTGATCTGTAGAGGAGAAGAGGGTTTAAAAGCTTAGCCAGGGTTTCTTCACCACAAAACATGGGGATTAATTAACATGCAGCAATATTCAGGAAACGCGCAGCACAATCATACACTCATGGCTCATTTATGCTCAACGTTAAATACGGATATCATACAGACGGAGCCTCCGATCCTTACTCTGCGTTAATTTCCTCCATGTTTGTGCACAGTGAAAGCTTACGGAGACGGATGAAACGGAGCAGCACCACTGGAAGCCGTGGTGTCGGGGGGGGGTGGGGGTGATGGGTGTAGAGAATAGTTCACGCAAGACAATGTGAGTTTCTCTCATTGAAAAGAATTCAAATATTTCCGTTCCACCTTAAATGGTGCCAGAATGTAACTGCTGCTCCATTTAAGGTGAAACAGGACAACTTGAACAAGAAGCTGCCGAATTAGAGAGTTCAGCTTCGTGACTTTTTAGTGTTGGTCAGTTTCTCGTTTCAGATTAAACGTATCAGGAAACCAGCTGGAGTTATTATAAAAACAAAATGTCCATTCGTCTCCAAATTATCTATATGGTGACCAGCAGTCTGCGCTGATCTTCAGGGTTAAAGGGTGAATCAGCAGTTCTACATTAACTCCAGAGTTTAAGACCATTTATTGTTAAACTGTGTTGAGCTTTATTTTACTGTAAAGGAGGATTATTTTATTTTTACCTACTAATCTGATTCAGCTGTGGAGCCGCAACAGGGCAGTGTGTTGCCGACCCCTGGACTAGACTAAGATGACCACAGCTGTCAGAAAGAAGGCCTTCAGCTATCCACACTGCTGGGCACCAGTTTTTCAGTTCAATGGAAACACACTTTTGTTTATCGAGCTAAAATGGCTCGCTGTCGTCTCCTCTGCTCACCGTGACAACAATGAGCTGTTCAGAAGGAGATCTGGTCAGTTTTATGATGCAAAAATAGTGGTTTGCGGCTGGTCGGTTTGCATGTCAGTCAAATGGCCCTTTCCAGTTGGAGTAGCTGTTTTTTGTGCACGCTCAGTGATAAAAGTCCTGTCCACAGTCAGATACCTGGTTGCGAGACGTAATAATAAATAATAATAGTACTAATTTTATTTATATAGCATTTTTCATGCCGGTGGCAACTCAAAGTGCTTTGACAGACAGGAGATAAAACAGTTATAGAAAACATCATTAGTACTAAATTAGAATCAGAAGAAAATGAAGATTAAATTAGAAGATAAAAACCACGAGACATTCAGTTTTAGTTAAATGCTAATTTAAAGAGATCCGTTTTTAGGTGCTTCTTAAAAGTGAGCACTGAGCCTGACTGTCTAATAAAAGGTGAATTGAGTTCCACAGTTTAGATGTTGAATAACTGAAAGAGTCTCTCCATGTTTTCTGTATTTTACAGAGGGTGTCTGTAGAAGGCCACTATCTGCAGATCTTAGATTGCGTGCCGGAACATAAACAGACAGACACTCTGTGATGTAAGCAGTGCTTTAAGGTTGTTTTGTTTCTCAAAAATTATTTTTCTCTGAGTTTCTGTACCAACAATCAGTCATTTTTTCATGATTTAATTGTAGAAAATTTTGCAACATCCACTGAGAAATATCTGACCCACAGCTGGTTAGTCTGTCTACAGAGTCTTGATCTTCAGAAGGAATAGTAATGTATAGCTGGGTGTCGTCAGAGTGGCTATGAAAATTTATGCTATGTTCCCTAATAACATCACCTAGAGGTAGCATGTACAAAGAGAAAAATAAAGGCCCTAAGACTGAACCTTGGGGGACTCCACAAGAAACGGCAAATCGTTTTGATGAATGAATTCCAAGTGAAACCATGAACTGCCTATTACTTAAATATGATCTAAACCATTCTAAAACTGCGCCTGAGAGGCCGACCCAGTATTCAAGACGCTGGAGTAAAATCTTGTGGTCAACGGTATCAAAGGCTGCACTGAGATCGAATAAAACCAAAACAGAAGGATTTTGTGCATCAGCGCTGAGCCTGAGGGCTGAAAGATCAATCGTTTCTATATCGAAATCGCATTTGAGAGAGTGCAACTTTCAAACCGCAAGAGCTGCAGTTTTATTATATTACCGTCTAAATTATCAACAACATTGTCCTCATTTCTAAGTGGGGAAACTTAACCTAATAACATAGAGCTTATGAACTGCCTGTAGATGAGTTAGACCAATCGGAGACAATCAAACCTCCATGTGTTGTGACATCACAACCACAACTTAGTGGCAGTCTGGCTCACTACGTTTAGGGGTCGAACCTTAAGCCAGAAAAAGTAGATAATCTGGTCTGAACTTTAATTTCTTGAAAATAAGCGCAGCTGAAATCACACTCGCAATATTAGTCCAAAAATTCCCAATTCGATATTTTTCCCCAAATCATTCAGCCCTAGCGAAATGACACGACTCACCCTGCCTGGCATGACCACAGCTTTGACCACCCGAGAGATCCCCAGGTCATAGAGACACAGCATGCTACCCTCGTCCTCCTCCAGTCCCACCAGCAGGCCGCTGCGCTTCAACCAGCTGAAGTCCCGCACTGCTAGGATGGTCGGGGGGTGCTCCATCACGCCGCTGAAGCGGTAGGCTGAGAACCGCTCCCCCTGTCACCGCGTGGACCACCTCCAGCTGAGGACCACACGCCAGCCAGGCCAGCCCACTGCGACCTGCGCACAAAGAACAAACTCAGATCACTGGACCACAGAAAGGTTCACTGTATCACACAGAAGGACCAGTTTTCCACTGAAAGGTTTTATTTGATTTAAAAAATAAATTTACACAATTTTTCCTTCCTCCCACAAAAAAAAAACACAGCTGACCAGCTGACCAGACATATCTGGTGCCCACTTGTAAACCCTGTTACAGAGCACTTAATTCACGATCTCTCTGGACCGGCCTTCAAGTCCCATCCTACATTTTTCTTTCATTTTATTTTTCCGCTGAGCTCCACTAATATAATCTGTTTAGATTTATGTACCACAAATGTCATCATTCATTTCTACACAATCACTTTCCAACCTCTCCTTACCTTTTTACAATTAAACAGGCTGTTTTCATTACTGTCTTTAAGAATTACTATAAAAAATTAATTTAAAAAAAGAGCACTGTTCTGATTGGCCACATTCAAAACGCACTCTCAGAGCTGAATCACTGCTTATAACTTCAATTTGAGTGGGTGTGGCTAAACTGCTGTAGGGCTGAATTGGTGGATATATGAAAATGAGCTCGTTCTCATGACTTCAGAGAAACAATGAACCCTCCTGTGAGACTGTAATTTACTACTATCTTTTATCCTTGGGGTCAGTTTGACCCCAGCAATTTAAACCTCCAGCACATATCAAAGTTCTGCAGGGAAGAGCTCAGCTTCTTATTATAAGGGTTTAAAATTACATCACCCATCTATTTGACTGGAAAGAAGACAGTTACAGCCTCATACGACCCCCACCTTTAGAATGTAGCTTATGAAATATGAAAGTTATGAAGAATATGACGAAGTGCATTTTGGAACCACCGGTGGTCCCAAGGAGTTGAGAAGTTAACTTATTAGAAAACAGATAGTTCTGGCCCTAAAATCTGATTGGCTGAGCCGCATTCAAAGCCGTTGTAAATTCCACGACATATGCACAGCTATGACCTCATCACAACAGCTGTATCACTGCGCCACAGCACGAAAAAAACCCTTCTGCTGTTAATGAATAATGTTTGACTCTCATGCTGCTCACATAGAGCAAAGAGTACATTAATAAAGTAAGAACCCCATTTTTTGTTTAAACCGAGAGACTGGCAACTTATTTTCCTATCTAGAACTGGGCTGGTCAGCTAGCTAACAGGCTAAAAGAGAGCAAACAGCCTAATCAACTCCATCATTAACATCACAGGCTTGAATTAAAGCACTTGCGGTGTGATTAACTGTAAAACTGCAGTATAAAAGTCTAAAAATGTCACTTGAATGTCTCTCACACTTCCAATGTCCGTGTCTCAGTCAGAAGAAGCATCAAACCCAGGCTGAATCCCAAACGGCTCTGTACTCCCTAAATAGTGTGCTAACTATGAAAGTTTAGAGGTTCTAGCCTCTACAGCCAAACAGTGCATTATTTATCGAGTGTGGATGCGTCTGAATCCCAAATGACCATTTATTTTGTCTATATTAATGACAGTCATAGAGCAGGATCCAGTATTTAAACTCCTACATTGAGCACAAATGATATTTACTGAGAAACTGTGTTTCACATTATGTTAGCTGCTGTTTTCTAAAAGCAATTAGCCACTTAAGGCCGTGTGTAACTGCGATTTTATCACAGTGAAGGGGGTTTTACTCCACTTCATGTCGTGTCAAGGAACACCCCTGCTGTGATAAACCGCCGTAACACAGCCTCTTGTGGCTTACTGCTTCTTTAAATGATTGTTTGGGGGTAAACAGGTTACTGTACACTCACCGACAGTGAACTTCCCATGCAGCACTGAGTCCAGAGTGACCTCATCCTCCCCCAGAGCGTCTACTGTCACCTCCGGGAATCGCAGCAAGCTGCTGGTGACTTGGGCTGCCAGGTCACGCATGCTCACTAAACACAAACACACATTGAAAAAGGAAACATAAATTAATAAATAAGCTTAATAGTGACAGCAACTAAGAAACACCCTGTAATTAGACAGACTTCAGGCTATAAAAGGACTGCTCAGTATAGACGACCAGATTTCTGCAAACATCAAAATATTAGCATGCAGCGTAGTTACAGTACGGCTCACACAGCAGCGTGACAAACGTTGTGAACACAGATTAATAGCTGCACTGTGCCGTACCGCACTGCCCGGTGGAAAAGGCTGTCCAAAGCCATTCCTGACCGGAAGATCAGGCTGTAAATGAGCCACGGTAACGCACGTTTCCCCAAACACACCTGTTCAACACAATCTACATCCTGCACCTCTGTGTTTACTGTTTTGCACTGATCAGGCATCACATTGTGACCACCTCCTTGTTTCTACACTCATTGTCCATTTTATCAGCTCCACTTACTATATAGGTGCACTTTGTAGTTCTACAGTTACAGACTGTAGTCCATCTGTTTCTCTGATACTTTGTTAGCCCCCTTTTACTCTGTTCTTCAGTGGTCAGGACCCCCATGGACCCTCACAGAGCAGGTACTATTTGGGTGGTGGATCATTCTCAGCACTGCAGTAACACTGACGTGGTGGTGGTGTGTTGGTGTGTGTTGCGCTGGTCTGAGTGGATCAGACACAGCAGTGCTGCTGGAGTTTTTAAACACCTCAGTGTCGCTGCTGGACTGAGAATAGTCCACCAACTAAAAATATCCGGCCAACAGCGTCCTGTGACCACTGATGAAGGACTAGAGGATGACCAACACAAACTGTGCAGCAGCAGATGAGCTGTCGTCTCTGACTTTACATCTACAAGGTGGACTGACAAGGTAGGAGTGTCTAATAGAGTGGACAGTGAGTGGGACACAGTGTTTAAAAACTCCAGCAGCACTGCTGTGTCTGATCCACTCAGACCAGCACAACACACCACCACCACGCCAGTGTTACTGCAGTGCTGAGAATGACCTACCACCCAAATAGTACCTGCTCTGTGAGGGTCCATGGGGGTCCTGACCACTGAAGAACAGGGTAAAAGGGGGCTAACAAAGTATCAGAGAAACAGATGGACTACAGTCTGTAACTGTAGAACTACAAAGTGCACCTATATAGTAAGTGGAGCTGATAAAATGGACAATGAGCGTAGAAACAAGGAGGTGGTCAGAATGTGATGCCTGATCGGTGTAAAACAGCTTTGAGTGACTTAACTTCAATCCCTCCACCGGTTACTCAAAAGAGCTCACCAAATGAGTAAAAAGCTCTACCTTACGACACGTCGGCCCCAGAGGGGTGCTGTTCTGTGCGAGCTCACTCTGAGGACGCTGGGAACACAAGTGAAGCACAAAGAGCCTTTAGCAGCTCTGAGCAGCTGCTGTCAGCAGTTTTGCGCCTGTTAACAGCTGCGGCGCGTGAATCTGCGGCGCGTGAGCTCTGGAGCTTTCATTCAGTTAGAATCTGTAGCTGTATTACACAGGTGTGAACTTCGGGAGACACTAAGGCCCAACGCCCATTTCACCCCTCGCCCCTCCCGCTCAGCCCTACTCCTCTGCTTTGCTCGTTCCCGTCTAGGGGTAGGGTGTCCTGATTCTTGTTGAGATAGAGGGGTGGGGTGAAGTGTTGAGGCTACATGACCCTCCAAACGGAGGATTTTCAGAGACTCTAAACATAGAGTTACGAGAAAAAAAGACAAACCGGCGAGATGGAGAACAAGAGACCAAAGAGACCCACAAATGTGAGAATTTTCTCTGCTGAAATTACAACAACCATCTTATTATCTTAGTTTAATGTCTTTCAGTGTATTATGGTCGTTTTCTTCACTGCAAACATAAAATAATGTAGCTAATATTATGCTAATGTCTCAGTAGCTAGCGAGCTAACTTTCCCGTTCCACTTTAAATGGTGCAGCAGTTGCACTCTGGCTCCTCAGACGTCAGAACTGCTGCTCCATTTAAGGTGGAACCGGAAAATTCGAACAACATTCTGGTGAATATCTGACTTCATATCACTGAAGAATTGGGGGGTGATAATAAATAACTGTTCCTCTTCCAAAACATATGATTCCCTAAACCTGTCGTGGTTGCTAGGCTTTGGTGTCTCTCATGGTTGCTAAGCAGTTGCTATGGTGTCCTAGGTGGTCGCCAGCGATTGCTAGGCAGTTGCTTTGGTGTCCGTCCTGGTTCTCAAGCGGTTGCCATGATGTCCTAGGTGGTTCCTTAGAGGTTGCTAGGTAGTTGCTATGGTGTTTGTTGTGGTTGCTAGGCGGTTGCTATGGTTTCAGTTGTGGTTGCTAAGCGGTTGCAAGGCGGGTGCTACGGTTTTCATTGTGGTTGCTAGGCAGTTGCTATGGTGTCTAAGCGAGGTTGCTGAACTTTACCCTCCTCTGCTGTCACTGCAGACTGGCAGGGTCTCCTACAGAGCAGCGCTGGTAGCTGTTAATGAAGTGATGCTCTTTTTATTTGAGGGTCCCATTTCAGAGGGAAGATCTCAACCACTACCCTGTAACTCAGTTCCAAGGGGCAACGCTCGAAAACAAGGGGTAGGGGTAAAAAGTGGAAATGGGACTGGGCCGTATTCTCATATTCACATCTGCCAAACTGTGAAGTCACCGATTCCCATATAGAACATCTCATGTGCAGCGTTTTACAGTAGGAATAAATGGAGCTCATTATGCTGGTAGTGAACTATGCTGCGGACTCAGCTGCCTAAAAACCATAGAAACGGACCTTAAACAGAAGTGAGGACCCTGTTGGGGTTCATCCTAAAGTTAGGACAGGATTTAGGAGGTCTAGTCTAGTTAGGATGTTTGTGTGATGCTGTTTTCTTATCTGGAGTTCATGATGAGATTATGAAGGTAGGAACTGTTATTCTGGAACAGCTACTGTCCTGAATTCAGTCCGGACTGAAGTCGTCATGGAGATTAAACTGATTTCAGAGTAAGGAGGTTTGTGTAATACGGCTGCTGGATTAGATTAAACTAAGTGTGAAGTTCTCTGGGTAAGGATTAAATCCTGCTGCAGCGCTGAGTCTGAACGTTTCAGTGTCTTCTGTGCTGATTTATTTGCACTAACACCCGAATTTACCTCAATAAAGTCCATCTATCCACCCAACCTCAGCAGACCACTGCTGTACACTCCTAAAAAGGTTCCTCAAGGGTTCTTTAGAAATAAGAAAGGTTCTATTTAGAGCCATGAGTTCCATATAGGACAATTTGCATGCTTAAATGGTTCTTCGCATGATGAAACGGTGATTCAGACTAAGGGAGATCGTGTTACATATAGCACCAAAAGTTCTCTTGTACGCTCTTCAAAAATATGGAAATATGGATTAATAAAGAAAATGGTTTTCTATAGAACCATGTGTCAAAAAGGTTCTATACAGAACCATCTACAGCACATTCTACAGTCTGAAGAACCTTTTCATGATGCAAAGAGCCCTTTAATCATGCAGAGGATTCTTTGAATATTCATGGTTCTTTGCAGACCCATTTTCTTTATTAAAGAACCCCTGAAAACCCATCTTTTTAAGTGGGTACTGTTATGATGTCAGGCTTGTAACAACAGAGAAACGCTTTTTGGTGCTACACAGAACCATTCTCAAAAAGGTTCTTCATAAAGCCATACACAACACATTCTCCATCAATGTGAAGACCCATTTCACCATGCAAAGAACCATTTAAGTTCTATATAGAACTCTCTACACTGTTAGAAATAAAGGTTCTGTTCAGGAACATTTTTCATTCATCAAGGTACAAACAGTGTAAATGTTCCCTCAAAGCTCCAACAGTGGTTTTAAGGTCTGATTGTGAACCTTAAATAAGTTTTTCCAGGTGAAAAGTTCGTATTTGTACCTTTTCATAACCGAATGTTTTAAACAGAACAGTAAAATAAAGTCCTGGAGACGAGACGGGGTGTGTGGAGTCAGTACAGCTTAGAACATATCATTTCAGTGGATTATGGTTCAGTTATGTTCCCTGACTAAAGGTACTGAGATGGAGCCTTGAGGGTTCCACCCCAGTGACAGATTACTACCTTTCTGAGTGTGTATAGAATCTACACTGAAAAACCCTTAAAGGACCATCTTTAAGAGTGTAGGAACAGCGCCCCCTAGCACAACTGTGCGCGCTGCTCCATGAGTTTCAGCCTGCAGGACTCAAACTGAACCCGCGCAGAACAAAATCCGGGAAAACTGAAAGCAGAGCTGCTCCGCTTAAACTCCACAATCACTACAGTTCACTGTCTCAGCCAGCCTGCTGGGTCTTACCGTGTTTTACTGTGTAACATGCAGTTATAATACAATCTGTTCAATACTGACTAAACAATCTGATAAACCTTCTACAGATGATTCCAGATCATTAAACAACAGTACAACTCGCCCTAGAGCTGCTCTCCACTGCCCTGCGCTGCTTTAGCGTTCTCTCTCTCATCAAACACCCCCAAAGTAGCTCAGGAGCGCCGTCTTATCAGTTAATGAGCTGAATCAGGTGTGTTGGACCCCCAAAAAGCCACATCATGGACAGAACCGCGGGAGCACATGTTCGGTTTGCTCTCATCATGACTCAGTGGATGTGACCTCATGCGGGGCCTTCTGCTACAAGGCAAACCGCGAAAAGCATGTTTTAACTGCCGTTCCTTCAAAAACACTTACATATGAGCCGCAAGGGTCCAAAAATACCTCAACCGTTACTTACTTCCCAAGTTAACATGCTAACTTAGCGTGGGTTGCACAATTACTCCGTTCCACCTTAAATGGCGCAGCGGTTGCATTGCGCCGTTTAAGGTGGAACGGAAAATTCGAACAAGCAGTCTCGTAAGAAGCCCGCAATGAAGGGAACCGCTCCTTAAAACGCTTCAGGGCAGCGGCTCCTGTCTAATAAAGCTCAAATACAGAGTTAAACGATGAGTTTAGCGGAATTAATGTAAACAAACGCCGCAGGTTAAAGAAACAGGGTACAGCACTGTTAGCCTAACTCGGACTGCGACAGCGTGCAAACTACACCCCAATACAGGCTGACTAAACAATCCATAAGGTGCTTAAAGGCCTAAACGACCCTTAAACGTGTTCAGGGCGTGTTTAGCGAGTGTTTAGTGCGTGTTTAGTGAGTGTTGGCGCTCAGACTCGCTGACTCTCTGCAGCTGCCGTTAGCCTAGCTTAGCTCAGAGCCCCGTGTTTACCTGTGCGGTGACGATTCTATCTACAATAATCAAATCTATCAGGTCGCTGTTCAGTCGTCGTTTCCCTCCAGTCATAATCCGCGCTCCTCCATCCTCGGGCGGCTTTATTCTGCGGTTGTTATGAGCTCCGGAGCCGTTAGCCGAGCCGCGCTCCAAATCGCCCGCTAACGCAGTGATACGGGTTACTGCGCATGCGCCATTCCCATAGCGGCGCGGCTCCAGTGCGCATGCGCCCTTCACACGGCGGCGCGGTTGCAATGCGCATGCGCTGCTAACATCGCAAACGAATTCCCGCAAAGCGTCACGAATGCCGCACAAAATATCGCGAGTGTTTCTTTTTTTTGTTCTGGGTGTCAAACGTTCCAAATTATATTCAAACCGATTAATCGATTTACGTGTAAATACATGGATAAAATATAAAAACGTGTTTGTAAATAAAATAATAATAAACAACAACCAAAAATAAGAACAGCGTTTTGTTTAAAAACATGTACAGAGGTACTCAAAGGGCGGTAATTTAAGATCGATTTTATTTTCTTTCAGGGAAATCACCATTTTTATCTTTCATCAATCAAAAATTAGTTTGACATGATTCAGTTTGTGATGGATTAATAAATTATTTATTATTTATATCATAAAATACTGAGTCATTTAACATGATGCTTCTGTAAAACAAGGACTCAATAAATTATTTTTTATGTAAAATCAGCCCCTTCTCACACCCAAACATCTGGATTTGTTTTGGAGAGATTTTTTGTTCTTATACATTTCTGAACGTCTTCATTATTATTATTATTATTATTATTATTATTATTATTATTAATAATAATAATAATACATTGTTTAGTTGTTTTACTGTAAAGTTATTGTATTTAATGTAAAAGAAGAGCTGTGAACGCTATTTTTTTGGTCAAAACCAAATAATAGTTTCAAGCAAGCTCATTTTCAAGTTTCACAGCTCATTTTGACCACTAGGTGGCGATACACGACCTTCTCTTTTTATCAGCGTAAACTGAGCGGCGCTGAACAGAAAGAACCCAACAACAAACTGTGTACACTTTTTAAAAGATGGTTCTTTAAGGGTTCTTTAGTAAAGACAATGGTTGTATTTAGAACCTTAAACACTCAAAGAACTATTCGCATGCTTGAATGGTTCTCTGCATGGTGAAGTGGTTCCTTAAATTGATGGAGAATGCAGCGTTTGGGTTTGGTTCTACACAGCACCAAGGAGGATTCTACTATTGTATACAAGCTTGACATCGTAACAATACTACATAGAACCAAATACAACTCATTCTCCATCAGTCTAAAGAACCATTTCACCATGCAGGGAACCATTTAAACGTGCAAATGGTTCTTTGAGGGTCTGTGGTTCTATATAGAACCGTTGTCTTTACTAAAGAACCCCGGAAGAACCTTTTTAGGAGTGTGAAACTTGTAAAAATGTAGTTGGAATTATGTTACTGTAATAAAATAAACTAATTTAAGAAAATAGGTTACAGTACATATTCCCATCATATATAGGGATACTTTCTCTCTCTCTCTCTCTCTCTCTCTGGTGCCCACCTTGTACTGAGATGGTCTCTGAGCTTATGTAATCTTTTTCCTCCCCCTCATCTCCGCCCTCCTCTCCATCACGGCAGGCTGTGCTTTGTCAGAGTGTATAAATATGGGCTCTGTTAATCCCCTGAGGGCCGCACTAACACAGCTGTCACAGGCCTGACGCAGCGCTGAGGGACTCGGGCAGCTTTACAGTAAAGCACACAATAAACATAAGAATAAAACTCCAGAGCACAAAAGACTGGCAGGATGTAAACACTGGGGGGTCAGCCGTCACTGCTCTTCAGCATCAGCACTGTTTTCAAAGCCCCCACAGAGCAGAGCAGACTGACCACTGATCAGGTCCAGAACCAAAACCAGAACCAGAGAAGATCACTGACAGAGAGAGGAAGTAGGCTGAGAGCAGAGCTGGGGAGAGCAGTCTAAACCCACACTCTGATAAACGTATCAATACTTGGGTAAAATGATGACTCGAGTAAAAGTAAAAGTGCTTAGTTAAGTACTGCGTAACTAACAGAACTGCAGTAGAACCTTCAGTTCATCCAGTATCTGTTAGAAGAGGAAGTGAAGATTGTGCAGCTCTGTTCTTCTCTTTTTGGGATTCTTTTAAAATGCTGAAGTCAGAGATGTGACCAATCAGAAAGCAGCGCTGATGTCGTCACCAACAAAACAGAATAAAATTAAACCCAAAAAAGGAATTAGTCACTAAACATGAACGGCTGAGGTGTGACTGAGTGAAAAGTAGGTTCTTTTACTCACTAATATACTTTAGTAGAAGTGATTTAAATACAGCAGAGTACAAATCCCTCAGTATTTTACTGAGGAACACGTACTTAAGTACAGGTAACAAGTTACTACCCACTCTGGCTGAGAGTGACGGAGCTCTGACATCAGCACAAGTTGGTGAATAAACAAGATTGGTGTTTCCAATAAAGTGGCCAGTTAGTGAATATACAAGATTGATGTTTCCAATAAAGTGGCCAGTTAGTGAACATACAAGGTGGGTGTTTCCAATAAAGTGGACAGTTTGTGAAAATACAAGGTGGGTGTTTCCAATAAAGTGGCCAGTTAGTAAATATACAAGGTGGGTGTTTCTAATAAAGTGGCCAGTTAGTGAATATACAAGGCAGGTGTTTCTAATAAAGTGGCCAGTTAGTGAATGTACAAGGTACGTGTTTCTAATAAAGTGGCCAGTGGAAGCACAAGGTTGGTCTTTCTAACAAGGCTTCACACTTGGAACATTGCTGTGAGGATTTGATTGAGGGCAGGTACTGATGTTGGATGGTCAGTTCTGGGTCACTCCAACTCATCCCAAAGGTACTGGATGAAGCTCCATCACTCCAGAGAACACAGCTCCACTGCTCCACACTGCTCCAATGCTGGGGGGCTTTATACCCCTCTAGCCCACGCTGGGCATTGGACATGGTGACCTTTGGCTCATGTGCAGCTGCTCCAGAGTGTCCCATTCTATTGGTCAATGCTTTTCTATGGAGATTATACAAGCTGTGTCAGCAATGATTGACCTTAAAGTACCTAAACTCAGTAGAAAGACTGTCCGGATACTTTTGGAGAGTCAGATTCTCTCTGTGACCTTCCACTGACCGATTTAGGCCTTTGATGCCGAGCATGTAGGACAGTTTGCAGGTGCTGAAGGATAAACATTACTCAGCAGTTCACTGTGACTCACCACCTCACAGCTCCACACTGAGTGTCATATTCTGTTTTATTTACAGAAACACAACCACAAGTTTACATACAATAACAACTCATAAAAAGCACTTAATATTGCAAACAATAAGATGATTCTGATGAATTGTTCATTTTAAGTCAAACCTGATGTTCTACAGCTTTTCTAGTAATTTTAGAATCTTTTATGGCTGGACTCGCCCAACACTTCTACAGTTTTATTTACAGTTTCATACTGACTGTCCCAAACTTGTGAACCTGCACAGGACGAGCAGAATATGATCATTTTATATATTTATCTACTATAAATTTCATTTCCACTAACTGGCCACTTTATTAGAAACACCTACCTTGTACTTCCACCCACTGCCCACTGTGTTAGAAACACTGGCCACTTTATTAGAAACACCTACCTTGTACTTCCACAAACTGGCCACTTTATTAGAAACACCTACTTTGAACTTCCACCCACTGGCCACCTTTTTGAAACACTGGCCACTTTATTAGAAACACTTACCTTGTACTTCCACAAACTGGCCACTTTGCTGGAAACACCTACCTCGTGCTTTTAGATATTGTTAATAACAGATTCATGTTTTGTTGAGTGGTTTTAACTGTAAGTAATTCTGTGCTCACTGTAGAAATGTCATGGTAGGCTCTGTGTGTGTGTGTCAGTGTTAGCGTTTCGGTGTTCTTAGTGACGTGTGGTCAGTGTTAATCCCTCTAAAGCCCGAGCTTCAAAGTGGATCTTCGTAGCAGCGTCCAGCACAAAGTTCTCTGTGTTTACTCGGTCATTTATCAGCTCCGTTACTGAGTCTATACAAATCCATTTTACATTTCTTACACATTTATATTTAAATATTCCGCCAGTATGTGAGATTTTCTTCTGCATACACTGACATTTAGCAAGTAAATTAAAAAGTAATCCCAGAGATATTAAATGTGCGCTGGCATGACATCAATATAAAATATTTCTATATTTAAAATTTTTTCACTATTATTTCTTACTGTAAAGCTGCACTGTGTAATATGTTTGTTCATTAAAACCAAAAGAAGTGCCATTACTGAGTGAGGAAGATATAAACAGGCTAAAATACGGTGAGCGGCGCTGCTGTGAGTCCAGAAATCCAGAAATAATCATTTAAAAGTCAGAGGCATCTATATATATATAAATATGTGTGTGTGTGTGTGTGTGTATATATATATATATATATATATATATATATAAAGTTTTTCACACCACGTCGTACGTCTTTACGTATTAATGTCACACACAGACTCAAAATCAACATCATACTGATGAAGATGTGATGACTGTAGTAGATAATTCACTCACATCCTCAGAGACGCTCCTTCACCAAGTTTAGACTGAGTTCTATTTGAGCTCTCTTTCAATCAATGTTGTGTGTACAGTTACACATTTCCACCAGAGAGGTCTCCAAATCCCCAAAACTTACACACTGCAGCTTTAATTAAGAAACTAATTAATTCATTACACTTTTATTTCAGTAATTCAGCAAATGATTAAACAACACATGGACAAAGTAAGACGTTTAGCACTATTTTCGTGGCTTTATTGTCATTTTTCATTAATAATATTTTATAATGACTGATACAGTTTTAAGATGATGCATGAATTTAAAGCTGTGTTCATTTTGTACATTTACATTTGAATATTCTACCAATATATATTTACCTGAAATTTTATAACCAATAAATGAACGAATAAATAAATGTTATTAAAATTCATGTAAAATGACACTTTTTGGTAAATCGGCACAAAAACGAACCTCAACGGAGCTGTTGGTAATACAGTAGCTGAAACATAAACACATTTAAAAATGACACTAAACTGTGATCTTTATTTTAACAGTGAACGATGAAGATTTATTACTTTTTTTCCTCTTTATTGATTTATTTATTACTCTTTTTCCCCATTGATTCAGTGACTGAACAACACACGGACAAAAGGAGACGTTGTTTAGCACTATCTTTGTATTTTTATTGGCATTTTTCCATTAATATTTTACAACGACTGACACAGTTCTGCAGACGGTCATTAATTATGAAGAGTGGTGCTGCAAAGACTCTCAGCAGAACGCAGTTTCCTCAGATCTACTCACTGTTACCAGAGAAAGTAACACAGGACTAATAAACACCATTACTTTCAGCAACCTATGCAGGGACTTAATAACACATTCATAAGTGATGAATAGTAATTAGTAGTAGTTATGAACAGGTTATGTCAGTATTCGCAAGGTTTATTATACAAATGACACTGTATTGACAGAGGAGGCCTTAAAGGGAAGCCTGACTGTTTAGACTTGGACGCCTTAAAACAGTGAATTTGTCCAAAACTATTAAAATATGACAGATAAACCAAATGGAAATGTTTTGTTTATTTAAAAAAATGACAAATAGGCAAAATTCCTCCACTAGCAGGTCACCACTGTTGCACTGTGATGTCATATGGTTGCAGTGGAGTCAGTCCTATGGAAAATAAGACAATCAAAAAGTTCTTCTCTTGAGGAACGTTCTAGCTAAAGCTGGAAAGACTGTATAATATATTAGGCCCAAAACATACTTGGAGCTACGCAGGTGGGGTTTTGCACACAGCTGCGATCAGAAATGTGTCATGACACATTTTATAACACGACTTGAGCGCGTGACCGTTACGGCAGGGGGCGCCGAGCCTGTCCAGGTGGTCTCGTACCACCAGCGTGTTTCTCAACTGTCTCACGCAACATCGGCTTACATAAACATAAAAATATGATCCATTTTGGCCTTTATATTCCAGCGGAGGAGCTAAAGCAGCTCACTCTCCTCTACTGTCCACGTTTAGCTGTTGAGACTGTGGGAATAACAGTAGATCCTCTCTGATTTGTCCTCTAGCGCCTCCCTTGAGCACTGAGTGTTTAAAAGCAGCATAAGAGCGCACAGTGAGTCTGTACAGACGGACCGAGTGTTTGCAGTGCGCTGGCTGAGCTCTGTCGTTTGCGTTCGCATCCTTGCATTGAGTCTCTTTCTGGCCTTAGATTTCAAGCTTACTTCTCACTCAGTGGACGAGAGAGAGAGAGCAACAAAGACGACAGCGTACTAGGCAAAGGATTTTGAATAATAAATATGGTATTTTGCTTGGTTTATGCAACATATTTGAATGCTATTGGACCTGCACACCATACTGGGGCCTGTATGTCTGAACGGTCAGGATCCATTTAAACTAAAGTGATGGACGTTTCATTTCTAACACTGTAGCGTTCCCAAGTATAAGAAACGTATAGTAAACATTTATAATAATACTAATAGTTCGCATTTACAGGTCATTTTTCACAGAACTGACAGTATGTGGTTTTTCTCAACTATACCTCTGCTTTATAAGTGCTTTATAACAGTGTTATAAACTGAACAGATTGCTTTTTAATTTGGCTGTGCAATGCTTATGCATGTGTTATGAAGTCTCTGAGTAGGCAGCCTTTTTTATTACTGCTGCTTTTCTGATATCCTGTACGAGACCTCCATCCGCTTCTACATCTGCTTTCACCACTACTCTAAAACAAACAGCTCACGTGTTTATATCAATACATCAATGAATTTATATCCAGAAAAGAAGTCAATTTAATAAATATCTTACTTTAAAAAAGAGAAACAAACAAAGAAAAAAGAGAAAAAACCTTTGTGCGAGAAATCTAGCCACCAGATATGCACTATATACACAGAGCGGAGCCGTCCGGCAGGGTTAAATACAGAGCGAACGTCCATTTATACACTGAGACTAGCATTAAAGACAGACGACACAGAACGACACGTCTCTACAGGGGGCGCTGCGAGGTGCTGATATGTGCAGGTGTGTAGAGCTGGAGGGCGAATGCTGTTGGTAGAACATGGCTGGTACACTGCAAGGTTTGGGAGGGGGTCGGGGGTTGGGGGGGTTTATGGGGGTTAAAGGATGTTTTTTTTGCAGTTTAGCCACTTCCCAACATCTTTGTGGCACGCTGGTTGGCCTCATCAATCCTAGTTTTGTTAGAATCAGCCTGAAAAACAAAACAATCTAGTTAAAAACCACAATAAATGCTGCAACACATTCATATAGAATTCATATTTAAATCTATCCGCATGTTGGTCATATTGAAGGAGAATTCCACAGAATGTTTTTTAAATCGCTGCATAATTAACTGGTTAAGATCTAAACAGAGCGGTTCAGAGTGGTTCAGAGTAGTTCAGAGTGGTTCAGAGTAGTTCAGAGTGGTTCAGAGTGGTTTGGTGTGAAACGCTCTGTTCTATATAAACTTACCGAGTCAGAATTGTTCACAGTGGTGGTGATAGGAACCAGACGTCCACCTCTAAAAGCTCCCTCACAGAAAGTTCCTACATGAAATGGTTATGAATTCACTGCCTGATGACTGAGACTCTGATTTTGGCCTCAAACACGTCTTTTTGGGTACACTATATAACCAAAAGTATGTGGACACCTGACCTATATAAACTTGTTGGACAACCCAGTCCAAACCCATGTTCATTAATATGGAGTTGCCCCCCTTTGCAGCTCTAACAGCTTCCATTCTTCTGGGAAGCTTCCTATAAGATACTGAAGTGAGTCTGTCCATTCAGTCTAAAGAGCATTTGTGAGGTCAGACACTGATGTTGGACGAGAGGGTCTGACAATCTGCGTACTAGTTCATCCTAAAGGTGTTCAGTGGGGTTGAGGTCAGGGCTCTGTGAGGGCCACTGAGTTCCTCCACACCAAACTGGTCACTCCATGTCTTTATGGAGCTGCTTTGTGCTCAGGGGCTCAGTCCTGCTGGAACAGGAAAGGCTCTTCCCCAAACTGCTGACACAAAGCTGGAAGCAGAGAACTGTCTAAAATGTCTTTGTGCTGCAGCATCAACATCACCCTTCACTGGAACTGAGGAGCCCAAACCCTGAAAAACAGCCCAGCCCATCATCCCTCCTCCACCAAACTCTACTGTTGGCTCTGCATTCCGGTAGGTAACGTTCTCCTGATATCCACCAAACCCAGATTCATCATCAGACTGACAGGTAGAGAAGCGAGTCCAGTGGCAGCACTTTACACCACTCCAGCCGACACTTGGCGTTGCGTATAGTGATCTTAGGTCTGTGTGCAGCTGCTCAGCCATGGAGACCCATTTCATGAAGCTTCTGATGCTCAGTTCTTGTGCTGATGTTGCTTCCAGAGGCAGTTTGGAACTCTGCAGTGAGTAATGGGTGATTTTAAGCTCTTCAGCACTCAGCAGCTGAGTCTGTGAGCTCGCATGGTCTAGTTCTTCACGGCTGAGCTGTTGTTGCTCCATTTCACAATAATAGCACTTACAGTTGACCAGGGCAGATGTAGCAGGGCTGAAATGTCATAGACTGACTTGTAGTAAAGGTGGCATCCTATGACAGTGATTAAAGTCACTGAGCTCTTCAGTACGACCCTCTACTGCCAGTGTTTGTCTAAGGAGACTGCACGGCTATGTGCTTGATTTTATACACCTGTTAGCGACGAGTGTGGCTGAAACATCTGAACTCAATAATTAGGAAGGCTGTCCCAATACTTTTGGCCATGTAGTGCATCTTCTGGTTACCGGTCCTCTGGTGAAGCACATGTAGGGAGTATAGTACCTGAAGAAAACTGATTTTTACAGATTTACCACCATTTTAGTGTCATCACCATTACACGTAAAATCTCTGAAGACACGTAGGTTCATTTGTGGTTTAGATAAAAAGCAAAATAATTACATCTGCGCTGTCGACTTTGTGACATCTGGTTCCTATCACCACCACTGTAATAAACATCCAAGCTGCTGAATTTCTCTAGAACGGACTTCTTATTTTTAAACAGCCCCAACTTCCTAATTATGGTGAAATACATAAATTAGGTGGAATTCCTCTTTAAGAGCACAAAATATACACAAAGCTTTCTTTTCTTTACCATCTCCATAATCCTGTCGATCTGGCGGTTCTGAGTGTCGATTTCGTTGCCCATGTCGAGGGCCATGTGGCGCAGGTTTCCGATGATGCTCCCGACCTGCTCCAGATTTTCATCCATTTCATTCTCTCGCGCATCGTTCGTTACCCTGCGCACAGACACAGATCACAGGCGCGCTGAGAGAGCGTTCGGAGGGCCGAGCGCCCCCAGGCTCCGTCTCACATTCGGCTGTTTGATGTATAGAAGCTCAATACTGAACACAGTCAGCGCGGCTTATCTACAGATCCGGAGCAGATACAGGAGCTGTTTATTTCCTTTCACATCGCTTCATAAACCATGTTTTTCATTTTCCTTTCAGTCCAGACTGTGAGATACACGACAGGAATACATGCGTCTACAGGGTTTAACCCTATGAGGTTCATCACTGTGGCAGTGTAAAAACCTCATTTTACTGTAAAATAAATAAACACGTCTATAATTCATAGTTTTTATTTACAGTCCTCAGGCTTGTAGTATTTAAACTCTGTAAATATTGGTTTGTAAGAAAAGCGTTAAATTTTTGAAACACACAACAGAAAATGATCAGGCTTGTTCTCTCTGTGGTGTCGAGGCAGATACAGCTGAGCTGCTCTCCCATTGGTCAGGACTTCAGGAGCTGGACTGAAGGCCTTACACGTTAGATTAACTACCAACATCATTAGGAAGTGACAGAGGAATCAAGGAATGGAAGCTTAAACCCCATCAGTTAGCACAGTATCCCAGCTGAAAAAGGACCATTAGAAACCATTAGGATTAAAACCTAATGCTTTGCTTTCTATTGGGAATTGGCTTAGTATCCAATTGAGACCACTTCTTTCCTGTAGAACACCTTTAGATCCCATTAGGAAACCATCAAATGCATTTAGAATCAGCCACTAGTCACCTGGTAAATCATTAGGATCCTTTACACTGTGATACCAACCCATTAAAAAACACACTACAAAACCACAAGGCACCAACAGAAACACTTAATGGTTTCTATTGTTTTTTTCAGCAGGGATAAAGTACAACAAGATTCAGGATACTGTGTTTAGCTATGCTAATGTAACGTAACAGTGCAGTATTCTGTACAGCACTTCGGCACTTTCAGCGTTTCAGTAGTTATTGTGGAAATACCCAATGTCATATAGGATGTAATGATTGGTTGGACTCTGCCTAGCAATCAAAATGCATTTTGATTGGTCATATTTGGGCCAATACTTTTAAAGAAATAAAAAAAAACTTCATTGTGTCTTCAGTTTGTGCCGTCAGTATTCCGTACACCAGCTTCCACAGAGGGAGCGGTTTTCCGTACAGTGTTTTCCTGCATTTTATTTGAAGTTTTATGAAATCTAAATGCATAAATATGGCCTTTAACTGATTATACGTTTGCTAAAAATGAATTAATATACACCATATGTGCAACAAATGAGGCTACCACAGACAGAAGCCTAGTAAAGTGAGACTGTGGTGTGAAGCCGCTAAGGTCACTTAGCTGATGCTGTAAACTTCGATTAACAGCTCAGTATTAAACATGCTGTGTTTCATGGTGATGATCCACTGTTTAATATTCACTGAAGTGTTGAATGTGATGTTTAAATGTACTAAAATCCATTTTAACTGCCTGTGAAAGTTTCCCACCCTACTCACATTCACATTCACATCCCCACCCGCCATTTTCGTATCACGCTGGGGGGGTCGGTCACTATTTACACAGATTTGATGTCCAAACTCAGCTTAGGTGGTCTTGCCAACCATTTTAATGGAAACGAGGACATATGACAACGTCTCAGATGTATCACTGATAAGCCACAAGAAAGTCCATGTTTATATGTAACAGTGAGACATACTGAGTCAGAAACCACATAATCAAGTCTATTAGAGACACTGAACAGCTCCACATGGTTTGAGGCAGTTAGCCATGCAGTTAGCACCATGCTAATTAATGAGGCATAAGCTTCCATTACCTGTTAGCTACATTAGCCCTGTAGCTCCAGTGCTAAAACCAAAGAAGCAACACACGTCTCAGCTTATCTGCTGCGGTTTAGCTGAACTCCATTTTTCTCCAAACTATCGCTTTAAACCTTGTAACACTGACCTGCGGATGAAGCCTCCACTGATGGCCATCTGCTCACGCTCGTCCACCACGCGGGCCGGCTGGCTGGACACCACTCCGTCCTGATTGTTGCCCCAGGACTGACCCCCACCTTTCAGTCTGAACAGCCAGAGAGGGCAGTGAGAGACGGACAGAGCGATGGACGACAGACACTACAGCACAGAGACTACAGGTGTGAGGTGAGGACATGCGGTACTGTTCAAAAGTCTGGATATGATGATTCAAATGCATCAGTTTAGGAATGTTATAATCAATAATAATTGATTATAATAATATTCAATAAAGTGCACTTATTAAGGCTATTTTCAAACATAAAAACCAAAAAAAGCTGGCTGTATAGTTTTTATTGTCTATATTCCACTACAGTCCCTTCAGTTACATTAGCGTGCTCAGTGCATTTTTAAAGGGACAACATCCGAAATTTTTCGTCCCTTATTTTCTCTACTTATAAGATGTGTGAGGTCATAATTCAGTCATAATTCTATTTTAATTTCTACAGGGCCATTTTCCAACCCCTCTTTACCCCTTAAAATCAAACAGGCCATTTTTGTTACCGTGACTTTAAGACTAATATATGTAAATGAGCTTTGTTCTAATTGGCTCTCCTGTACTGCGCTCACTGCAAAAAGCAGTCCAGGCTAAAACACTAAATTTCGGTGTGAATGGGCGGGGCTAAACTGCTATAGGCTGAATAGGTGGATGCGTGCAAATCTGTTGGGTTTTTGTGACATCACAAAATGGACTGTATGGTCTGTGACGTGAACGGTCTGCTTTGAAACTTTTCGAATGTTTCCATATGACATCAATTTCTTGTGGAAAAAGTGAGGAAATTTTCCAGGATATGGGCCCATTAAAAATAATCCTGAGTCACACTACAATAATTACTTTGAATCATTTCATTGAACTTTCTAGTGATTCTTTGAATCATTTCCTAAAGAATCATAATCTAACTGAATCATTTTGACATTATAAATACTGTGAATAAGCACTAAAGATGTGTTACTCATTTCTTCAGTGGGTTTTTATGACTAAGGACTTATTAAATGACAAATACTATACTGTAAAACACTAAATCTAAACTTTTCAACATTATTTCCAAACTTTTGAACATCAGTGTACAGCATATGACTAATGACGAGAAGTGATTTCAATCATCTAAAGGAAACGATGCTATAGACAAATGGATCATGAATAAATCATGGATAAAATGATGAATACATAAATTAATGATGACATAATGAAGGTTCCATTATGCACTGGAATGATTCTAAGTGTTGAGAGGCGTGTCCATCCTTAAGGGATGAAGATAATGACTACAAAATGACGAATGGACTCAGCACAGTGTTTTACAAAACAGTCACAGAGACTGATGGGAACCAAAGGAAACACCTAGAACATGTACATTAGAACAGAGACATCGTTAAGACAGTTCAGCACTCATTTATCTTCAGTAGCAGTAGTTCCACATTAGAATGTGCACCGCACTGAATTCACATGAATCAAATGTGCATCGTTTATCATTTCCTCATGAATAAATTAATAAGGGTGTAACAATTTCAATACCAAACGGAAAAAATGAACCATTAGCGAATTTAAATGTGAAGCTGAACGTCTGATCCGCTCCTCACTCTCCTCAGAGCCTCTCTCACTTACTGTCTCACTGAAACTAGGCAGCCTATCAGAATGAAGTGTGCAGGATGGGGCGGGGCTTATCCATCTGGGTACATCCTATCAGAGTAAAGTGGCATGAAGGCGTGGGGCTTATGCATCTGAGTGCATCCTCTCAGAGTAAAGTGGCATGAAGGGGCGGGGCTTATGCATCTGAGTGCATCCTATCAGAGTAAAGTGGCCTGAAGGGGCGGGGCTTATGCATTTGAATGCATTCTATCAGAGTAAAGTGGCCTGAAGGGGTGGGGCTTATGCATCTGAGTGCATCCTTTCAGAGTAAAGTGGCCTGAAGGGGTGGGGCTTATGCATCTGAGTGCATTCTATCAGAGTAAAGTGGCATGAAGGGGTGGGGCTTATGCATCTGGGCGCATTCTATCAAATGGCTTGAAAGGGCGGGGCTTGTGCATCTGGGTGCATCCTATCACAGTACAGTTTGCAGGATGGGGTGGGGCTTATACATGCTGTTAGAGTATATTGGCTGGGAAGGGCGGGCCTTATGCATCTAGGTACTTCCTATCAAAGTGAAGTGGCATGAAGAGGCGGGGCTTATCCCTCTGAGGGCACCCTTTTAGAGTAAAGTGTGCAGGATGGGGCGGGGCTTATTTATGCTGTCAGAGTACTGGCTAGGAAGGGTGTGGTTATGCAACTGTGTGCATTCTATCTAAAAGTTGCCTGAAGGGGCGGGGCTTATGCATCTGGGTGCATCCTATAACAGTAAAGTGTGCAGAAAGGGGTGGGGCTTAAGTATTTTGGTGCATCGTATTAGAGCAAAGTGGGTGGGTAGGGGAGGGGCTGCTCTAATCTGAGGCATCCTATTACAGTAAAGTGGATGGAGAGGGGGCAGGGGCTTATGGTCTGGATGCATTTAAATAACTGGTCTTTTTGCAGAGCATATAAATTCTGGGGGCTGTAATTTCTGGGGTTTATTTTGTCAAAAATCAAATCCAATCTTGATCTCAGATGATTTTACAGCTGTAATCGTGCTGTATAATATAGTTTATGTATATGTAAATGAACAGGATGTACACATTTGAGTGCAGTAAACTCAGTGCAGCACTTATTTCAGAGCAATAACAAAACATTTACACACATTTTGAGAAAAATAAATACAAATAAAAACAACAACAACATGTCAATAAACAAGCACGCTGTCACTACAGCCCAAGCAGAGTGCAGTAATTCAGGCGAGGAGGGGGCGGGGTTAAGCTGTACATCAGTAACCATCGCTTAGCAACGAACTACTCATCAAGCAGTGTGAGTCTTTCATCGTCTAGAACCCATGCACTTTAAAAAAGGAGCCATAGTGACGCCATAGAAGAACCACTTCGGTTCCCTAAACAACCACGTGTGAAAAGGAGTGAGTGATAAGAACCTTTTAAAGGTTTAGAGAACTTTCACATGATGTAAAGGTTCCAAACCAGTTTAAGGGCTCTGCCTGGAAGGGCTGTCAATCAACTGTTCTCATTAGAATATCAGGCCACACCCAGACATTTCTCAGACAGGCCTGATCAGCTGTTTTTAAGCTGCATTTCATTATATATGTTATTTTTTTCATTCAAACTCTACTGGATGTTTCAGTTTCAGAATCACACACACATCTTTAATGTTTTACTCCACTCTCTGGGACTTCAGGAGTGTGAACACATCAATAAAACTCCTTAAACCTTCTGCAGCACAGCTATAATGTAGGCTAAAGCTAAAATGAGCTTATATTTATACATAAAGGCCAATTCACACGGAGTCTTTTGAGTTTTGAAAATGAACACAGGCATTTTAATTCTTCTAAGTCTGCAGTAAAGCAGGCAAAAAGGTTAAAAGAGGTTTAAAACATATGTATGATCAGAGCTGAAAGGCCAGGAGTGACTGTGAGTTCTTTAGTACAACCAAGAAACTGTTTAAAGCTGTTTTTATGTGTATTTGGGTGTATGGTAGTCTGTTTATACTCATTATAGAATGTTTGTATCCAGTGTGTGCAGCTTTCAGTTGCAGTTCTTAAGCAAAACAAATTAATGAGCATCTACTACTCAAGAAATTCATTTTTCTTCCTCTTCTGTCTTTTTACAGTGTTAAAAACAAAACTGTTGGATTTTGTGTGAAGGTCACACTATGTAAAAAAAATCAAGTTTTTTTTTCATCTGAAAAAATCGCACTGGGTGTGAACAGGCCTGAACATGTTAAAAGGTGTTTATGGATCATTCTACCAAACTAGTTCAAACTGCAGCGCCACAGTGAAAAACTATTTAAAAAGCAATGAAAGTATTGAGATCTTAGATATTAACAAGGATTATGCTCTGATCTACTTAAACCTTAATAGAGATAGTAATAAACTAAATATATACACAGTCATCATTTATAGGGTTCGTTCTATACCCCTAAATTTACACTTCTGAAAATAATACTGACATTTTCTTTGCATTTTTTAAAGATACTTTTAAAAACTTAATGTTTATCATCATGTCATTACTGAAACACACGGTTTTAGAATGTGGGCTTAGCCTTAATTTAGTCACGCCCCTGCATTTCAGAGCGGGAACCTGCATCCCTGTCCCTCATGGCCACATGGTGAGCAGTTAGATCCCATTGTTTTGAAGTAAATGAGTCCCAAAGTCTGAAAATCAGTGTGGAACATTAAGAATCATCATATTTTCTGCAGTTCAGCACTTTTTAGTGTTTTAATGTAAAATATGATGATTTTCTGTGTGAACAGCTGTTCAGAGCTGTGTTTGCTGGTCATGAACTGCTGAGTTTCTGAGCTCAGAATGAGCTAAAACTGTCACCAAAACAGTCACTACTGAAACAGTCACTACTGACACATTTGGTACAGTTTGGCTAGTTATGATTGTTTTGGTAGTGACAGAATTAAATATTTAATCATTTCTTTAAATAAAATAAACAGAATTAAGTTTGTATTTACTATAAATCAATTAAAAGTCCCACATTTTCAACTGTGAATCAGTTGGGCAAAATGATCCATATAGATATTTTTATCTATTGAAATTTGCACTAAGAGAAATTCCCAGTACGTTTCTGTTCTGACTCCGACTTCCTTCCGGCTGAAGGAAACTCCACAGTGACCTTAATCCCTCTGACTACAGAGAGACGCAGGTAGACAGGTGTGGTGGGGGATGATGATGAGAGTAAATGTGGTTCCTCTAATCCCCATCAATGCTGGTGAATCACTACTTCTGCTCATATCCGTGTGTTTATGTGTGGAAATCAGCCGTAAACTTCTGACAGACATGTTTGGGATCTGAATTTGGTTTCAGCTCTAAAATCTCCACCAAATGCACAATCATTAACACTTAATCCAGCTGGCTGTGGACTAAAAGCCTCATTAGCACTGCTGAAGTGAGCAGTCATCCCATTTCAAACACGTTCAGAATTATTTATGAATTCAGCGCCTGCACTAAAACGCAGAATTCATTTGCAGTTTGCATGATTGGAATAAAATCTGCACTACACACTTAAAAAGAGGGTTCTTTAGTAAAGGGAATGGTTCTATTTTAGAACCATGAGTTCTATATAGAACCATTTGCCTGCTTAAATGGTTCTCTGTATGGTGAAATGCTTCTTCAGATTGACGGAGAATCTGTTATTTGTGGCCCTATGTAGCACCAAAACGGTTCTACGATTGGTATGTCAAGAACCCTTTTTGGTGCTATAAAGAACCTTTTAAAAAAAAAATTCTATATAGATAAATTCTATATAGTGCACTCAATTTTTGATAGCATGGTGAAATGGTTCTTGATTGATGGAGATCTGTGTTGTATTTGGTTCTATATTCTACTGCTACGATGTTCAGCTTGTAACAATATCAGTACCCTTTTTAATCCTATAAAGAACCATATACAGCACATTCTCCATCAAGTATTTCTCCATGCAAAGAACCCTTTTAAGCATGAAATGGTTCTATACAGAACTCATAGTAATAAACAGAACCATTCCCTTTACTAAAGAACCCTTGAAGCACCATTTTCAAAAAATGTGCTATTTAGAACCATATACAGCACATTCTCCAACCATTTCACCATGCAGAGAACCATTTAAGTATACAAATAGTTCTTTGAGTGTTCATAGTTCTATACAGAACCACTATCTTTACTAAAGAACGATATACAGCACATTCTCCATCAATCTCAAGAACCATTTCACCATGCAAAGAACCATTTAAGTATGCAAATAGTTCTTTGAGTGTTCATGGTTCTATACAGAACCACTGTCTTTACTAAAGAACCCTTGAAGAAGCCTCTTTTTCAGGAGTGCACTCAATTTATGATAGCATGGTGAAATTTACAAGTTACAATGTTGAGCTGGTAACAATAGCAGAACCTTTTTTATCCTATAAAGAACCATAAACAGCACATTCTCTATCAATCTGAAGAAATATTTCTCCATGCAAAGAACCCTTTTAAGCATGAAATGGTTCTATACAGAACTCATAGTACTAAACAGAACCATTCCCTTTGCTAAAGAACCCTTGAAGAACCATGTTTTTTAACTGTGTAAAACCACACACTCAAAAAACTGACGTTCCCTCTTATTATTTACATTAACGATGCGCTTGTGTTGAGTTGTGTTTGCCTTAAAACGATCCTGCAAACAGCTGACTGATAGCATTAGCATGTATGGCTACATAGAGAAAACACAGGGGAGCGTGCAGCGAGTGTAGTCGGCACCGTAGACACAAACAAACGCTTTCAGGCAGATCGGTCAGATGCATTCACATGCTGGCGGGTGCAGAGGAGTGTTACACAATCATTCCTGCCATTTGTGGTAAATGCTAGAGGTCAGAAGGTGCTCTGGATGGTCAGTTCTTTGTGGAACACAAGCATTTCAGAAAGAAAACACAGCATGCAGATCAGGCAGGCAGGTAGATACGTGGTTTGATGAAAAATCTAATTCATACACTTACCTCAAATACAGCCAGTCGGCCAGGCCACGTTTGGTGCTTCTTTAGCTTAGCACTGGAGTTACACGGCTAACGTAGAGCTAAGCAATTAGCATGGTGCTATCATCCATACACACCTCAGACTGTGTGGAGCTGTTCAGTGTCTCTAATACACTTCATTATGTGGTTTCTGACTCTGTATGACTCACTGTGATCTACAAACATGGACTACATTCAGGCTTCATGCTACTACAGGTTTTAGCTCTGCTAATGTACTTTGGTTTTTTAGGAACACATGATCAGCATTGGCAGATATTTGCTCCAAACATACACCGATCAGGCATAACATTCTGACCACCTCCTTATTTCTACGCTCATTGTCCATTTTATCAGCTCCACTTACTATATAGGTGCACTTTGTAGTTCTACAGTTACAGACTGTAGTCCATCTGTTTCTCTGATACTTTGTTAGCCCCCTTTTACTCTGTTCTTCAGTGGTCAGGACCCCCATGGACCCTCACAGAGCAGGTACTATTTGGGTGGTGGATCATTCTCAGCACTGCAGTAACACTGACGTGGTGGTGGTGTGTTAGTGTGTGTTGTGCTGGTCTGAGTGGATCAGACACAGTAGTGCTGCTGGAGTTTTTAAACACCTCAGTGTCACTGCTGGACTGAGAATAGTCCACCAACCAAAAATATCCAGCCAAAAGCGTCCTGTGGGCAGCGTCCTGTGACCATGGATGAAGGACTAGAGGATGACCAACACAAACTGTGCAGCAGCAGATGAGCTATCGTCTCTGACTTTACATCTACAAGGTGGACTGACAAGGTAGGAGTGTCTAATAGAGTGGACAGCGAGTGGACACATCAGTGTTACTGCAGTGCTGAGAATGATCCATCACCCAAATAGTACCTGCTCTGTGGGGGTCCATGGGGGTCCTGACCACTGAAGAACAGGGTAAAAGGGGGCTAACAAAGTATCAGAGAAACAGATGGACTACAGTCTGTAACTGTAGAACTACAAAGTGCACCTATATAGTAAGTGGAGTGATAAAATGGACAATGAGTGTAGAAACAAGGAGGTGGTCAGAATGTTATGTCTGATCTGTGTATATTCGGCTTAAAATTTCAGAACCCCCAACTTAAAACACCTTCTCGTGTCCCTGCGACTCGTTGTGCTAAATTGTCAATCATCTTTATAGACTTTTCGATTCATGTTATTGAATAGGAAATTATTGTTTTGTTTAACAATTTAAATTAACAGAACAAATAATGTTATTTATAATGCTACTTTGGCTAAAAGTACTAGAGGTGTGTGTTCAGGCTTACATGGTTAATAAAATCAGGTAAAAATAAAGATCACAGTGAGTCACACAGTCAGAAACCACACAATCAGGTCTATTAGAGACACTGAACAGCTCCACACACTCTGAGGTGATTTAAGGCCTCCGTGCAGCGCAGCGTCAAATACGATTCAGCACAACGCGCAGCTTTCAACACTATTTATGAATTAACTTTGTTTGATATTGTGTATCTAACTCTTCACTAACTCACTGTTTTCCAGCTAAAGGATACCAGGCTAGTCATGTTAGCTTTCTCGGTGTAAATTCTGAGCGGTGTGTGATCTTCTGTGTCTCTTTGTGGTTTGATTTGGGGTTAAATTGAACACATTTAGAGGAAAATGCTGTGTGGCCTGCAGAGGAATTCAGTGTGGTTGTGGGCTTCTTTAAAAACAATGCATCACTGTGCAAACAAAACCTCGTATCTCCAAACCGGTAACTGAAAAAACATTATTTTCTTGTAATGTAAGTTAAAGAAATTTGATTTATTTACGAGTAATTTTATTAACTAGTTTTTGAATGATGCAAAAAATGGTACCTTGTCAAGTAAAAGTATCTTAAATATAGTCAAGAAATCTAATATTTCTCCTGTTTAGATTGTTGTGAGCTTAATTTAAGATTATTTAGTTTATTTCTAGACATTTTTTACTTGTTTTAGGTCATTTTATTAGGTACAATTATCTCACTATATTAGCAGATAATTGTGCTTGTTGTAAGAAATGAGCTTGAAATCAGCAAAATTATCTGCCAGTACAGTGAGATACTTTTACTCCACAAAATTACCTAAAACAAGTAGCAAAATTCTGGAAATAAGATAGATAATCTAATAATAAGTACTCAAAAATCTCAAAATGAGAAATTTAAGATATTTTACTTGCCAAGATAACATTTTTTGCAGTGTAATTTTGCATTCCTGGATGCTACACTGCAAAAAATACACCTTGGCAAGTAAACTATCTTAAATTTAGTCGATATATCCAATATTTCCAATAAGATGATGTATGTTTTTAACTTGTTTTCAGTCTGGCTACATTGGCTAATCATTTTGTTTGTTGTAAGAAATATGCTTAAGAAATTATCGGCCAGTATCGTGAGATCATTACACTCACTAAAATCACTCAAAACAAGCTTAAAAATGTCTAGAAATAAGTTAAACAATCTTACAAGAATCTCAAGATGAGAAATATTAGATGTATCGACTACGTTTAAGACGATGTCCGCTGCGTGGTGGCCTTTAGGCCTGCAGTCAGCACCATGCTAACGGGGTGGGGTACGTTTTCATTACGTGTTGGCTACATTAGCATCATACGCTCTTAAAAAAGATGGTTCTTCAAGGGTTCTTTAGTAAAGACTGCATGCTTAAACGGTTCTTTGCATGGTGAAACTGTTCTTCAGATTCTTCAGGTTCTACACGGCACCAAAAGGGTTCTGCTATTGTTACAAGCTTGACATCGTAGCAGTACCAGGTCTCTTTTTTGTGCTACATAGAATCGGCACATTCTCCATCAATCTGAAGAACCATTTCGCCATCCAGAGAACCAGTTAAGCATGCAAATGTGTGGTGGAACCATCTTTTTTTAAGAGTGTAGTTTCAGTGATAAAACTAAAGAAGCAGATTTAAGACACCAAACATGTCGCGGCTGATCGGCTGCGTTTCAGATAAGCGGCAGGGAAACTGTGTAAATTAAATTTTTCGCCAAACTGTTCCGTTAGCATTTCAGAGCAGCAGAGCCGGATCAGCAGAACCAGCGAAACGTAGAGCATGTGTGTGCGTTCGGCTGGCGGAGAGCAGGGCCTAAAGCTACGGCTAGGGGGACGAGCTTCACCAGCGCTGCTGCAGGCGAGCGTTAGCATGCCTCCGGCTAACAGCCAGCTAGCAACACTGCTCTTTACTCTCAGTCCATCTACTCGGTTAGCTTCAGGCAGGCAAGCAGGCAGGCAGGCGTCACCTACTTGTTACAGGGACACGGACAAAGACCACAGAGATTTCCTAGATCCGTCAAATTCTTTTCTGCTTCTTTCATGTCCTTATTGATCTGATCCATTCCCTCCTCGATGCGCTCCAGTTGTTCTGATTTTTAAACGTTTAGCCGTTCACCCCCCCAAACAAAAGCAAAAAAGATAATGAAAATAAAAGATAAAGATAAAACAAAGAAAAAGGAAGGAGGGGGGAAGGAAGAAGAGAGGGATAAAGAGAAAGAGAGAGACTTAGGACACTCACAGTGACAGAAAGACAGTCAGACATCAGCACACGGGCGGGAGAGCCTCTGGCCCTGCGCCGGTACCTACTTGTCACAGGGACATACAAGTCCACAGCATTTGCCTACATCTTTTAAACTTTTCTCGGCCTCCATCATGTCTTTGTTGATATGGTTCATGCCATCTTCAACACGTTCGAGTTGTTCTGGTCAGGACAAAGGGATGACAGCAATGAAATGAGATTTCACAGCCTGGTAGAGAAATGATGAATGAGATCTTCAGCTAAACGGAAAACGGGGCGTGGAGCAGGGTGTGGTGGGGGGTCGATCCAGGGGGCTTAAGTGAGGAGTCAGAAAGATGAGAGTGGAGGAATAGAATAAAATAAAAGGATGTGGGGAAAACTGGGTGTGACTTATTTACAATACGTGAATCTTCACGAGAAAAAGTGTCAGAATCAGAACCGGCTGAATAAAATAAATACAAGGTTTTAGTGGTTATTTACAAGAAATTAATAATAAGTGCTCACACGTAGAACCAAAAATGGCATGTATGTTCATACATAAATGTATGTAGAATTGTAATATAGTTATATGCAAAAGTTTGAAGATCTTCAATGAAATTCCATGTTTTTGATGGATTTTCTGAGTGTAAATAAGTTACACAGCCTCTATAGAGACTCACTGCTGCACACTTTAATACACAATTATGGTTTATATGCTGAATTTAACATAAAAATCATGGCCTGTGCAAACATTATGGCACATTTTTAATGTTAAATTCAGTGAATAAACTGTAATTGTGTATTAAAGAGGATCTGTAACTTATTTACACTCAGAAAATCCATCAAAAACATGGAATTTCATTGAAGATGTTCAAACTTTTGCATATAACTGCATATATAAATGTTTATACATGCACTATTGTGTTTTGCATAATTCGAAAACTCCAGCTGCCCTTTACATTGTATTAATATTTATTGATGAGCAGACTGACAGAAATGCTCCACAATTACTTTGTAAAAATTACTTTGTAAAAATTACTTTACATTTACATTAACTTTCATCAAAAGAACCAAGTGACCATCTCAGAGATACGAGGTTTCCTTCCCACAGCTATGATATATATGTATGTTTATTGTAAATTAAGTTGTATCTCCAAAATGGTTCATGGTAATTTTAACTTTCTATGAATGTTAATGTAAAAACATTTTATTCCGAGTCATTTTGGAGCCGATTCCATTCACCATGAAGAGTTCACAGTATAAAGGGCAGCTGTGTGATAATATAATGCCAAATATATACTAATGTAACTCTACTTATTTATGAAAATATCGTATTATTATTCATAGAAATACATGTGCTTTCCTTTATATATTGACTGTTTTCCTTTTCAAACACTCATATCCAAAGTCGTTATGGATAAAGAGCGTTTTTGCATATATTTATATTAGTGTGTGTATAAATATACTTACATATGTCGTATTGTTTACTTTGTTTATCTTAAACGTGAGCTTCTGACAGTTACTCGTAAATATCTTTCGCCAATAAAACTAATTTCCTTGTTTGATTTGCCAAATAAAACCAACTCAGATTCCGATACAGTTTCCAAATGGTTCACTTTAAGATTAAGATTCCTTTCTGCGCTCTAAGTGCCGTGAATGGAACCAGACGTCAGCAGAGCCGTTAGCTGAACAAAGATAAAGCGAGTGAAACAGAGACGCTGCAGGTTGGCATTAGAAGCAGCTGCTGATGCCAGAGTTTACAGGAGGCAGTTGGCACTGCTGTACGGTCCTGGCATCAGCGGGCACTGGGTCACTGCGAGAGAGCCTGGCACTGAGCTAAAAACAGACTGTGTGAAAATAAAGAGAACAGAAGGATGTGGATGAGGTGAACGAGTCAGAGGAAGAGAGACGGAGAGAGAGGAAAAAATAGAGATAAAGAGCGAGAGCAGGTAGCGAAAGAGAGAGAGAAGACTGTACAGTTCGATCTGAACTCGAGTGTCGTAAATGGGGTCTGTTAGATCAGTTAGTTGTATGGATGTGAACGGGGGTCAGGGGGGCAGTGGGGGTTGGGTTGCATGACTGAGGGGCATTTATAAACTCTGTAAAATCCCAAGGGGGCAGAATAAAACTTGCTAAATAGATCTGAATTTGACCAAAGTGAAGAATTACAGGGTTAGCATGTTAGCTAGCTAATGTCAGTACTCGCTATGCCATCTGTGTGGATGCTAATGCAGCGGCTAACTCTTTAAATCCAATGTACACAGTTTACTCTGAGCCCAAATCAAGACACGTCTGGCGTCCGAAGCTTGTTCCTAGTTTAGTACTGGAGCTATGAGGCTAATGTAGCTAACATGTAGGCTAATAAACATCAAAACAAAGCATATGAAGTGGGTGGTGCAGTTAGCGCCATGCTAACTGGTGGAATATAGGGCTGTCAGACTAACAGTCAGCATTTAAATATTTGTCGAATTCAATCAATAAATGTACATTTGAATGCAGAAAATCTATTCTAGTGTTTAAAGTTTTAGCTCTGGAGCTACGAGCTAATTAACACTCTGCATGCCACAATCAAGCTGTTGTGTGATGATTTAGGCGTGCAGTTAGCATCATGCTAATTGGTGGGGTCAAAATAATATTTTTACATTCCAACATCATCAAATTCAGTGAAAAAGTTTGAATGTCTAATGCTAACTCTGTAGCGGCTAGCACATGGTTCAGTCACACATTACGGCTACCAAACACACGGAAAGACACAGCGTTACTGTATTAGGCAATTAAATATAATATAATGGAAATATAAAATATGCTAATAATTGCTTTATTATGGATATTTGAGAAAATGGCATTGTTTGTATAATATTTAAATATTTGAAAAAAAATTGGGAAAATTCACATTTTTATAACAACAATGTATTACACGTGTTGTCATACAAAATGGCATTTATTGTTATTATAAAAATTCTAATTTATATAATTATTTGACAAAAACATTAGTCTCCGCTGCTAGAAAAAACAGCACAGAACGGAATTCATACTGGTCTGTGTTGGTTTTTCAGCAGGGTCGAAGCTCCAGTGCTAAAACTAAAGAAGCGAACTTCAGACACCAAACACGTTTAGGCTGATCTGTGTTTGAAGTAAAGAGCTGATTGTGCACATTTGTTTTATCGCTTTAACCGTCTGTGCTTTGGTAACTGAAGAAACGCGACAGCGATGGAGACGCGCTGAGAGTTTCAGGTCAGGAGGAGCCGTAATTCTCTCTGAGCTCACTGACCAGCCAGCGTCCCACAACAGACCACACCACTAATTGGACTATGACACTAATCCCCCCGAGCATGAGGAGAGGGAGAGAGAGAGAGAAAGGAGAGAGAGAGAGAGAGAGAGAGAGACAGAGAGAGAGAGAAAGAGAGAGAGAGACAGAGAGAGAGAGAGGAAGAAGGAGAGAGAGAGAGAGAGAAAGAGAGAGAGATTTCCATGGCTGGCTGTGAACTGGTGTTTTAGCGTCCTGTTCTGGCCAAGACGCCGGCCTGTTAATCCTGATCAATCAAATCAGTCTGATAAACTATCTGACAGATTCCCTTTAATCTCTAAATGCAGCCATTTTCACCAGCGTGTTGTACTTTCCTTTGAGTTATTTCTGACTCGTCGCTACTGTAAGTGCTGCTCTTTATTCTTTGTATTTAATGTTTTCCTTTGAGCTCCACTTATAATGTTTGTGTGGTTTTATGTATCAAAACCAGGCATGGGCGGAGCTAAACTACTGATGACAGAATGGGCAGGGCTAAACTGCTGTAGGTTGAATGGGTGGGGCTAAACTACTTAAGAAAGAATGGGTGGGGCTAAACTACTGTAGGTTGAATGGGTGGGGCTAAACTACTTAAGAAAGAATGGGTGGGGCTAAACTACTGTAGGCTGAATGGGTGGGGCTACACTGCTGTAGGCTGAATGGGCAGGGCTAAGTTACTGAAGACAGAATGGGCGGGGCTAAACTGCTGTAGGTTGAATGGGTGGGCGCTAAACTGCTGTAGTCTGAATGGGCGAGGCTAAACTGCTGTAGGCTGAATGGGCGGGGTTAAACTGAGTGAAAGTGTGACAACCAGCCCCGTGTTCCCCTAGAGCAAAACAACAATAACTGTAGACTTATAGGGGCTAAAACTACAGCGTCCACGACAAACATACTTTAGTAAAGACTGAAAACCCTATAAAACATTGTTTTTCTGTCTGTACGTCTGAAAATCAGCACCTTAAAGACCCCGTTTAGTGACTGTAGCACTACAGCAGCTCTGGGAGGGCGTTATATGCAGCAATCAGAGCGGAACTTTATGAATGAGGTTGTTTAGCGAGTCTGGACGCTAGCGGAGCGCCCTGTGGGTTCGCGTAAGAAACTCAGCTTTCATAATTCATCTGAGGAACGAGGAGAAGGAGTGACAGACTAATTAAACTGTCTCCTCAGAGCAGAGAGGAAACTACACATTTTATTATCCAGATGAAATGGAAAGGGGTCGCCCGAAGGACTGGGCGGCCTTGTTTACGCACGAACGAGGACGTTTCTTTGTGTTTCACTCAGCCACGTCAATTCCAGATCAAATTATAAGGCTCTACACTTATTTTCAGAACAGGGGGTCAACTGTTTGGGTCAATTTGTAAAAGAATGTTCCTTTTTTTCAACCTAATCTCTTTTCTGCTGCATCTGTGCTGCATTTTTGATTAACGCGGACAATAATTTCAACATATTTGCCTGTATTTAGAAAAGAACAGAAGGTCTGCTGATTCCGAACCCATTTATAATAGAAGTTAATGGGCAGATGGTGAATTCGTGAATAAACTTTTGAAAAATGTGACTATATATACAGTCCGCAGCTTAGCAAAGCTGTGCTAGAGAATAAAAGAGCAACATAGTAAATTGAATTATTTTGAATAAGTCATAAATTACATCATATTTCTATCCATACAAACTATTTTAAGTCTTTTTGCTCTCTGATGAGAACAAACTCTGGTATAATCATTCATTATAGCTTTAACAATAACACTGACACAAATACACAGCGTGCATTATGTTCACACTATAATATCTAATATTTCCAGTGAAATAACTATATAATATTAACTCACTCTGAGATTTATTATACAGACATGTGAAGAAGTAAACACACCCTGTGAAAAGGTTTGACTTTTTCAGCGTATTTGATTCAGATATCAGGTCTTCGTTTAAACAGTGTTTATAGATAAAGGTGATATAATTTAACAAGGGACACATAATTTTTTGTCATGCTATATATAATTATATGTAAGTGCACCTCGTCACATATCACTACTTTAAACATGTCAGACTGAAATCAGGTGATCTTGATCAGGTGCTAATGATTAGAACAAAGTTAGAGATTTTACTTATCTTATTTAAACCTCAGATATCTGGTCTGGTTTGCTCTTTGTTATTGGAGTGTGTGGTATCATCATGCCTAGAGCTCTGAGGCCTTCAGAAAGAAGGTTGTAGATGCCTAGGATTCTGGGAAGGGGTTTGGGAAGATTTCCAAAATATTGGAAATCAAACACTCCACCAACTGGAAGATCATCTACAAGTGGAGAAGATTTAAAACCGCTGCCAGCTTGTCCAGATCAGGCCGCCCCAGCAAATTTAACCTGAGAGCAGACCGCAAGATGCTAAAAGATTCTCTAAGAACCCCCAAATTTCATTACAGGATCTGCAGGCAGCTCTTGTTACTGTTAATGTGAAAGAGCATCTACCATTAGAAAAAGACTGCACAAATTTGGCATACGTGGGAGGTGCGCCAGGAGGAAGACTTTGCTGTCTAAAAGAACATCAGGGCAAGGCTAAAATTTGCTAATCAATATCCAGGCAAGCAGCAGGGCTTTTGGAACAAGGTGCTCTGGACTGACAAGTCAAAGGTAGAGTTGCTTGGCTGCAGTACCATAAGCTTTGTTTGGTGAAAACCAAGGACTGCATTTGATCAAAAGAAGCTCAGACCAGCTGTAAAGCATGGCTGGTGGTAGTGTTATGGTTTGGAGCTGCTTTGCTGGCCAAATCGTAATCACAGAATCGACTATGAATTCTCTTTCATAGCAGAGACAGCTGGAGGGGAACGTGAGACCACCTGTGAAAAAGGTGAGGCTGACGAAGTGGACCTTCCAGCAGGATAATGATCCCAAACATACATGTAAATCCACCAAGGAGCAGCTCAAAAGGAAGAAATGGTTTGCTGTGGAACGGCCAAGTCAAAGCCCAGATCCGAATCCTACTGGAATGCTGTGGGGGGTTTGAAACGGGCTGTACATGCAAAAACCCCCTCAAACACTGCATAGCTGAATTTATTTCTGCATGGACGGGTGGGACAAAATTTCTCCCAGCAGACACCAGACAGTTATAGGAAAGCTGTTTCTGCCAAATTTGCAGCAACAGTTACTGCAACCAGGGGTGCACTTACTTTTTCAACAGACAAAAATGAATTTGTTAGTTTATTTTTAAACAGATGATTGGAAAGTCATTTTTCCAATGTTTTTCATTCTATTACATAACACTTGTCCATATATACTGTTTAACTGAAGATCAAATACCGACATATTCACATGTCAAAAAAGAGAAATATTTCATGGGGTGCACTTACTTCTTCACATGACTGTATGTGGGTTCGGCAAATATTAAGTATTTAATTTGTGAATAAAAAAAGAGCCAGAGTGAAAAGTGTGACAACCCGCCCCGTGTTGCCCAACAGAGAACTGAGAGTATCTCTAGTCTTGAAAGAGTAGTTTTGATTACATTCACTTTCCCTGAGCTTTTATGGTATCCAAGGTGATGGGGCGGGGCCTGTGAAAACTCCGCCCACACCTCTATGCAGGTAATGAGTTACCACAAATTCTTTCCTCTGCAAAACCCAATGAATAAAAAATTATACAGATTTACAGTTTAATTTTTAATTGTGCAGCATCATGAACTTCCCATTGACCTCTACTGTAAGTGAGTTTTGAGGCTGCTCTTTTCTAAGTTCAGGAACATGAGCTGAAATTACTGTCTGTACGACACGGATGCAGCAGATAGAGATCAGGTTTAAAATTCCAGGCTTCTCCTGTAACTTCCTAAAAGCTGTGAATGTCATTTGTCAAGGTCTTTTCCCCAGGGATTGTACACAGATCCATCGCAGCGTCAGCTGATGGAGAAGAGAGGCGTTTGTCATTACCAGCAACACTGATCGCTCGGTTAGTTTTTCGACATGTGGGCCAGAGGATTCGTCTCACTAACGCTGCTTCGGCCAGGCTCAGTTTCATCATTTACACTTCATCATGTCTGATAATAGTCTACTAACAGCCTACGTTGTGTCTATATCTACTGTTCTACTGTTCTACATCTACATAATGTGATACTGTCATAACTTAATACACACTACATTTACACTACAGGCCAAATGTATGAAAGCAGTGATTTTTAAAAAGTCTTTCCAAATTTATGCATAATTAACTGGTTTAGATGTAATCAGAGCAGTTCAGAGTGGTTTGGTGTGAAACTCTCTGTTCTAGATAAACTTACCGAGTCAGAGCTGTTCACAGTGGTGGTGATAGGAACCAGACGTCCACCTCTAAAAGCTCCCTCACAGAAAGTTCCTACAGTAAATGGTTATGAATTCACTGCCTGATGACTGAGACACTGTTTTATGATAGTTTAGAGAACTTAAACTCCATTCATGGTGGAGGGATACATGCAGGGCGCTGTGAGGCAAAATAGTCCCCAAAGAAAACTTATTATTTCAGATTTTCCACTATTTTCCATCATCAACATTCCATATAAGCTCAGAAGACTCGTGTAGGTTCACTGGTGGTTCTGGATAGTAAATAAAATGTCTATATTAGTGTTGTAGTCATGGCGACCCCTGGTTCCTATCACCACCACTGTAAAGACATCTGAACCATTTCACACCAAACCACTCTGAATCACTCTGTTTACATCTCACACACTGAATTATGCAGAAATTTTGGAAAATTGGTGAAATTCCCCTTTACAAAAAAAGAGCTTTTTCATCAGTTACTGCACACACTATTGCTGTTCTGTGTTAATAAACAATAACATTTTCATGGTTATTTTTCTCTGTATGTTTAGTGAACTCGAACTGTGCAAGTTAGAGTTGTGTCCAAACTTTTGGTCTGTAGTGTAAATAATCTACACTAAGTTAAGCTGTACACAGATAACAGCTTTAATATGAGAGTAATTAAGGTATAAACTTAATGAAATATTACTTTACAGTGTAGCTCAATTGTAACTAGAAATAATATAATATAAAATAATATAATATAATATAATATAATATAACTATTTTCTCCATTTTCTTCTCCGTAACTTACCTCCCTGCTCATCCAGCATAACCAAAGTTCTGATACCAGCATCTTTGCTCTGTTTCAGTGAAGAGGAGAGAGCAGAAAAGAGAGACATACAGACAGAGGAGAAGAGCAGAGAGAGACCAGCAGATCAGCAGCAGGTCTGAGTTACAGAACAGCAGAGACTCAAAGACAGCAGCACCAGACAAAGGAGAAACATGAAGGACCAGATCTGCCAAAAAGGAAAATAAATTAAATTTAAAAATAAACCACATAGTAAACTAATCAATAAATAAAAATAACTAAAAGTATATATTGCTTATTTTGATTGTAATTAAACATATTTCCTTTTTCTGCAGTTACATATTTCTCCATTTATTTATTTCTGTATTATTTATTTTTTTATTGATGTCTGTGTTCATTTTTATATTTTTTCTGTATTTTTAACAATTGTTCGTTTTGTTTATTGATTCATTAATTCATTAATTTATTATTTTTTTCACTAATTCTTTTATTTATTTCTGTGTTTCTTCATTCATATGATAATGAGGGGGCGTGTTTTTCACGTTCAGGCTTAGCAATCAAGCCCAGGAGGAGAAGAGCTGATTAAGCTGTTCTTTCACTCCATAAGGAGCTGCAGCGTCACGAACAGACAGACCTGCGGATAAATAATGATGGCTTTCGATGGCTCTACAGGCCGTGTGTGAGGAGGGCGTCCGAACGTCTGTGTGATCTGAATCCTACAAAAAAAGACGCTGAACTACCTCCTCCAGAGTTCTGAACTCTACAGGTCGACCTCTGAATCAGCAGATCAGCTAAATGGACCAAACTGGCCCCACAGCCTCCAACGGAAGAGTCAATAATCCGGACCTGCATTTTCAGCCAGATCAGCCGAGACTCTCAGATCTCTGTCTGTTAGCAGCCGTTACTGTACTGTCTTCTCCTCAGTTACCGCTGAGAGAGCAAGACATGAACAGTCGATCTACAGAATCTGACATCGATCATCCAATAGGAATATTAAGACGCTGTGACATCATTGACTGACAGCCCCTTTATTATCAGGACAAGGAAATACAGAAATAAATAAATATAGAAATGAATAGTTATGGAAATGAATAAAAAAGGAAAATGTTAATAAAGAAACATTTAAATAACAAAATAAATAAATACAAAAATTAGTAAGGAAGGGAAATTACTAAATAGACAAATAAGTAAATACAGACACTAATTTATGTAACGTTTTATTTCTAAATATATTAATTTCTATGTATATGTATTTATTTTTAGATTTACCATCATTATTCTTTGCAATTCTAATACATATATTAATTTACTGAGTCATTTATTTTTTATTTTATTAATTTTTCATTTTGGCAGACCTGGTCCTTCATAAAGAAACACCTTAAAGCGACAGTTAGCAAAACATAACACAGAATTTACCCCCATTACCCCAAACGCAGTCAGTCGGCCGAGACGCGTTTGGTCTCTGAACTTTGCTTTTTCTGTTTTAGCTACGAGGCTAATTAGTGCTGTTAGTACTGATTAGCATGGTGCTAAATCACCACACGCTCTCCTCAAACTGAGTGGAGGTGCTCAGTAATCTTTCACAGACGTCTCTGCTTAAACAATAACAGAAAACTAAGTCCCTGCTGGTGTCCTGTAGTCACTAATGGTGTTCTGTATTCTCCTGATGGGTTGATATTACAGTGTAAAGGACTCTGATGGTTTAACAGCTGATCTGATTCCAGATTTGATGGTCTACTAATGCGATCTAAAGGTGTCCTACACACAGAAAGATGGTTCTTCAAGGGTTCTTTAGTAAAGACAATGGTTCTATTCAGAACTACGAACACTCAAAGAAGCCTTTGCATGGTTAAAGGTTCTCTGCATGGTGAAATGGTTCTCAGGGTTGCTGGAGAATGTGTTCTATGTAGCACATTCTCCATCAATCTGAAGAAGAATATGGTTCTATGTAGCACCAAAAAGGCTCCTTCTATTCTTACAGTCTAGAGATTGTAACAACAGAAGAACCTTTACTGGTGCTATACAGAACCGTTTTCAAAAAGCGAGTGCATTAGCATAGCTAAAAACAGTAGCAGCATCTTAAAGCCTAAAATTAGCCTAAATTCAGTTTAGTTAAGACAACTAATAACAGACTCTGACCAGCCCGAATCAATCAGTAAAACTATTATATTTAGGGTTTAGTCTCTTTTTTGCACTGTAGTGTAGTAAGATTTGTTCGTAGCTCCGCTAAAGCAGCTCAAACACCAAACATGTCTTAGCTGATGGTCAACATTTGGGGTGCACTGTGAAAAATGCTCTCTTAGCAAGTGAAATTATCTTAAATCTAGTCTATCTAATATTTCTCATGTTGATATTGTAATAAGCTTATTGTAATATTATTTAACTTATTTCTAGATATTTTTACTTGTTTTGTGATTTTATTAAATGTTCTCACTGTGTTGGCATTTCGCTTATAGGAAATATGGTTGAATCAAACCAAATTAATATTGTGAGATAATTTGGCTGATAAAATCACTCAAAACAAGCACAAAATATCTAGAAATAAGTTAAATTAGATAGTGAGCATATATCAGTCCGCTGGCTTAATAAGGTCGGCACCCCACTGAAAAAAACTCCAGCAGCACTGCTGTGTCTGATCCACTCAGACCAGCGCAACACACACTAACACACCACCACCACGTCAGTGTTACTGCAATGCTGAGAATGATCCACCACCCAAATAGTACCTGCTCTGTGAGGGTCCATGGGGGTCCTGACCACTGAAGAACAGGGTAAAAGGGGGCTAACAAAGTATCAGAGAAACAGATGGACTACAGTCTGTAACTGTAGAACTACAAAGTGCTCCTATATAGTAAGTGGAGCTGATAAAATGGACAATGAGCGTAGAAACAAGGAGGTGGTCAGAATGTTATGCCTGATCGGTGTATTAGATATGTCGACTAGATTTAAGGTCATTTCACTTGCTATGACCATGTTTTGCAGTGTAAAAGGGGGAAACTGAACAAATTAATTCTTCTGCTTCTTTATTAAGAAGAACTCTGAGACAGCGCACTCTAGCTGTGACAAGTCATTATGAAAGGAAGTGAGCCGGCACAGACTCGCCAGCTAAAATTAGTCCATCACAGTAAACAGACGGCGTTCTTTAAAGGTAAATGGGCGTGTGTGTGTGTGCACGCAATATGGAGAGTAATTCCCGCAGGCACAATAAGGCTCTATTGACCTAAATAGCACAGATGATCCCCGTTCACCTCATCAAATCCCCACATCGTTTCATTATTTCAGTGTGTGCTGAAGTGTGCTAACTGATGTCGCAGCGTCAGGCAGCTGGCAGCTCCTGGCTACGAAGCAGACCCGTCTATGCGCTGTTTAATTAACGTGCACGCTCTGTTTTTGCTGTAATAATGGGATAATGTGGGGACTCAACAACGTGAGCTGTGCATTAGCATCTATACCTTCATCTGGATGATTAATTAGCAGCCAAAGAGGAGGAACTGTAAGCTAATTCTGCTCCGGTTACTAAAAATGTGTTTATTTCTGTTTACACTCACTCAGTTTAGCATTTCTGTGGTTAAAAAATCGTGTAATAATGATTTGGGTCAGATAAAAATTGGCACGTATGCTCAAAACACTGGTTAGCAAACATATGGAGCATATGGTGGGGATTTCTGCGCTAATATTTAGCTTAGCTGTACTGTTTCAGAGGGATTTGTTTCCAATGTATTGCTCTTTTAGACATGAATGTCTGCACTATAATAATAATAATAATAAACTTTAGTTATAGCTCCTTTTTAACACAGTGCCAAGTGTAGCTGAATCACCTACAGTGAAACTAACTACACATTAGGGCTGTTCAGATGTGCCTTCAACATGTGGTGGCAGACAGAAAACGGACTGAGGGAGGGAAGAGAGCTCTGAGAACTTGGGCCGGAGTTCTGGGGGGCTTCTATCTGGAGATAGACGACCAGATCCCGATGTTTTGTGGCAGCACTGATAGTACTGAGGAGCAGGGCGCAGATGTGGGGTGTGTTGGTGATTCTGAGAATCGGAAGGTAGGGATGGGAATAGACCCCTGTAGCCGTGTCATCATTTAGTAGTCGCCGTGCTCTTATGCCCATATTAGGAACTCCGGGTCTGAGCTCCATTTCTCTATGGCCAGAATGAATAGGGTTTTAGAAAAATCGCCTCTAGCGCCCCCTGTGTTAAATACAAATGCTCAGAACCCGATACGTTCTGTCTTGTGAACATTTTTCTCTCGAATATCACTGGATCCTCTGAGTTACGAGGTCGATAAAGAGTTGAAATATGATTATTGCTCCATGTGAGCTAAAGTGACTGCGCTCTGAATTCACGTCATTAGACTGGCAGCCTCATTAAGCGGGTTTAGGCAGCATACATTTCCATGTTCAGCCTGAGGGCAGATGAAAAGGAGTCAGAACAAAATCAGCAGGTTTCCCTGCAGTTCTCTGTTCTTCACCTGATGCTCAGTGAAACATGATAGATCTTTCCTTTTAGCTTGACTTGAAAAGATCTACAAACGTAGCTGAACTCAGGCTGATCCGGTACAGACTCAGCTTAATGATCACTGCTCACCCTGATGAACTGATTTAGGCTACTCAGCTATTCAAGCATGCAGACCTTTGAGTGTTCAAGGATCTATATAGAACCACTTACTAAAGAACCCTCTTTTTTAAGACTGTCGCCCACCTCTGTAAAGTGTTAGATTTTGTACACATTATTTGAAAAATGTTGTTTTAACTTAAAAAGTAACCTGGCCGCTTTAAAACTGTGAGTCCATTAAACCACTAAAATAAGTAAACAGTAATCCATGTGTTACATTCTGTTCATATATTATTTAAAGTTCAATAAAATTAATATTTTAAGACATTACTAACTTATTTTAAGTCAGAACACCATTTATTGTCCATTGCAAGCTTGAAGAAGCTGATCTATATTCTGAGGCACTGTTGGCTGTTGGAAGGGTATTAAAAAGTCAATATATTTTTCATTTAACACGTTTATTTTGGCAATAAATTCAGCTTTACCACTTATTTGTCTTAAAATTCAATTCAGTTACATGTGGGTCCAAACTGTTGACTGGTGCTGCAGTTCCTGTACATGCAGTTTGGTTTATGGACACTAATAATCCTTCATAAGCGGTTTTCTATGAAAGAGTGCTTATAAATGTCCTTATTCTGAAATATGTGGATTTAAATGCACATTAACTGTTTAATGCTTTTGTTTTCTTACCTCCTCCACCAGCTGCAGCATGCGCCGAGTGCTCTCCAGCGACTGCAGAGAGAAAAACACGACATCAGACACTGTACTGATCAATACCGTAATCAATACAGACACCATACATCCACAAAGCAGGTCCTGTTAATTCAGCAACAACATATTTACATTTGACATATTTTACATTACACAAACACACATTTGATGATATATATATATATATATGTATACACACACACACACACACACTGTTTTGGACAGTATACATTCATTTGTTTGAAAAAACAAATATTAGAAAAAACAGATAAACAAATAAACAATGTCTTGTGATTTTATGAGCATGTCTTAAATTAATCATTTTTTTTTAGTTAAATCAGTTTAATCAGATCTTCGTTAAGTTAAATCAGGTTAGTCAGTCAGTCATTATGTTAAATCAGTTTAATTAACCTGTCATTAAACCTATTTAATTAATTTTTTGTTAGATTAAATCATTTTAATCAATCCTTCACGAAGGTAAATCATTTTAATCAGTTATTCGTTAAGTTGAATTAATTTAATCAATACTTTGTCAAGTTACATGAGTTTAATTAATTACTCATTAAGTAAATCGGTTACTCATTCTTTGATGAGTCAGATTTGTTTAATCAATCCTTTTTTGGGTTAAATCAGTTTAATCAACCCTTCAGTGTGTGAGATCGGGTTAATCCATCAATCTTTAAATTACACCAGTGGAATTAATTTTCAGCTGTATCAGTTTAATCAATGCTTCATTGTGTTAAATCAATTTAATCAACGGTTAAATCAGTTTAGTCAATCCTTCATTGGGTTAAACCAGTTTAATCAATCCTTCACTGAGTTTAATCAATTGAATCAATCCTTAAATCAGCTTAATCAAACCTTCATCGACTTTATTCAATTTAATCAACGCTTAAAGCTGTTTAATCAATCCTTCATTGTGTTAAATCTACTTAATCAACCCTTAAATCAGTTTAATCAATACTTCATTAAATTAAATCCGGTTCTGCTGGTGGAATTAAACAAATCCCTGTGATGGCTGAAGCTGCATGGAGGAGAACTTTAGCCCAACCTGTGTTCTTCTGTTCAGGACGTCAACTACTTTCCTGGAAACTCGTCTTTCTGTTTAGTGTATTTGTGTTTGTTTGTGTTTATTCTGTTATATGATTTTTAGAGGCAAAAACACAGCAGATTTTTTCATGGCGTCTCTAATTTCTCTTTCACATCACGTCCATCGCGAGGAGCTGAAGTGTGTGTTGTTCTGGTTACGAGGGTGTGAAGTGAATGTGGTGCAGATGAAGTTGGTGAACAGCTGTAACAGAAGGCTGAGCTCACACTGCGACTGCCAGCTCAACATTTGGTCACTTTCCTCAGCACTGTGTGTTCTCCGTTCCGGAGAGCATTATCTGCTCATGCATTTTTAATGTTCGTCCATTACAGTCCAGTATATAATCTCTGATTTAAACCACTCGTTCTTCCTGGACAATGTCACGGGCCGGTCAATATTAGCCCTTCTCTGTAGAGCGCCTGTTATTTTATCCTAGTGCGGCTCCGACTGCTGCTTCTTCATTAGATCACACTGATGGTTCTGCAGGAACCACAAAGGAAAGAGCTGCACTGCAGAAAACGGGACCTTGTCAAGTGAAATAATCATAAATCTACTCTATATATCTATTATGTCTCATTGTGAGATGATTTAAGCTCTTTCTAGACATTTTTACTTGTTTTAAGTCATTTTATTAAGTCAGATGACCCTTTTCACAAGAAACGGGAGTGTGTAAATGCTGGGTAAAAAAGTTGCGCTATTGCCTCAGAACTGTTATTGACCTCAGAAACACAGGTGTTCGTATCACTTCAGCCACCACAGAAAGGTGTCGCACTTTACTTTATTTTAAATTCGAGTCCAGAACTGTTGGAGAATCAAACACACAACAATGTGGGGTCCAAACTAAATAAAGGACATAAATGATTAGTGGAAAAATCCTTCACAGCTATCAGAGCACAGTAACATCAGTTCACGTCTACAGAGAGATAAACTGATGAAGATTAAAACAACTATAACCAAAACGCCAGATTAGCCATGTTAGCTGGAGATGTTGAAACAGCTCACAATAAACTAGTTGGCAAAAAGCTAAACATGTGCACATGCCAGCAGGGGGCGTACTGGGTCCTCAGGGTCCTTAATGCCACTGTAGACGTTTTACACAAACACCGGCTCCAGTGAACGAACATCTGCTCCCCGCTGAGCTCTCGCTCTCTCAGATACGGACGGGTTTTGAGGGAAATGAAAACTGTTCCTCTGAAAGTGGCTGAATCAGCAACTTTAAGGCACAAACTGCACGTTAACATCAGTCAGCAGAGCTGAAACACAGACACAGAGGTTCTTTTACTCTGTATGACTAAGTTTATTCCTTTATTAACTGCACAAACTCATTTCTCCTCTGCTCATCATCAGCTGACGAACCACTGAAACCGAGATGAGGCTATTTTTGCTTCAAACCTGAACACTTGAGTGAGCTCAACTCATCGTTGTTTTAGTGGAAGCAGTGTTACCCTGCAACGAGCACTTCCAGCAGAAAATTGTGGAAACATGAAAAGGCCCTATTTAGCTTCTAGGAAGAAATCAGCTTGAAACAAGACAAATAATCTGCCAATGCAATGAGATACTTTACTGACTAAAATCACTCAAAACAAGTAAAAATGTCTAGAAATATGTTACATGATCTTAAAATAAGCTCACAACGTTTAGATATACAGACTTGGAAAATGGATAAATATTATCAGAAATGGGGAAAATACTTTCGTAGGTATACAGGGAGCTAAGGGCAAAGCACAAAGTCCAATTCTTATTTATTAATGTATTTATTTATTTATTTATTTGTTGGAGTATCTGTGAGGAGTCCGACTAGTTATTTGCAGTTATTATTGTAGTTTGTATGCAGGCTTATTTCCCCTGGTGTGCTATTTATTTATTTATTTATTTATTTATTAACTTATTTATTTATTTATTTACTTTTTGTGTGGTTGTACAAGTTGAGTGTGATAATGTTAAACTTTGAAAAATGTAATAAAGTATAAGTTTAAAAACAAAATAGAATCATCATTTTGAGCGCTCTGCATAATTCTGGTTCTTTCTTGATGTATAAAGTCCCACAGAGAAGAAGGTGATAAACCAAGTAAAGATATATTTAAATGATAAATCAGTGAATCAGCCTGTGTGCGTCAGTGAGGACAGAGCTGCTCTTTCATAAAGATCACAGTGGTGAGTAATCGACCCACGGTTAGTAATAAATCATAAAGCTCTGTGATAAACAGTGTCTGATGTGCGTAAGCAGAACAAAAGTGCATGTAAGTGACGTCTACATAAACAACTGCTGGTTAAAAAGAGCAGCAGAAACAAGTTCCACTCAAGAAAGCGCAGAGTTTCAGGGAGATGTGTGAAAGAGTCTTCATAATCACCGCCTTAATAAAATCTAACTCAAAATCCAACCAGCGGCCGAATTACAGACACCTCCTCTGCTTTAGGACCTGAGTTAAGATCTGACAGGTCAAGATAGGATTTTTCACAAATTCATATTACAGAATCAAATCTGATCTTTTAGGAATCTAATCTTACAGCATCTTATCTCCAGTTAGGAAATCTTAACCTACTCGATCAGCCGACAATCAGCTGTCATGTCTGTTGCCTAGCAACCGACCATAAACACACAGCTAAAATGTAAACACATCATCAAAATAATGTTAAAATGTGAGTTAAGCTGCTGTTACTGATGTAAAAAAGGTCAAACAGAACTAAAGTGTGATAAACTGTGAGTAGTGAATACTGTGAGAGCGCCCCCTGCTGTTTATCAGAGCGTCGCCGCTCCCCAGTTTCAGTCTCCATTTCCCAAACGCTTTAGCCGAGCGCGCTAACGTTACTCCTCCTAATAAACAGACACACGTTCAGCTCCGCCTCCTCATTATTCACCACCATCACTGTAATATTTCCTCATCAACATTAACACACGAAGGTGATCAGAGGGGCGGTGGAGATCGAGTCTGCAGCGTCTGAGATCTTTAAAACGCAGAGTTAGAAAAGAAAATCATCTCACAGTGAAAGCAGCGTTTTACAGTAGAGATAAATGGAGCTCATTATGCTGGTAGTGAACTATGCTGCTGACTCAGCTGCCTAAAAACCATAGAAACGGACCTTAAACAGAAGTGAGGACCCTGTTGGGGTTCATCCTAAAGTTAGGACAGGATTTAGGAGGTTCAGTCTAGTTAGGATGTTTGTGTGATGCTGTTTTCTTATCTGGAGTTCATGATGAGTTTATGAAGGTAGGAGCTGTTATTCTGGAACAGCTACTGTCCGAAATTCAGTCCTGCACTCATAAAAAGGTGGTTCAAGGGTTCTTTAGTAAAGGAAATGCTGCTATTAGATTGTTGTATATGGTCCTATATAGCACCAAAAGGGTTCTGCTATTGGTTCAGTGGTGCTATATAGAACCATTTACAACACATTCCTCATCAATCTGAGGAACAATTTCATCAAGCAAAGAACCATTTAAGCATGTACTTTGTGTGTCCATGGTTCTATACAGAACCACTGTCTTTACGAAACAACCCTGAAGAGCCATCTTCTGTTTTTGTGCCTCAGTGAGAGTGACTGACTCGTGGCTGCTGCTCTCTCTCGCTGGCTGTGCAGTGCTGGGTGTTGTATGATTGTCCAGCAGGAGGTCAGTGCGATTAAAGCCCACCGGAGCAGGTGTGCGACCCCCACCGAGGAGGCTGCTTCAGTCTGAGCGGAGCGGAAGACTGAAAATCACAGCCTTCGTGCTCTCGGGCCTCGAGCGCCTTAATATAGAGCAGAACTCTTTATGCACATGAGTAACTCATTAATGTACAGTGTGCGCCTGCAGCTCCGCACTGCTCACTGCACTGGAGCCATATTAAAGGGATAGTTCAGCAAAAAATGAAATTCAGTGCAGCAAAAATGAAAATTTACACAGTTCCCTTCTCACCTCAAATGTAGTCCATCAACTAAGACATTGTTTAGTGCTCCTTTAGTTTTAGCACTGGAGCTACAGGGCTAATGTAGCTAACAAGTAATGGAAGCTTATATTCCACCAAACAGTGAAGGATTAAACCGCATGTCTAAATTATCACACACTTTACAAAGCGTGAGGAGGTGTTCAGCAATATGTAACAGACTTGATGTCTTGCCTCCCTCAGACCTGGCTGTGCCTACAGCCAACATGGCTGCTCAGGACTACGTTTCTCAGAACCCCTTGCTGCAGCACACGACTCACGACTCTCCTAGATCCACCTATCCATGTTCAAGTTCACCTGACTACTGATTATACACACCTGTTACAAGTGTTTGCTAGTGTAGTATTTAAGCCCGGGCTTTGGATCTTTGTGAAGTATCGTCACTTGAGTGTTTCCTTTGCACCAGTGTCTGTCTCTTTGAGTATGACCTGTACTTTGTTTGTGACCACGATTCAAGCCTTCTGCCTGTGTACACCGACTGTGAGTTTGGACTGCCCTACTGCTATTAAAGCATTGTTCTCAAGCCTCTGCTGCCATCGTCACACTTGATTTAATAGAATGGTTTGTCTACTGCAAATATGTCTGCTCTGGACATATTCTGTGTTTACCAACATACAGTTTTATTTTCATTAACGAGAAGGCAGCTATGTTAGCTAATGTGCACTGAATATTTGTTATTCATATAACTCATAAAACTTAGCAAACTCATCATTAAATTTGTACTTAAAAAATGTGCAGGTTCTCTGTGTTTGTGTATATATATATATATATATATATATATATATATATATATATATATATACACACAGTGCTCAGCATAAATGAGTACACCCCAACAGATTTGTCAGAAAACCTTTAGTTTCCTTTCAGAATCAACATTTTCTACGGGATACTGTACTACAAAATGCTCCCACAAATGTGGGTCACTGATTGTGTTTGTGCTCTAATAGCTTGAAGGAATTTTTCCACAAAGTATTTATATCCTTTATTTAATTCGGACATTCACCAATTTCAATCTTGGCAACTATGACAAAGATAAAGGGCCACACCTTTCTGTGATGAGCTGAAGTTATACGAACACCTGTATTTCTGAGGTTCTGTTTAAAAGGCAATAGCGGAACTTGTTATACCAAACGTTTACGCACATCCGTTTCTTGTGATGTACCTATAATCAGATTACTGCCTTTTATTTTGTAACTGTAATGGAATACAGTTACCATTGAACTGTATCCTGATTACATAACACTGTTGCGTGTATTACAATATTACCAGTGTATAAATCCCCCCTGGTATCGGGGGTCCCGTGTTGTCTGTCTGCTAACTCTCTCTCCATAGTGGCGCTGATGATTCAGTGTCAGTAAATGTTTGTTTTATCAGCTGTTCTTCTGTAGAGTCTCTGTTCTAGTGCGGTTCTGCGCTCTTCCAGTCTGCTTCAGCGCCACCCTGAGGCAGAGCAGCGCTGCAGCTCTAGTTAGTTAGGAACACCAGAGACAGAAGCTGATTGTGGGGGAAGCAGATAAACAATGAGCTTCACTGAGTCTGGATCTGAGCATCTATTTTTCCCTAAAGGACAGCACAACCACCAAAATATTTTGATTTTAGGATATTCAGGGATGTCCAATAGTTTAATTAGGGGGTCCTGGGCTGCTCAGCATCTGCCTTTATTTCCCAACTTGGTTACTATCCAAATCTGCAAATTTTATTTTCCCCCAGACTACTCCTTTAACACCGCTGAGCCTCATTTTGCATATGACAGCTTCATTAATGTACAGACTCGTTAACATACAGCGTCATTAATATACAGCGCTCTGCTCTCTGGCCTGCAGGTGCTGAAGTCATTTGCATGTTGTGGTAACTCGTTTCCCACAGGCTGCTGACTCTGCGGGGGATGCTTTTATTTAAAGCAGGCTGTATGTAGCGGCCTATTTCTGGTCCAGCGTCTCCTGTGGAGGATCTTATGGTGGGCTTTACCTCATCTGCCAGCTGGTCGGCTCTCTCCTGCAGGTTGGTCAGTTCATTCCGCATGTCCGAGTCGTCCGCCATGGTGACCGGGGGGTCGGCTCAGGGGCTCAGAACAGAGAACGAGAGACTTTAACTGTAAACACAAGAGAGAGAGAGAGAGAGAGAGAGAGAGAGAGAGAGAGAGAGAGAGAGAGAGAGAGAGACTACATTAAAAACATAATACGCTAAAGTAGATTCAGCTCAATGATCACAGTCACATAAACACAAACACAAACTCCTCATACAAAACAGACAATAAATTGTATTACAATAAATATTACAATAAATTACAATAAATTACAATAAATTTTCATTTTACCAAATTTTGGAAAATACTGACAACACATAACAATACATATTGTCCACAATTCATTTTCATTGGGGTCTAAAGGTCTGTATGAGGGTCCACAGTTCAGTTCACTCTCAAAACTACAGAACTAACACTTTAGTTTCATAGTATTTCCAGAATAATGAATATGAATATGAATTATGAATATGAATAATATTGAATGTAATATGATGAATGTAAAATGAATAATACAATGTAGATTCTATATATTTTATAGTAGATACAAAGCAATTCATAGTGGATACTGAATAATTCATAGCAGATGCTGAATAATTCATAGTAGATATTGAATAATTCATATTAATTGCTGAATAATTCATAGTTGATTTGCAGTGTTCTTAAACAGAGCAACTAAAGTGTTAGTAATACTAATAATCTGTTGTCCAGTGAAGAGGTCAGTGGTCATTTCCTCTTTATGACTTTATTTGATATGATCGTCTGAAGGCCGTTTCAGCGTCACACACCTTTCACTTTTCTGTACAAAAGTGATTTGAATTTTTCCCACATGCTCCACATATTATGAAAACAGACTCGCTCTGTTGGCATAATTATTATATTTCTTTATTGTAGAATTTTGATCACTCAGTAATCCTAGTGAGCCAGAGAGAAACATAATTTGATTAGATGTTTATAGACATGAGGTTTTCAGTGTACAGTGACAGAGAAATGTGCACAGACGTAAAAACGTCCCTTCAGCCTCAGGATGCGGCTTAATCACAGCATCATCTTTCATCTCCCCCAATAAACTCTGACTGGACGTAAACTCGCTCCGCTCAGAGGAACCGAGGGCGAAGTGTGCCGTCGTCTGTGTGTGAGACGCGGGGCTCGGAGCTGTGATTTGTTTCGAAGGCTTTCTGCAGCGAGTGCCTGCGAGACGCCGTTGAGTAACAGGAATGAGTTCAAATCTATTTTTGCTGCGATGAACCGCAGAGGTTTCCTGTTTTATGGATGTGAAACACCGGCTGAAGTGCTCTTTATGAAAAATGGATTATGCTGCTATTTCTGATTTCTTATAAATGTAGGAAAAAACAGGTAATTGGAAAATTTCATTAGCTCTGCATGTTCTGAGGGAACATCTCAGCCCACGCAGCGCAATAGCATTAATGGAGTTCTGCAATAAAGTGAATTTTGGGAGAGAAAAAACCCCTGAAAATTCCTGCTTTCCAGTTAAAGAGCAACACAAATGAAGTTACAGAAAAATGTAACAAAAACACAGCCTGGTATTTCATCATGTGCTCTCTGGCGTCGTTCCACCAGCTCGTCTCCAAAAACAGTTACATTTCAGTCATGTTAACATAAACGAGGGGCGGGGCTTAAAACTGCTGTATACACATTAGCTAATGTTAGCTAACTTGCTAACATCATGTTAAGTAGCTCAGTACTGAAGTCAGGAGTCAGTTTAGTTCTTCTGGCTAACAGCTTTAAGCTACTTAGCTTATGTTAGCATCAAGAAGAACCACTGAGGAACCAGGAATCAAAAGGAGAACCTCCCTAAGAGCATGAAGAAATACTGAGAGGAACCAAAACTCAAAAGGAGAACCTCCCTAAGAGCATGAATAACCACTCAGAAGAACCAAGACTCAAAAGGAGAACCTCTGTAAGAGTATGAAGAAACACTGAGAGGAACCAAGACTCAGAAGGAGAACCTCTGTAAGAGTATGTAGAAACACTGTGAGGAACCAAGACTCAAAAACTCCCTAAGAGCATGAGGACGAACCACTCAAAGGAACCAAAACTCAAAAGAAGAACCTCTTAAAGATAATAAAGAACCACTGAAAGAAATCAAGACTCAAAAGGAGAACCTCCATAACAGCATGAAGAACCACTGACAGGAGCCAAGACTCAACAGGAGCACCTCTGTAAGAGCATGAAGAAACGCTGAGAGGAACCCAGACTCAAAGGAGAACCTTCCTAAGATCATAAGAAACCACTGAAAGGAACTAAAACTCAAAAGGAGAACCTCTGTAAGAGCATACAGAGGAACCACTGAGAGGAACCCGGACTCAAAAGGAGAAGCATGTTCCCCTCAGATCAACAAGAAGCCCAACATCCAGCTCAGGTTCTCTGACTTCACCTTCTAATTCACATCTCAGGCTCTAATAAAGAGAACAGAGAACAGAGAACAGAGTTCTGTGTGATTTTAACGCTACACTGCGATTCAATCAGTCACAGCTACTGAAAATGTTCCCGTAATGAAGTGCTCTGTAATCCACTTCAATAACCTGAGCATAACTCAAAGTTTAATCCTCAACAACACCTGTTTTACACAACAGACCAGCGTAACTGATTTAAATTCAGTTTCAAGCGAGGTTAAGTCACTGATGTAATCCGAAAGAACAGCAAGAGAAGCAAAAGAACAGTCCACAGAGCAAAGAACACACAGAACTGCATTAATTCTGGATTTAGATTTCCATGATTACACTGAAGTAGATCAGTGCAATAGTATTAGTACAGTTTTCTTATACAATAAAAGACCAATATTAATTAGAGACATAAGGGCCCAGTCCCATTTCTTCTTTTCACCTCTACTCCTCGTTTTTGAGTGTTGCCCCTTGGAACTGAGTTACAGGGTAGTGGTTGAGATCTTCCCTCTGAAATGGGACCCTCAAATAAAAAGAGCATCACTTCATTAACAGCTACCAGCGCTGCTCTGTAGGCGACGCTGCCAGTCTGCAGTGACAGCAGAGGAGGGTAAAGTTCAGCTCCTCACTGCTGGGCTTTAGTTACATTTAGGGCATCATATGCCTTCAAAGAGGGGGGCAATTATTTATTATCACCCACCCCTGATTCTTCAGTGATGTGAAGCTGAAGTCAGATATTCACCAGATTCTTGTTTGAATTTTCCCGTTCCACTTTAAATCGTGCAGCAGTTACATTCTGGCGCTTCAGGCATCAGAACTGCTGGACTATTTAAGGTGGAACGGGAAAGTTAGCTAGCTACCGAGACGTTAGCACGCTATTAGTGATTTTTTACGCTTGTTATAAAGAAAAGGATCATAATACACTGAAACAACATTAAACTAAGATAAAGTTTATCGTATTTTTAACTGAGAAAATTCTCACATTTGTGGGTTTCTTTGGTCTCTTGTTCTCCATCTCGCCGGTTCTTCTTTTTTTCTCATAACTCTCTGTTTGGAGTCTCTGAAAATCCTCCGTTTGGAGGATCATGTAGCCTCAACACTTCACCCTACCCCTCTATCTCAACAAGAATCAGGACACCCTACCCCTAGATGAGAATGCGCAAAACAGAGCGGTAGGGCTAAGTGGTAGGGGAGAGGGGTGAAATGGGGCCAAGAGTTCACAGTGATATTCATACTTCCCTCTAAGTGGAGTGCTAATTCAATGCTAATCCATGTAGTCTGTATTCTTCCACCCCATGGTGATTGTACACAGATCCTATCTTCATTAAACGTAAGTCTGTCATTATATCACTCTACTGCTACTGCTAACTGGACCATGCTAGGAGTGACTATAGTAACCAAGTGGCTCACCAGCTAAAGCTAGCAGATAGCAAGCATCATATATTCAAGCAATACTCTGTACGAATACTCTAAACTGCGGGTTTCTGCAGCTGAGGGCCCTTTCCAGTCTCAGCCGTGGATATTTTTGTATATGTTCACATTTTTAGCATGACACATAAAGAATGTTTTGGCTTTTTTTTTATTTTGGCTACATGTTCTGAACTGATTTAATTTCTGAAGCATATTTTGGGTAAAAATAATAGTTTTATGTGCCACAACTGCGCTTTCAATCTTACAATTCTTATTACAAGAAGCTAAATGACAAAACTTTTTAATTGAAACCGCATCAAAACAAAATGAAAATATTATTAAGGTGGCTAGATAAACCCTAACACCTTAGTAACCACAAGGGATAGCACTGCTGCGGCCTAACAGCACCTTAGCAACCACCTGGGATACCACAGAAATGGCTTAACAACACCTTAGCAACCACCCTTTGGGACAGCATTGCTGCAGCCTAAAAAACCTTAGCAACCACCCATTGGGATAGCCTTGCTGTGGCCTAACAACATCTTAGCAACCACCTGGGATTCCACAGAATTGGCTAAGTAACACCTTAGCAACCACCTGGGATAGCATTGCTGTGGCCTAACAACACCTTAGCAACCACCTGGGATTCCACAGAAATGGCTTAGTAACACTTTAGCAACCACCTGGGATAGCACTGCAGATGCCTAACAACACCTTAGCAACCACCCATTGGGATGGCATCGCTGTGGCCTAATAACACCTTAGCAACCACCTGGGATTCCACAGAAATGGCTTAGTAACAACTTAGCAACCACCTGGGATAGCATTGCAGATGCCTAACAACACCTTAGCAACCACCTGTGATAAGACAGAAATGCCTTAGCAACACCTTAAAGTTCACAAACTTTCCCCTTCTAATAGAATAAATGCTGCTCATCAGCTCATCATGATTAAAAGTCATTAAATATTAATTTTAAAGTCTTTAAAAATATTTCTAGACACGTAAATTTACTCTTTAAAAGGAATGAATATGTAATGAGAGTTGAGCTTGAGGCTGTGTAAACAAACGATACGGCCTGCTGTAGGGGTGTTACAAATCATATTACACGCATATCTCTCTCTCCCTCTCTCCCTCTCTCCCTCTCTCTCTCTCCCTCTCTCCCTCTCTCTCTCTCCCTCTCTCTCTCTCAGTGCTCCATTCTCTGGCTCTGTCGTTATCTCTCGAGCGCTCTCCTCCTCCTCCATGTCATTATT